CTTGATCCCACAATCCTTATGTTCCTCCTCTTCTCACTTCATGTTCCACTTTTCATTCTGAAGAACCCTGCTGGGCTGATAAAGTTGTTGATGTCTTTGAAGATTTGGAGTACTTACATCAGGTCACCTTGTAGTCTTTAATGTTCAAGACTAAAACTCTTTGCTTCCTTTGGCCTGTCACCTGAGGTGCAGTGCACTTCACATTGAATGATGAAATACATTGATGAATAACTAAGGTGGGTGAAAACGAAGTACTATTTGCCGTAAATAGAAAAACATCCCTTGAATGTTTGCTTAGTGTTGACAATATTTACAATTACTGCATACTATTTTGCATACATACAGTTATCCTTTACACACTGTGTTATCTTGTAACAAAATGCATTGGAAGGCAAAGTGCTGGATATTTCCAATAAAAGAAGAAAAAAAAAATCCTCATTGTTAAATTAGGAGAAATTAAGATCTTTAAGGCTTTCAAAACCTGACAGATGTTACAAATTAGCACTGTAACACACAGTGTGGTTGAGTTAATGGAGTTCATCTGTGCAATGTAGAGTACATGTTGTTTAAATCACTGTGCACATAATCCACGTCTCACTTGCTCAGTCACTGTTGATTACTGGTGTTTTTGTTTTATTGTCACAGAGTGAAACACGTCTGCTCAGGTTTATTTTTGGATTGAATTCAGGAGCCTTTCCACTTGTCACTACTGGGTAAGTGCCAATATCACAGTGACATGATCATGTGCAACACTTGCACATTATAGTGAAAAGTGAACTTCCTAATTTAAGCAAATGAAACTGTCAAACCATTAAAACAATGACATTGTGTTCTGGAAACTTACTATTTATTAATTATGGATAATTCTGCTTAGTCCTTACACGTGAATCCTGCTCTCAGCTGTAGGGGGTGAAGCCCTACTGTCACACACGGAAGAGATATTGCTCTTCTTTGGATCAGGTCACGTTTCACTGTACTTACCATTAAATCCTTCCGCCTTTGTTGATGTTCCTGTTCCTTCTCAGCCGAAGCAAAGGCTACATCAGTAATTTTGGAATGACAGGGGCAGTGTAATTCTTCGTACAGTAGGTCTGTGCACTCCAGTCGTTGTCTTTGGGTACTGAAACAAGTGGTGTATGATTTGTCAGCTGTTGAGGTAGATTTAAACTCTTGCATGAATGCACCTTATAAAAAGTAATTAGTCCTATCTTCCTGCTGCAAACCAAACACTAATTAACCATGAGGCCTCTTGCCAGATATAAATATGTACACAATTTCCTGGAGTCCATGTGAGAAGGGACTGAGGTGGGGGGTTGACAGCATTTTATAGATATTTGCATCTTCAGTTCTGACAATGATATTGTAACGCTTACGGCCGACAGGCACTGTGTAAGAGCCGGCGTACCAGAGCAGGTGACGTCACCGCCCTTCCCTGTGATAGCAGGACTACAGCTACGGGGCTGTAGAGAGATCAACCTGGACTTGAACATAAAGAAAACGAAAGAGCTAATAGTGGACTTTCGGAGACACAGGCCACACACTCACAGCCCACTCAGTATTGATGGAACGGAAGTGGAAACAGTCACCAGCTTTAGGTTTTTGGGAATTCACATCTCTAAAGATCTAACCTGGACTGTGAACACTGACTCTATCATGAAGAAGGCTCAGCAGCGCCTTTATTTCTTGAGGTGCCTCAAGCGATGGGGGATGCCAATACATGTGTTGGTGAACTTCTACCGCTGCACTATCGAGAGCGTCCTCACCAACGGGATCACCGTGTGGTATGGCAACACCTCTTCGCGAGAAAAAAAGGCACTGCAGAGAATGGTCAATATGGCCCAGAAGATCATCGGCTGCGGTCTCACCGAGATTAAACAGCTCTATGAGGACCACTGCCGTGGTAGAATTCTGGCCATCACAGAGGACAGTCACCACCCCGGGCATGAGCTCTTCACCCCACTGCCCTCAGGCAAGAGATATAAGAGCATACGGTCACTTACCACTAGATTCTTCAATAGCTTCTATCCACAAGCAGTGAGACTGGCGAACACATTTAGCCATCGCCCTCGGACCACACCTACACCATCACCATCTACCTCATTGTAATTTATTTATTGTATGTCTCCAGTCATTGTTTACATGTCTGTATTGTTTACATTCAAACTGTCTGCATGTTTACTTGCACATTGTCTATTGTTTGTTTGTACATTGTCTTGATGCACTGTTTGCACTTTGTTTTGTTTTTTACACTTGTTTTACAAATGAGAGACTTTCTGTAAGTAAGAATTCCATTGTACCAGTACCGGTTACATATGGCAATAAAGTTCAAGTTCAAGTTCACGTTCAAGATCTCTCTTTAGCTCACGGGGCTAGGTCACTGCAGAGAGACGCGGGAGTCCCGGGTTCGAGCCTCAGTCGGGATGGGGCCGACCAGATGCGGCAAGGGCGCCTGCCTGAGCCCCCGTTGCGTTACATTGGTGTCAGAAGTGGGGTGGGATAGCCCTTCGCCGGGGACAGCGATTTAAGCGGGGGAGAGTGTAACGCTTACGGCCGACAAGCAGTGTGTGTAAGAGCCGGCGTACCAGAGCAGGTGATGTCACCGCCCTTCCCTGTGATAGCAGGACCACAGCTACTGGACGCGGGAGTCCCGGGTTCGAGCCCCCGACGGTGGGGGGGCCGACCTAATGCGGCAAGAGCGCCCGCCTGAGCCCCCGTTGCGTTACAATATGTTTAAAACTAATTTTAGATAACAATACTTTAGAAACTATCATTCTTAGGCGGGTGGTCATGATTATGATGGGATTTTCAACTTTTCTAAAGTGACTTGAGAGTCTGCCCCTTTGTGTCAATCAACAGTATGTTCTGCTCTGTTGTGTTTGTCCCACACAATGCAGCGATGAAGCACAGACCGAGAATCGGCTTCTAGTATTTTAAAACCAGGGCATTGCCAGAAGACAATATCCCTCCTGCTGGAAAATGCCAGGAACTTAAATGTTAAAGCATTCTGTTGCTGAAAGGCCAAGACTTCGGGCTCAATATAACTTGAATTACGGATGCCTGGCTGTGCAAGTCCTCTTGAGCCCTGGGATTTACACGCCAACAAGCATGTGTGTGGGTGTCAGTATGATTAACACTTCATGTATTCACACACGGTCATTTCCTGAGGATTTGTCCTGCAGCTACTTTCCGAATCCTACAAAACCCCTGTAAAAAGTGGCAAATTCAAGCACATTTGATGCATTCCTTCCTTTGCAATAATTTATTACTATACAATAAATATGTACTTTTACATCTTGTGTCTAGGGGCCCCAAAACATATACACAACATGGTTGATAGAGTGGAGAGATATGAGGTTACAATACACACCCTCCAGGACTATGGTTGTTTTTTAGGATGCAGTCCTTATGAAAACTGTAGTACAGTAGTACAATAGATCTTTTAAAGACAATGCCTGGAGAAGGAGTAGTGAAATTAGAGCAAATTGCATGAATCTTTGATGAAGCATCCAAGATATCACAGCAGGGCTGTTGGCACATTTTGACCACATGTAACAACAAGGGCAGATCTGCTGTCTGGGATCTGTTGACCTGCAATATTACTTTTAATATTTCAGAACCATTAGAGATACTGTAGTATTGGCAGTAATCTAAGGGTTTTATGCTAAAAGTGTGAGTCACTTTGGGAAATGTATTTTGAAAACCAGTTTCCCAGCCAGGAGTGTGGTGGGACTTTCCTGAATTATTCAAATCTTCTGCCCTTCTCTGTAGTGTTCCACTTCTCTGCCAAGTTCTCTGGTTTCCTTTTTTTCTACTGCTTTATTCCTGTGTTTATATTACTGTTGGATTTACACAGCTTGTTTAGGTACCAAGTCTCTGTCATGCCATGATGCTTGTTCACATTTGTTCATTACTGTAACCCTATTGTGTGCCATGTAATATTACCCTTTTCCCCTCAAAACCAATAAACAAATTGAACATAAAAAACTGTTTTGTTTTGGTACTCTTATATTGTGTTTATTGAAAATGTCACAATGGTTTCAGTCTTCTGCAGCTGCATGTTAGGTACAGTAGGTATCCCGTTGTTTTCACCCAACTTGGGTTTAGTGCAGAACGACAGAAACGTCAATATCGCTTTCTGATTAAACGTTTGCATTGATTTCTGTTTAAGTGCGTGGTTACCAACAGGAACTCACATTTCTAGGATGCATTTTTAAACAAGGGATCACTATAGAAAACTATGATATTGTCTCAGACATCTAAATGAAAACAGTGGACTGACATTCTCAACAGCTTTAATGATTGAATATACAGTACAGTACACATACATAGTTTACTTCAAACGGATGCAACCCAATATTGTACGCGCAGGGCACGGTTCGGGTTGACCCGTTAAGGACGGTTATGCTGTTTGATTGCCGCTTCATCATTGCGTTTGTTGTGATTTTTTTTTTGAAGCAGTCTGCCAGACCATAACGAGTTCCTGACCTTATGTACGTTTGCGATTGTTCCGAAACCTAAAAAGATGCACGCCTCCACCCTTCTTAATAACAGATATGGTGCTGATCCACTGTGAATTTCTGTGCTGTTCCGATACGCAAACTAGTGGGTACAGTGCTTTGAATCGCGGCCATGCTGGTCCGGCAATGAGCAACCTGTGACTCCCTGTGTAGTGCAGGAAGGGATGGGCTCTCCACTCGGCGATGACTCATGGCGAGGAGCACGGATTATAACGTGCAATCATAATCATGGCAGGCAAACTGAGAACCGGCTAAATGCTCTTAAATAACACGCGCTCGACGCTATTTTTACCATCTAGGCTATTATTATCATTTTCTGGAAGCATTAAAAATTGATTCCTCGGGTAATTCCGACCCGGTTCACCTCCTTAAAAGAGAAACAATATTTCCCATCTCATAGAATTCTGATTCTCCTTCACTAGCACCTTTACATTGTATCAACACAGCGATATCGCAAGTAACCTCCTGTAAAGTATGTCTCCCTATGACATGTGTGCCTGCTGTACTCTGTCTATATGAATACTAAGTAGCGTCGCTTGCAAACTGTACACACGTCCAAGTTCTAACATACTAATTCACTCATTCACTTTGTCCATCGGGTAGCATAGATTACCAGGTATTCACGTTACATCGTACTGTAGCTTACTTTATCTTTAAAGGCGTTTTTTTTACTATTTTCTCAGTCAGTGGTACATCGTCAAGGAACCACGCAGTCCCCATACGCCGGGAATTCGTACCGACCTACTTTTTTACAACTGTGGTGATCGAATTATTGACTTAATTGGTCAAACCCCCCACCTCCTTTCCACGAGACTTCAGGTGTAGATTCATTTCAAACCTGCGGGACAGTCGCCAGCCTCTGTGATCGTGTGGCCAAAATAAAATTTAAACTGATTTTCATGTTTCCCGTTTTCCCCCCTCTTCTTATTGACTTTATTCGTGCGTTTTTGATCGCAGTCCAGGCTTTTCCCCTTGCATGCATTTTAACCATTAGCGGGTTGTGCCCAGGAAACCGAGCGCTTTGATAATAAGCTGTGACCACAAATCGGGAGCTGCGTCATTAGTCAGGAAACACGCAAATGGATTTATCAAAAAAGCACACAGGAACACACACACACACACAAGTGCTGCTGCTGGTGTTGCAGTCTCAGTTAATAATGACTAGTGGTGTTATTAATAATGATGATGAAGGGATTTATCCTTGTCCCTATATCAGTTTCATGCCAAATAAAGGCTTCATTTGTTTTCGTCAAACAGGTCTGTACACAAGCCTTTTTTAACCTACTTCTCAAACGTTTTTAAAATCAACTTTTGGATCTGTGTGACCGACGGCAAACGAATGCCATGCCCCGTGTCGCGTTAAATCGGAGAGTACCCATTTAGACGTCATTTGATACTTCTTTACCCTGCATCTTCTTTCTCTTTATTTCCTGTCCGTTGTCCTCGGCTCTGGACGCGTTGCATGTACAGGAGGTTACTTATAAAAGACAAGGGAGGGACGGCGCGCCGCCCACACTTCGTGCCTGAGACAGGGGGCAGCAGCAGATCGCGATCTCACTCATGACTCTCTCGATCTGCGGCGCAGAGCGTGTGGCTGCCCCCTGTTTTCCTGCTGCTTTTTTTTTTCTAGTACAAAGATGACAGCATCGCGCTGTTTGAAAACAGAAGTGAGACAACAGATATTAAGCCGGCGAGTAACTCTTAACTTACTGTTGCTGGCGTCTTGATCCCAGCCGCGCCGGCCAAGAGCAGCATCCGGGAAAACCTTTGCGTAAAACAGCAGCTAAGAAATCTGATCCCAGCAAACGCTTCTGGGCTTTGGATTCGCTTGGGTTGTGTCCTAGCATATGGAGTGCGTTGGCGGAGAAGGTAACTTCTGGGAGTATAATTGCAAAGGCTTTTTTACATCTCGTGTGAAGTATCGTGGAACAAGAAAACAAAAACTTCGATGAAAATGCCTGCAACATCCAGCTCGCTCCCTGTAAACAGAACCATTGTTTTTACGGAAAGCTACGAGAGAACGGATTCTTCAGATGCCCAAAGGCAGACGAGCCTGCTACTGTTTTGTTTGACTTTTGCTATCACAGTTATTACTTTCGTGGGTAGTATCTATTCGCTCCTATCTTTGCTGAAGATGCGGAGTAAGACCTCACTGTCGCTCATAGTGGCGTCTATGTCCATAGACGATCTCATCAGCGTGATACCGGTGTCTTTATTCTTGGTGGTGCAGTGGGGGGCCAGCGAAGACGCACGCTGCACTTTAGCTGGACTTCTGTATATCTTTCAGGGGATTTCAAGCAACATGAAAGCATCCCTCATTGCAGTCTACACTTTTTACATCACCAAACGTTTTGGGGTTTTCCAGTCCGCGAAACGTCCCCTGAGGATAGTGTGGGCTATAGGCGCTATATGGATAGTCAGTCTGATTGTAAGTCTTTTACCTCTAAGCGGATGGGGCTCTTTTTCTCCCACGCCTTTAGGATGCTTCGCAGATAGCTCCAGTTCTTACACCCTTCTCCTTTTCACTTTGTATGCCTTGTGTTTCTGCTCTCTAGCCGCCTTTTCCGTGCCTCTGAGCTATCAACTGTTGTGTTCAGACGAGCAACAGAAAACCTTTTACCCCAGCTATTTTGAACTCGCCCGGGGGCCGGCTGCAGACGGGTCAGCGCCAGTATGTGACAATCCGTCTTTTTCTCCGGAAGAAAGTTTCGGCACTTCCAGTCAGAGGAATGTCAGCTCAGTGCCACATTTAAACAGCAAAGTGGAGACTTACGGTTCCTCCAGTCCTGTAGTTCCTGAGTACCAAAGCGATAGAAACTCACCTGTGTTTTTTGCACAAAAGAGGTTTTCTTTGATCCTGGCGATGGTTAGAATTGTCTTATGGATGCCGATGATGGTAAGTCCCCACATGCAATATATGTAGCACAGTTTACATTTGCGATCCTTTATTTGAGCTCATACTGTAAGGCATGTGAGAACCGATTCAAACAACGTGCAGACTCCTTTGCTACCTACAGTACATTATGTACACAATAGGACAGTTACCGGAGCAATGCGAAATGCGAATGAAGTGCATTTCTCAAAGGTACAACAGCAATGTCCCACCTGGAACACCAGATCCTCTAATCGGGGAACACTGATCAGGTGGCCTGATATTGTGGGAAGTAGTGAAGATTCTTCCTTTCGGCTGCACCCTGAGCGTTTTGTCCCCTTGTACTTGTTTCAAACCGAACAGGTTACTATTTTTATGACCGTGTGTACTTCAGTGTTGCCTCATGATCACGGAACGGTCAAGGGTAAATCAAAAATTCCCAATTGAAATTTGCTTTCATATTTCCTTGTGTAATTGTCTTAATGGGAAATGCAAATTGGACAGGCTTTATAAGGTCCAAGTAATGTTATGTTTTGAATGATCCAGGGTAATTTCAATTATTCTAAGAATTAAATCTCCAAATAAACATATTTTCGGATTGTTATGAAGCTATGTGAACACACATTTAAATGTGCTTTAAAGGAGTTTAACCTTGAGCTTCCTGAAGATACAAAAGAAACTTGTTTCAAATCTCCAGGCAATGTTACAATGAACAGAAAACATGTGACAGTGCAAGTCCTTACAACCCCAGTTTTTCTGAGTATACTTATTACCCGGGATTATAATCACGTTGCGAATACGAAATCTTGTCCGAGATTTAGCATTGTATTTTGTAAAGGTTATTAGAGAAAGAAATCCGAAAAGGAAAGAATAGATACATGTCAGCTGAAAGGAGATTGATTATGTTAATTTCAGAGGTCACCACATAGAAGACACCCTACTCTACTTTTTTAAAGTGCCTTTGAATTCAATTCTATTGTCTGTCTTGACATACTCATCCCCATTAGGGGCTATAATCGCATTTTTTGTGTTATTCTGGTTCCAGATACAGATCTTTGTGAGTCACATCACTCATTTTACGACCTCGTCCTTTGAGACTCTGAGCTTCATCCTGACCTTACTGTCAGCTGGAGTCACTCCTGTGTTTGTTCTGTCTGAACGCTGGATTCATCTCCCGTGTGGCTGTTTCATCAACTGCCGGAGAAACGGTGACACCGTGGCGTCAGACCCTGCGCTGGGTAAGCATGTCGGAAATTATTTATTAGTATGCCCTTTTTTAAAATAAAAAGTCTCTTGACAGGAAAGTCTGAGTCAACTCGCTTGTAAATATCAAATTTTGTTTTTGAAAAATCCAGCAGCTATTGGGCTTAGTAATGCGAATGAAATATGGTTCTTCTTCTTTGCATGCATCTTTTCCTCTTTGTTTATTTAACTTACTGCCCCCAGTAGTTTATTTTTCTCCGGAACACAGTGTCACTGTGCTAGCTATTACAAAATGATAGTGGGACATTTTAGCTGTAATGGAAGCTACAAAATAGTTATATCTCACCTTCAGAGAACTCACAGAGAACGTTATTTCTTCTGCTTTAGATTTTTCGTCAAATTAAAAATAAAAGTTGGCAAACACTCGTAAGAAACTGACAGGTTATTTATATTTTTCGTGTATGCGCCATGAAAAAAATAGCATGCATGTCTGAAGCAGTGCAGTCTGATACATTACCACTTGTCTCTCTTTCCAGCAAAAAAGAGAGGCTTTGAGTTCAACTTGTCCTTTCAGCAAGGATATGGGATTTACAAGATAACCCAGGCAAATAATTCGTCTGCTGAAAAAAACGTCTATTGCAACCTCTTGAACTGTGGCACAAACAACAGGAAAACGACCCAGGCAGACTGCGGCCAGCCCTATAGCGGCGCCAAATTTGAGTTCAGTACCACAGCTGTAGAGGACAGCTCCCTGATTGCTGATTTCAGCCAGCGAGCTGCCAAGAGCGGGACCAAGCCGGGGGGCCTGACGTGCAGCGGATTTGATACCGGTTCTGAGCGAGCATCAGCCCAGGAGGAGAACAATGCGGACAGTTCCTCGGTCTTCGAGGGGCCGGAAAGAAGGCTGTCCCACGAGGAATGCCGCAAAATTGAACTCTCTGACTGGGAGTGGTGCCGCAGCAAATCGGAAAGGACCCAGCGTCAGGTAACAGTTCCCCTGCTGCCTCCAGACTTCCCGAAGTAGTTTCCGTCTAGACGCAAACAGGAATCTATACTTTGAAACCGGGGTTACAAATGTGAAAGATGACTGTGAACCACTGTGGCAGCCTATTGACAGGTGTGTGGGTCGCCACGTGGACATATTCCGCAGCCCCTAAACACAGATATCGGGAGCAGCAACCACGCCAATACTCGAAGCACCACAGACACTCAGACTTTCTAGAATTAGTCTTTAAAAGAAGAAAGCGCGTAACGCATTTCCCATGATCTTGGCAACACGTTCGCCAATGCAAAAGCAAAGCAACGCTACTAAGCATTCCGAACATCTAAAATGCCTGATGTGATTCTAACCCTGTATTATCAAACTCCGTATGCTTTGTTATTGCAAACGTAATACGGCAGTTTTAAAAAAATCTCCGTTGAGTAGTTCATTCTGGACCTCTTTTGGATTGCTTGTTCCTGACCCATGTTTTAAAACATAATCTGCCAAACGGGAAAGCAAAGACTCCCGAGGCTTGTTGGCAACATGGGAGCATAAAGTCTCCTCAATCGAACACGATTTTTTTAGCTTCCTGTTTGCACGTAAAGGTTAACTTTTATTGCCAAACAAAGCCGTTTTTTTTTTCAAAACAGAAATCGAGTTGTAGTCTGACAAGATCATTATAAAATGATTCCTTCTTGGCTGAAACTACTGGAAGAGTGTTTGTGCCCAGTCTTGGCCTTCTGAAAGAAGAAAAGATCGAACACAAATCTTTTGAGAATCTTTGTCCTTCACAATTCCTACAGCTGCTGTCTGAGCTGAAGGAAGAAATGAGCCAAAGAGGTCATTTGGCCCATCTAGCTCATTAGATTTCTAGTAGTTAACTGGTCTAAGAATCTCACCCAGCCACACAGTGAAAGCAGCCAGAGTGCCAACCTGTCTGGCTACCTTGTTCCAGACTCCCACACCCCTTTGTGTAAAAATGCCTGCTTGTTTCAGTCCGAAATGTACAGTTTTCCCCCAGAATTCTCTCTTCTGTACTTGGCTTCATGTTTCACTGTTGAATCTGAAGACATCCAGCGAGCTGCGTTTGGCAATGCCCTCCAGGGTATTGAGTACTGGGATCACCCCGTGCTCTCTGTGAAAGACTACAATTATAGTTAGTGTTTTTCTCATGTTAAATAAATATCAGCTTATTTTTAACATATTAAAGGCAACTTCAAAGCTTTAAAGTGCTCTTGTAGTAGATCTGGCCTTTGATTTCACCTGGCACTTCTAGTCTCTCTAAGATCTAACATTGAAAAGATTGTACCTGCGTACACTTAGCCTTGCACCATCCCAGCAGCAGAACACGAACTTCAGTGGTTGCAGGTGTCAACATCAGTCAACCAGAGGCTAAAACTGATAAGATCTTACCCAAACAACAATTGGGCTTACAAGTCAGGTGCTGCAGATTTTATTCATTTGGAAATAATCTCATTCCAGACCGTCTAACAAATGCCACCTGGCATGGAAATAATAACTCCTCGAAAACAGCCAGATCATCACACCAGCCCCATAACGAAAACATGACTTTGTTCATCTATGTCATACATGGGATAAAATACAAACTAAAACTGCATACTGAAGTGATAATGAAAATTCCAGTAATGATTCTCCTAACATCTTAAACTGCTTGTTTATGATATAATTTGATTGTTTGTCTAGAGTGCGTTTACAATTAAGTTTATGCCCATAAACATAAGGCTCCAATTTTTTCACTAATTATCGAGTTGACAGTTATGGTCATACCTAACAGTAGACAGTTTTCGTAAGAGGATGTTTACTTCTTTTAAAGATCTGGATTTGCTGGTAATATCAGTTCTGAGTCAGAAAAATAATCCATTCAGGTTGTAACCTCATTTAAACACACCGCGCGTACGCTTGGCCGAACGTGCAATTGCAATCTGTCTCACAGTTTTGAGTCTTGATTGTTAATCATTCCACCAAATGTGCATTTCTTTTTTTTTAAGATTGAGACATTTTAATGCGTAATAAATTTTGTGAAATGTGGAGGCTTGCTTCTTCAGCATTACCTTGAAATATGTCTCACATTGGCGAAGGCTCTAGTGCCAGAATGGCTTTAGTAGCGTCCATCTGCTGTGCTCTAACGGTAGTTTTACTGTTCTAATTGTCTCATGTAATACAGTACAACCAACAGGATGGCCAGAATGACAACAGTCCCATGAGCAAAACAGTCAGACTGCTTTGCTATTTTTTCAGCTTGTGATGACGTGTCACAGAAATGACAGTAATAATATTAAAATATCATTTTTATTTATTTTATAGGCTATTACCACTGCTGCTGCTAGTATTATTATTGCTGCTTCTACTACACACAAACAACTAGTGACCCAAATAATACTTAATTCATTGCATAATTGAAGGATCACTGCAACACCAGGCTTGCATACTGATGATCCTCACATCAGACAGAAAAGATGTCGGCTCAAAGCAGTAAAGATGCTTGAATTGTCAGTAAAGAGGATAAAGACTACATACATATTTGTTGGGACTGGAAGAAAGGCTGAACAAAGGCTGACCTTATTTGCTCTTTGTACGTTTTGGTAGCATAAATTGATTCCCAAATTAAAAGGCAGGATAACCATAGAAAAACTATTTTTCAATTCCCAGAAAAGAAAAGATTCCATAAGTAACAGAATAAAAGCAGCCACTCTTCAAATAATATCAAATGCCCAGGGAGTCTAATGTGCATGTATTATTATTTCATAATCATTCAATAGATGAATCTGTACCTGAGGCTTGAACACAGAAGTTTCTGTTGTGAAATGTAACTAGTAATTGATGTTCAGCTTCCTGTGGTGTCTCTGTTAATTAAGCAGTAATACTCTTTATGGAAGTGTCTGCCTGGGAATACGAAATGCTTTTGTACTTTAAAGAGCTTTAAGCACAGACAGCAGACCTTGACACATTTCCCAGTGTAATAATATTGCCATGGTTGTTTGAAGAATATGTCTGAGTGAATGTATGTTTTGCATAGAGTAAGTGCTCCTTTTACTTCTGATTAATTTATGAGGTACATTCTATAAGTATACTTTATGAAAATGTTACTAAAGTTATTTAACCTACTGTATGCTGTAGGTTAATGTGGCAAATGAAAAGGACTTCTCTATATCCCCATTGCACCTTCATATGTTTGTTCAAGGATCTGCTGTACAATAGCTGTTCACCTGTGTATTGGTCATTTAGTCCTTAAAATCAGAAGATTGTTTTCCTTCTCTCTCCTGTGTCATTCTTCAAGATAAAGCCACAGGTGTATAATGATTTGATACGAAAGAGGTTAAAACGACCTATTTCTTACCCATCTCTGTAATTTTCCCAGCTGATGATAAGTACTCGTAATTATTTTAACTAAAAAAAATATGGTGTTTTCAACTCAGCTTGATAAACAGAAAGTTATTTCATGTTATGCACTTTTTGGATGAGATGCTTTGTTCAGATGCAGGACACATTGTTGACACACGACGGAACTCCGTAAATAAGTCAACCATTAAGATGAAAAAAATAATCTATTCTACATACATTGATGCTGTTACCACCTTAGCATGATACCATCAGCTTTCAGATGTGGGACTCTTCCCTCTGGACCATAATTGCCAGACCTATGTGTCCAACATGTTAAAAAGGGACCCTGTGCTGTGAAAGATGCTATCTTTCAAATAAGATCAGAAACTGAGGTTATGGGTACTTGATTGTCAAAGACTGCATGACAAGGCACATACGAGCAGTGGTCTTAAACCTAGAACACTGTCTGAATTTCACTCTAGCCTTGCACTATTGGGCCCCCCCAAAAAAAACTTTCCCTTGTTCCACCCATTGCATTCAAGGGAATGGAGCAGTTTCTCATGTCTCCAGCAGTGGGGGTGTATAATGGCTGCCGAATTCCACTGAGGGCGGGAGTTGCACTGCTGCTGTGGTGGATGAAATGGGTCCCATCCTTCATGTGGACTATTTTGTGATCCTCTGCAATGAAAGGCACTATATGAATGCAATTTATTGCGATGGTTATTGCTATGCAGCACCCATAGCAGTGCTGTAGTTCAATAATAGCCTACAAGTACCACACATTAAGTTGCAACCTGGGATTATGAGATTAGGCTTTCTTAAGGCTTTGCCTGTTGTATACCTGATTCTGATTGACCTAATTAGGATTTTATTTTCTCTTTCTTTCAGAGGTCCAGTGGGGGGCTCGCCATCCCTCTGTGTGCGTTTCAGGGCACAGTGTCCCTGCACGCGCCCACGGGAAAGACGCTGTCGCTCTCCACGTACGAGGTGAGTAGCGACGGCCTTAAAATCTCTCCGAGCGCCAAGAAGATCGAGGTCTACCGCTCCAAGAGCGTGGGGCACGAGCCCAACACTGACGCCTCGCCCAGCAGCATCGCGGACACCAACGTGAAAATCCACCTGGAGGTGCTGGAGATCTGCGACAACGAGGAGGCCATGGACACGGTGTCCATCGTCAGCAACATCAGCCAGTCGTCCGCCCACGCCCGCTCCCCTTCCCTCCGCTACTCCAGGAGGGAGAACCGGTTCGTCTCCTGCGACCTGGGCGAAACCGCCTCTTACTCTCTCTTCATCCCCACCGGCAACCCTGACAGCGACATCAACATAACGATCCCTGACACGGTGGAGGCACACAGGCAGAACAGCAAGAAGCAGCAGCAGCAGGATAAATCAGGTTACCGGGAGGAAATACAATTACTTAACGAGGCCTATAGGAAACATGAAGGGAAGCCGGAGCAGTGAAGCCGGGCTGCAGGGCACAGCGTCAGGTGCTGCTGCAGGAATCACACAAAGTGCGCTTGGCATTTCGCCTCAAGTCCTGTTGCTGATGAATGAATGTACGGCACTTCTGTATTCTTCTGCCCACCCCGGAGGCAACGTTAACATGTCGTGTGACAAGACAAGCTCCAGCCACGGCGAAACAGAGAAAAAAAAATCTCGGTGCCCTTTTCCTCTGTCCTCAATAGCCAACAGTATGTGTATCTCATTAGTGACTCATGTAGTTGCGCTAAATGCCAGATGAACTTGGAATTTAGAGTGATAAAAATTCAAATCTCGCTCCACATGCAGAAGTCTTTCCCTGACTCACTACTGTGACAGTGCTATCGTTGAATCTCAGCGTGAGTGAAAATGTGGCATGCCATCCATTAAGGTCAGAAAGGAGATTCGGGACTTCCTAATTATTCTGCTTTAGTCTGAAGTTAGCTACTGTACAAATACATTCGTAGGTACTTCAATACTGTTGTGCACAGAGCTTTTACTCGTGTGTGAGTTTTTAAACTCCTTGTCGCACACACTGATCACTGCACAGCGCAAGTCTTTAAGGCCAAGTCAGCAGTTCGGGTCAGTCGGTCAAGACAAATTAACAGTGAACTGCAGCACAAAAAGTGTCATGTTCTTTTCATGGAGATGTGTTTCACTACATAACCTTGGGTTTTTATTACATAGAATATGCATTACACATGGTAAATTGACTGCAATGAGTAATAGCTTTTTCTGAAGCACAATTACATGAGTGAGATTGTTCAATTGTTTTTCTTAGTTTTGCACTGGGTCAACTCTCCTGACCCCAGACTGCAGTGATGTAGACCACTCTATTATATTTAACATGGATTGTCAGGACAAAGTGTCTTTTGAATGGAATCAGCACTCAGATAGTACTAAGCAGACTTTACCACAAGTGTGCATTAGTGATTCAGATTCCTGCTGACTGGATTTAGGTTTATATACAGAATGAACAGAAAGCATTTTAAGAATCAGATCATAGAAGGTTTCTCCGTAATTATTTCACTACATCGCCATCTAAACAAGGCAGGACATATACCGAGTGAACAGCAGTTTTAGGGTCAATAGGTGATAACTAAAAGCTAAAACCAAGAAGAATATTTGTCACAAAGAGGGGAGATTGCTGCACATACAGTATCAGCTATTTAAAGAAATAAATACCAATGAACAGAGTGCAGACAATACATATTGTTTTGTAAAATAGGCAATCAATACATAGTATTACTAGGTAGTGGAATAGTCAAACGATGTAATTATTGAAATTACACACTCATACCATTACCGTGCTTCTGATCATCTCATTTAATATTGTAACCAAGATAAAAACATGTCAAACCAATTCCATTTTTGGAAGGGGTTATCATGAAGTGTGTGTAGGTCAGCTTCAGTCCAGAGAGCAAGAACAGCATGGAAACAGTGCTTAAGAGCAATTTCTGTCTTCATCTTTTCAGTTACATAATGGTCCGAATTGGAGAAGATCAGCCCTGATGATTATAATTTCTCATAAAGCACCTCTTAAAAAGCTTTCACTGTAGGAACATTCATTTCAAAATTACTTGGAAACAAAACCTAACAATTTATTCACTTGAATTTGGTAGCAAATGCAGTACGTACTGTATATTTTGCTAAAACCTGTGATCACTATCTACAATATGGGGGCGGTACGTTCCACTAGCTTTGAGTCTGCCACGCCTAATTGTGATCTCTCAAAATTTGCAGTAGATTGCTGTGCTAAAGTCTTGCATTGTTCTTCTCTTTTCCCTAAATGTTTTTCTTTCTTTATGCAGAAATACAATGACACTGTGATCTAGTACTATATTTTCGTCATTTGTTTTAAATTAGCAGTTAGTCCTGGTACATCTGGATTCTGTAATACATAAAATAGCCTTTTAGCTTTCCAGATGCATGGAGAGGAGGAAATGATGCTAATGATAATGAACACTTGACACTAAATCAATTAGATTTGATTGTTAAATGTGATGGATTAGCTACTACAACACTTCAGAGTACTAACATATACTTTGTGATCACGTTAGTGGAAATTCTGTTGAATGTGAATTAAGGATTGCACAATGTCATGCTTCATTTTTCACCCAAACTAAGCTGCCTAAATTGTTATAATAGTAGACAACACTAGTGAAGACTTTGAGTACATTTTTGTGTTTATAACATACATAGAGTGTTTTCAAACTCCTGATTGTGTCCTAGATGTCTAAGACTTTAGCACAGCAGTGTACATGTACTGTATATACATCCAAAGCCTTTTAAGGTAAAGGAAAATGTATATTTTTAAGAAACAAGCTTGATGTAACATAAATACTTTTAATTTCAAAGAAAATAAATAAAATTGTGTCTGAATTTTTTATTTTGGTTTCATTTTTGTTGTTTAGAGAGTTCGAATATTTTAGTGACTGAAAGGAGGTGTGTTAGAGAGGGGACTGGAGCTAATAGGTACTCATCACTAACTGGATTGTACTGCTTACATTAAGAGTATGTGCGAGACTGGCTGTTACTACAGTATTTCCTCTGGTCCCTCACACATTCTCCATGAATACCAGTTGAAGCCTTATAAATGACCTTTTAAATCAATTAGTTCTATTAGTGGTTACGTGGAAAAATTATATGAAGGTATTGTGCAATTATGTGGGATTAGGGTGATTGTGAAGGGAGTAGACTCACAGATTCTGGTAAACTGTGGAGATAACTGTAAGAGTGGTAATGCTTTAATTATTTTAATGTAATATTTATTTTTACTGTTTGTACGTTGTTTTTTGTAAGTCTCTGTGTAAAACATTGCTGCTTGGATGCAAAACAAATTTCTGAGAAGTCAGACAATAAAGTATTATTGTACCATATAAGTGGAAAGAAATGTTTGGTTCAGTAAAATATTATCGCCCATGAAATGTCAAACCAACTGGACTAGAGTACTGTATTGGCAGTGTGACAACACTGATTGGCAGTGAGAACAAAACGGAAATTTATACAATTTAGAGTAATAAGCAGAACATAGTGGAACAAACAGAATGTCATCACGAGATAATTATTATCATCTCTTTATTATATTTGTACTTCATCATTACAGGCCAGCAAAAACAATACTGTAATTCAGGTTTTTCAACCTTTACATTTACAACATACTGCATGTTTTACCAATATGACCAAACAAAAACAAAATATTGACCATAGAACCCTGTTGACTCAGTTTTGCAATGCCCAGGCATTTCTTGTAAATAAATGAATAAGAAGAACAAAATTAATCCTTTCTTTGAAACTGGCTTGACATTGTCCAGCCATTCAGAGCACGAAAGCTCACAGTGTGCCATTAAGATATGTCTTGTTTTTGTGTTGTCTTTCAGTTATTACAGTAACTCAACATCATTCTCAGTGCTCAACACAATGGCCGAAGAACAGGCAGCTGCATGTGAAAGTCGATAAGCACTACAACAATACACACACACACGAAAGGAGCCAAAGTCATGACCCAGAAGCCATTCGTTTATAGTGCTTCAGTAACAGCGGGCCAATATCTAACAGATACAGTACAAAAGGCTGCACAACTATTCAAGGCAGAAATCCCATTCATTCTGCCAGTAAACCAAGAAGCTTTCAATCTGTAGCACCAAAAACAGGCAAATTGACCAAGATAGTATGCACAGATTCTACTGTGCAAATCAACAATATTGGAAGATATATCACTTTATCCATACAATATGCAAGGTCTTCAAAAGATGTGAAATGAATACTAGAACCAAAATGTATTAAATTTTAAAGTCTCTCAGTGTACTGTAGTGTGTGAATGATAACCCTAACCCTACCTGGGTTGTCAACTGAGCATTTCCGCTATCTATATCTGAACTTCTCTGGGCATAGGATTTTGACATGTTCCCCAAACCCCCCAAAAAATGAGTGGGAAACAATCAAGACCACTGATAGAAGCACTTGCAAGAGAATGAGATTCAATAATGCTTGGTTATAGCTTTTGGTCCGACCGACTCAGTTTTGGGATACAATTACTGCACGGTTCACCACACCATTCAGCCCCAAAGAGTTTCCCAAAAAAAATTCAGATAGGAGCAAAAAACTATTTGTCCTAAATCTTACCTGGATCCCACAATCCAGCCCTTAGCTTAAAAATTGTCTAGATAGTGTGTGAATGCTAACCCTAACCCCACCTGGGGTGTCAACTGAGTATTTCTGTGATCTATAGTATTGTCACAGACTTCACAGTTCACTTCTGTCTATAAGTTTTGTATGCATTCACGTATGAAAGGATGAAAGACATTTTGAAAGAACTACCCCACCCCAAAGTGACAGCTGGACCAAACAGAGAGATTAAAGTTTTCCATTTTTGATGTGGAACAAAACTTGCTTCTCAATTTTTCCGAATATCTGTACGTGTAAAGGTGAACATATAGTAGTGACACTAGAATCGATAGAAATAAGCTCCATGTACAGCCATATATTTTTGTATTCTGAACGGTTCAGAAAAAATAGTTGGAGTAAGACTGTTTAAATTTAGAAAAGGTGAAGGAAATGTTGAACTGGCACAAGAGAATGAAGATCATCCTTTCATTTGTATAAATTGAAAAAGAGTATTTGCCTGAACTGTACTTCTTACATTTTGTTCCAACCACATTCTCGGTTACTTACACAGTCTGTTTTTTTAGCTACATACAGTAATTGCAATGCTTCTAACCAGATACTGCAGTGATTTCTAGGTAACTGTACTGATATTGAAGTGAATTTCTTGTGTAATCATCTGTATCGTGTGTATGTATAATTAAGAAAATAATGAGGTCCATATTGTTTAACTGACTACAGAGTCTGAAACAAAACCCAGGAGATGCAAGGCCCTCGAGGAACTACGTCCAACACCCATGAAAGTATTATTTGGCACATGATGGATGATTTGGAATCAACACAGACCATTAACATCTGAAAGTGAAAATGGAACACCTCCCTGACAGTGGTGTTGCATTCATGAGAGAGATATTTAAATATGATTCATTTCAGTCCATTCTTTCTAGCTCAGGGCATCTATTGCAGAGCATCTCCTTTTTTCAACCCTGTAATTGCTGCACAGAAATTAATTGGCACTCTTATTTAACATGAATACACACCTGAGATGAAAGCATTTACATATTAATTTCTTGGTATCTGTACAAGAAAAATAATAATTGCAAAATTCAAGCGTCTCATTTTTCGGTTCAAGGTTTCTAATGTATATAACAGGTATGAAAATACAGACATATATCTGACCTTTTTTTACTTAACGCTTATGATAGCTCTTATATCGGACAAATTGCCTGAAACACATTTTGCCAAAGACCTGAGATTAAAAGAAACTAAAATTAATAGAAATGGCACTTCTAAGGGAACGGCAATTTCAAGCCAAGCATTGAAGATTCATACAGTGTCTTCTGAAACAGAACTTTAACCGAAGAGTGCAATTTATTGACTCTAAGGACATCACTTCAGACATATTGAGGTCCTCTGCAAAGGGATTTTAATTTATTTGCTTTTATAGATGCTGAAAATTCCTGTCTTTCAACTGCAGGGAAATTACAATTTCCTTTTCTTGATATTATGTCTGTTAAGGTCTTCATAAACAATGAAAAAAATTGCAAGAGGATACCATCTGCATATGAATCTGATTCATCTTTAATGAACGTTGTGTGCAGAGCATTCGGGATGATCTCAAGAGTATTCACTTTGCACTCTGTTTTGCTTTAGCAATAGGTTGTCGGAGACTAATAATTTTGTTCCTCTCACTTAGAATTAGGCTTCCAAAATTATTAATTCAGAAATGTACCTTCCAAGTTTAAGTAATAGAGCTAGTGGCCACCTCCGATTTTTCCAGTCAAGTTCTGTATTTTATTTGGTGTATGCTGTCTACACACTTCAGGAAATCCTCATTGGGAAACATCACTTCCAAACATCTGCAAGCCCTGCAGCATGTCAAAGATATTTTGTGCCTAGTTACTTCCAGGCTGAAGAGCACCTTTGCTGCTACAGCGACAGCCTTGGTCATGGTGCAGGCTGTTGGTTTTTATTTTTCACAAATGCAGCCTGGGCTGAAGGCTCCAGCCTCATGGCTCAGCCCTTATACTTACTTGGGTTTCAGAGCTGAAGACCCAGAGCTGAAGGCCGTGATTTATTCTTTCTCGGCTGTTTACACACTGGGCGAGTCCCTGGAACACTGACACAGCCACAGGCACAGCTATACCCTGGCCTCCCTTGAAAGGACAACAGCCTGATTACTGTGCTTGTTCCATCCATTCCATCCACTAGAAGTACCAGCTAATAAACAACTGTTTCACTTTACATCTTGTGAGTCTGTTTTTGGGGCCCTGCCTAGAACCTGTGCCTCTATTGTCATCCACCCCAAGTGGCATTACAATAATATAATGAATTTGGTCACTAACTGCATTTAAGGGGGTGAAGGACACATCATGGTATTGGCCAGTGATAATTACCTTCACAGCATGTTCGGGGTCAATTTAAGAAAAATGATCTGGAAAAATATCTTCAAAGCAGCTTAAAGGCGTCAAATACCTTAACAAGACTGTACATACAATGGTGGAATACAAGAGTGAAAGATTTATGGGCATTTTTCACTTGATAGTCACACACAGGTACACAGGTTACAATTTTCTCTCTTGCTCCTGGAACTACTTGACACTGATAACCTTGACCTGCCCCTCCCCAGCACAGCGTAAGGGTTAAAGGTACTGTAATTATTACTCATTGTGGCGCAGTAGGCAGTGAAACAGCTCAGTATGCTTTGCTTACACTATTACACTTGTGTTTCCTGGCATGGAGGCTGCAACACATTCACTTCTTACAGTATTGGGTTTATGCCGTCACACAGGGGTTGTTCCTTTCCAAAACATTCAAAGTGAAGAAGACAAGAATACAAGAGATGTACCTGAAGGTTTTTAAGAAGAAAAGTAAAATATTCCTTGTAAATGACACATGCCTGTCCATGCACAGAATAGTAGTGAATACGTGTAGGAGCATGTCACTTCACCTAGCACTGAAGTGATCAGCAGCCGTTCTGCACCAATAGTCCCATTCCACAACAGGCCAGAAGGAGGTGTGGGACTTCGCCAGTAAGGAATAACTTTAAGAGAGGCCAAATTGCACAAGAGTAGGGAACACATTTGTGCAGGCATGTCAATTTGAAGGACAAACTCTCATGGAAATTCCAGTTGAAAAGGTTCTACTGTTGGCCAGTCCCAGTTCAAAATGTTTCAAAACCCACCAGAGTTTATTACTGAATTATTTTTAAAGAGACAGCTATATTACCATTCGATTACCAGAAAGTGTTTACTGGCAAGGAGCTTATACCAGTTCAAGCCAATAGTAACTTGTCAGACGATTAGAAACCAGATGCTCGTTTCTGCTGTAACCACCAGGACCTTACACAAGGGCAAACGAAGCTAGCTACCAGGAATCTAATTACATTCACTACAACAGTAAAAAAAAAAAGATAAAACTCCGACCTAACTCTACAACTGTACACATGCAAGAAGTACTACAGTTCTGGCCTTCTGACTTATTACACATTCACTCAGTTCTGAGCTTCAAAATAGCTCCTCCCCTTCGCACCACTCTCACATGGGCCTCGAGTTAGTTGATGACGCCATAAGAATGCGACATGCCGGATATGTTTGCTGTAGAACAATAAGAAATATAATACAGTCCTTTTTCACTTTGAATAGAAAATAAAATGCGATAATATATTTTATAAACGTTCGGTCCTGACGGATTGATACTGAAATTTGTAATTTAGTTTTTTTTTGTCACTAGATTCTTTGTAATACTAGGAGAATAGTGGGAAGCGTGGTGCTTTTGTGTCTAAGATTTGCTGAAGCCAACTAGCACGTTCTGAGGCGGGATAGTACAGTACGTTAATTATAACAAAACATAAAGAAACACACACACGGTGATTTTAGCTAAACATTTTCGACGACACGGAACAGTCTTCTGGCTGTACACCCTGCGAGGTATGAGCTATGGATACGGCAGCTGGAGAGGCCGGCGAGGGGGTCGCGGGTCCGGCGAGGACAGCGGTGAGCGGTGGGACCGCGGAGCCGGGTCAAGCAGAGGGGGATACCAGAGAAACCCCGGCGGGGACCACCGGGAGGACGAAGACTCGTTTCGGGGACGGCACCCCAGCCACCTGAAAGGCAGGGAGATCGGGCTGTGGTACGCCAAGCGAGGAGGGGTGAAAAGGAAGGAACAGGAGAGAAAATCGGTAGGTTTGACCAGTGAGAAAAACCTGCAGCCCTAAAGCGGTCTGACATCAGCCTGATGATAAGACAATAACATAAGCGGACCTAAAAATCTATTCCATCATAACTTACCATACCCCCCAGATAAAAGTAACATCACATTTGGAGATACTATACATTAACATGATTTATTAACGTTCCTAATTATAAGGGTAAGATTCCGGGTGATCAGTATGCTGACGATTGTTGTAGGCACTTCAGTTAATGTGGGAAAACAGCCCATTGAATTTGATGACACCTCACTGGGTGCAGCTGACAAAGTTCCTTTTTCTCATGAAGTAGTCTGTGTTGTCCAGTCGATGTACACTGCTGTGTAAACGGCACTGAGCCTCAGAGCTATGCCCTCTGCCCCATTCATGTGTGGAGTGCTGCCGGCTCAGGTGGTCTGTTGTGTTTAGAGAGCTGTGGTTCAGATGGATGAATCGCGAGAGCACCACATCACCCAACTCCTCAACTCTGTCCAGACTGACAGCGCCCCAAAGGAAGCCCGCTCCTCTGCATCTGAGGCGCCCCAGCCTCACAGAGACAGCCAGAGGTAAGAGAGTACAGTATTTCCCAAGGTGTGATATAGGAACAAGTAAAGGTTTATTCCATGCTGGAAACAAGAAAAAAAAACACACTGTTTCGGCTGTGGAGCCTTCTTTAGGTGTGCTGTGTCATGCATTTCTCACTGTAATTCATGTTTACAATTACATTCAGTTGTTAATTACAGTGAAGTCTTAATTTTAATGCTGGGGACCAGATTCATAACACATTTTCTGATGTTCTTATTGTTCTTAAAGATCCTGAATGATCTTTGTGACACTTCAGTTTTCGTGGTGCTGCTTTCTAAAAAAAAAACTTTAAGCAGCTATTTTAAATGCATGGCACAGGGTGTGACACAGTATAACTACAAAAAAGCAACCGGTGATTAGTTTTGATGAAATGTTTCTTACAGCTGTCCCTTATTAAAATATTTTAATCTTACCCTTTCGAAACCTCCCCTCATTTCAAAGACAGTGGTCAATGGTGCGTAGAACGTCTTGCAGCAATAAGCAATGGATGAAAGTGCTTAGGAAAAATCCTAAATGTCCTTTCTTATGTTGTGTGAACCTGTAAATGCTGAATTAGAAATAGTCTGGAATGTACAGAGCCTGTGCAGTTGGAGTTGGGTCTCCCTTTTCCAAAGCTGTGTTGTCCCTTTGTAACTAAGATATTCACAGCTGCAGGTGATTTCGCACTAAAATATGTGCCAAAGTGTCTTTGGTTATTGCCCGTATCGGACTTGACCGGATCATCACAGTTACAAGGGTGTTGTCCCAATGAGCACTGACACCCATCGCAGCAGTTCTCCTGACCATGGAGATTCTGCTCATTTCTACATCTGCACCCACGCACACAACCTTTGAGGAACTATTGTGTATCTAACCCAAAGTTTCTGCATTATATTTCTGACCTATAGATCAGATTTTTAAGCGTTTGCATGTTGTATTCATAGTCCCCGAAATGAGATGAAATGACAAATTCAGCCCTATGTGTTGTGTAAACATGTGTAGATGTAACATTAGTGAAACTGATTGTGCAACCAGCTCAATCATTTGAAGGTCAAAAGACAGACAATGAAGAGAAATGCTAGGGAATGTTATAACTGTAGGTCAGTTCATGTTTTTAATTGCATTCACTTTTTGACAGGAATGTAGCTGTCTGTAGTTCTAAGTCTCCTTAAACAGTCTGAGCTCCTGATTCCTCAGTCGTTATTGAATAGATGACAATGCAGACTAGTTTTCTCAGTCTTATCTAAAAACAGTCTGTATTAGGATCTTCAGTATATTAAATTATTCAGCAATATTAATACATGTTTGGTAAACTGGTTCGTTAGTAAAATCTTACGAATAGTCTTGTCGTTTCTACTGTTCTATGTTTTGCTCCTACTGTGTGGAATTTGTTGTTTCCTGCAGGCTTTAGTATTGCTGTCAGAGTGCATCTCTACTGGGTATTGAGCATATCTGAACCATCGCCAGCAGTGAAAAAAAATGTGCCTTGCTTTTAATTGGACTTTTTTTTACAAATGTTTGGAACCTTGATTTTTTTTTATACCTATTGTTCTGAACCCTATTATCATGAGTAAATAGGCTTAGTAGATGTTATATCCAGTTATAATGACATCCCAAAAGGTTATTTTAAATGTGTGACCTAAAGCTTTTATTGTACTCTGCTGTGTGCTTAATAGATCTGTATGACTAAAGGGTGGGGAACTGCTGCTTTTAATGCTGGAGGACTAATTATAAAACTCATTGAATTAATTTAATTTTATCTAACTGCAGTAAGATACAGTGCTTTATGTGTTCATGCAAAAATATGTTTTTCCTTTGATTAAGTTTGAGTTTTTTTCCTAATCTTTCTTGGAACAGGGTACAGTACAGTGCATGTAAACTAGGATATATGTGTTCCTGTTCTAGGGTTTTCCGATCTGATAGTGCTACACAAAAGGATACTAAGGAAGTAAATGACCATGACTTGGAATACTTATTCCAAGACATTGTTCGAGATTCTAGTCTTGACCAACAGCTGAAAAGAGATCTCCAGCGAAAAAAAACAGATCCAAAGTACTTGGAAATGTTGGTAAGAAATTCTTTCTCACAGTTTGACTTAATTATTTAATTATATCACTTAACTTGCTGTTAATTAATCTGCTTATTGTTGAATTAAAAGGATTAGATTTTTGACTTAAGAAGGCAGAATAAATGTAAGGTCATCTGTATACTTTCACAACTCCTTATTATTAGCAAAATCTTTTCTTAGATCTTGAAAATGGGCTCACATTTGTATCCACTTATGCAGCAGGGTATTTCAGCTAAGTGAAGCAGCATTGTTCAGTCTTCAGATCTTCAAGGGATCAAGAGCACCTGCAGCCTTCTAGTTGCACTTGTCCACACTGATGTGAACTGTTATCATGTGCAATAATCATAAATCCTTTATGTGTTTTTTTAGAAATTCAGGGAGAAACTTCCATCATATTCAATGAGAAAGGTAAGACATTAGACCTTTTCTTCTGCAGTGACAAATCTTCTCTTAATCTTTGGGAATTAGTTGTATTGCTGCTATTCTTTTGACTGTGCTGAAACATTCTGACCTACAAACATACCATTGAACAGTGTGTGATGGTTAAAAGTGTGTTGTATAAAGTCCACAGTTTCATGCATCCAAACAACCAGGAATAAGCCATGCTTTGGCCTTATCTTCTTTCTTTGTAACTTATTCATACAGGAGTATTGGAGTCAGGAACAGTGTGCTGAGGGCAGTTTGGTGTTCTTTTTTATGCTTGTAGCTAAGAGCAAATACTTTCACTTTAATGCAGGAGCCTTTTTACATTATATGAGTTATGCTATCTTTGTTTGATATTTAATGTAGCATCCATATTGTCTGTCTTGCACAGTTATTTGCTGTAGAATTACCCTGATCAGTACGAAGTGCAAAGCATGTGTCCAGAATCATTAGAGTAATGGCTTCTTGACCTACTGCAAAGACTGAATGAAGAACCATTGCCATACAAAAAATTAGGTCATTTGTGCTCGTCTTACTGTTCCAATTGTACAGCATCACGCATTATAAGATGATGAGAAAATAAGCTGCTAGCAACAAAGACTCAGGAAAAACTGCATGACACACTGCTTTGTGTCGCATGTCTGCAGTTTTAAGACCAGATGAAAAAGAGATATTTAGACTAACATGTCCACACCAAAGTCTCCTGAGGCTGTGTGCTTGAGGCTGTCATTTTTAGCTCTTCAGGCTAGGGCTTATGTCGTGGTTGTCACAAAATCTAAAAGCCAGAGATACTTGGTGACTTGCAACATGTTTTTCAGAAGTGGTCTGCAGTTGTTTCTGACACGCTGAAAGGCTGCCGAGCATACACACACACACACACCCATGTAGCTTGAAAAGAAAACCAGTGAAGAGGCTTTCTGCTGCATCCTCTGGGAGAGTCACTCAAAGCTGCACTGACAAGGAAGCTTTGAAATGAGCCTTCTATTACACGCATCCCACTGAGTTAATGGCCTTAAGAGTTTGCTGCTTGCTAGCAGAGTGGAATTCAGAGGCCTTTTACATCCAGATCAAAATTCTGTGAACCCTAAATATAATTAAGGGAATTATGCTTCTGTTCTACGATACCCTTATTTTATTGTTTTTTTAATAATAAGGGTTTTGTATTTTCCTGTTCAATGTTTTTTTAGATGCATTGGTAATTGAAGTTAGAAAAAAATCGGTGTATGTCAGAGGTGTCAGAAATAAAAATGAGGTTCCTTTATGTAATGAAAGAGAAATGTCTGTTAAGAGAATATTTCACTCAGGTGTTCACCAAGGATGAAGTCAACATCATACCTCATTGCTGGGGAAAGACACATTTCAATTTTAATTAGTACCTGCACACAGAAGCAGAAGTGTCATGGGTACTAGGAGCACTTCATCTTCAGGGTGTGATGGTATTCCACCAGTTGTATTTAGAGAAACAAGAAATGTTACTCAAGAGACCTTTAGCAAAACTCTTCCTACAGTTGTTCAAGCCTATTGGATTATGAGTCCATAAGAGGTGAGACAAAACAGAACAAAGTGATTACAGAGCTGTAATGTTTACATCTGTTGTATGTCATCCGCCAATAGGATTCTGGAAAATAGTCAGCTATTTGCTTGCCAACTTAAAACAACTTCCCTTCCTTTAAAACCAAACACGCAAGATGGGTCGAATGATCTCCACTTGTTGGCAGACTCTTTGATATAGGCCAGGCCTGTTAGCCCTTCATCTGCTCATCTATGGACAGCGTGTTGCACTCATGTACTTTTGGGACACTGCATTAATATACTGTTTATACTGTAGTATTTTCAGTCTGTATCTATCTATGTGCATTTTGCACATCTTTTATTGTTTTACAGTGACTCTTCACATTTTTGCACACAACTATTTTGCTAACTATTTTGTATTCAATTTGCTTATTTAATTACTCTAGTGCTGTAGTTTTAATTTTAGCCTATTCTGATGTCTGTCTTGCTTTTCATGGGCTGGGCTGCTGTAACGCCTCAATTTCCCTCTGGATCAATAAAGTCTTATCTAATTAAAATACCGTTAGGATTTTGTAGCGAAGGAGGTGGTGGGCCTCTGCAGACAGTAAGAACAGCTCTCACAGTGTGCGTCTGGAATTCCCCATGAATATCTGCAGTTCCATCCCCTTCTCCCAGGAGGGATGCCTTGTGCTGAAGCTGTGATGCTGTGTGGGTGTGAACCACACATTCCACATTGTTTCAGTAGGGGCGTAGGAGAGTAAATGATTTTCTGGGGATTTCTCTTCCAAGGGGAAGTGGTTGACTGCAATGGACTGGCTTCCTATCTAGGGTGTGTCCTGCCTTCCGCCATTGCTTGCCAGGATAGGCTCCAGCTCCCTCCCAATGCTGTTTTGGATAAAATGGTTAGAAGATGGAGAGATGGGATGGAAAGGTGGTCGAAGTCTAGGCCATGCTTCTCTAGGCTACCACTCCTTTCCTGCCAACGAGAGTCTTCTCATTGGATTGGGCGGCTTTTCTGATGTCTTTGCCAGTGTCTGCACATACAGAGTGTGGGGGCCTGTTCTCGTTGAGGTAATCTGCCCTGCGGAATCTTGCAGGAGCTGGTGGACCTGATAAGAGGGAATCAGGTGGTGGTGGTCAGCGGAGAGACGGGTTGTGGCAAAACGACGCAGGTGACTCAGTTCATTCTGGACGACTACATCGAGAGAGAGATGGGATCGCTGTGCAGGGTGGTCTGCACTCAGCCCAGGAGGATCAGTGCTATTTCTGTAAGTCTGTTATGAAAGTAATACTGCAATCATAAAAAAAAAACTGATAATAGATGGTTATTTTCAAACATCTAAGGACATGCTTTTCCTCGTCTGAGGAGGGTAAGATGCATTTGATTGGTCAGTCAGGTGTGGGGATGGTTCGTCAGCAGATCAGGGACCTTAACACTCTTTACTCTAAGTGTGGACCCCATATGGATACATGTTTTTTAAAGGCAAATAGTGCTGTGTTTTAATTACTTTTTATTAATTACTAACATAGTGTACTAATTTAAAGCTGACTGTTTTATCCAAAGTGACATACATACATGTACATACATTAGCGGTGCAGTGGCTCAGTGGCTAAGGATCTGCTCCTGTGGCTGGAAGGTTGCCGGTTCGATTCCCGCGGGCGGCAGAGGAATCCTACTTAACCCCAGCTGCTCCAGGGGCGCCGTATAAATGGCTGACCCTGCACTCTGACCCCAAGCTTCTCTCCCTGTCTGTGTGTCTCATGAAGCAAGCGAAGCAAGTATGCGAAAAGACAAATTCCTAATACAAGAAATTGTGTATGGCCAATAAAGTGATCTTCTCTTATCTTGGTACCCATTCACACAGCGGTTATGTTATGGAGCAGTATTGGGCTTAAGTGCCTTACTCAAGGGTACAGCTGCACTGTTTCACCTGGCATGCACACCCACAGCCCCCACGATTCCTTTTTCTCTTGGAGCATACATGTAGTGGGGATGGAGGGAGGAAAAGCCTGTTTTTCTGATATTATTCAGCATGCTGTTGTTCTCTTCTGGTGAGATTTATATCCAGATGTTCACATCGGAGGAGATGGATCAGGGAGCTATCTATTTAAAATTAACTTCCCAAAATATTTTTAGATGTAGTTCTCCCTTCCTTGCCCAGATTCAATATTGTTCTTTCTGGTGCTTGCAGTGAAGGCGTTTCTTTGAAGCTCATTAACAGCAGGGATTTCGAATGTTAATTTCTGAGTTTTGCTGATTGTTTAGGTGGCTGAAAGAGTTGCTGCAGAAAGGGCAGAAAAATGTGGAGAAGGAAACTCCAGTGGCTATCAGATCAGACTGGATTGGTGAGTGAAACCTGTCAAGTGTTCCATTGGAACCACTGTAACAGTTTATGCTTTTGTGGTGTTTATTAAGGAAGTAAACTTTGCTGATTAATAATCCATGCTGATTAAAGCATTCCTGTGTGCATGTACACTGTGAAAGCACTGAGATGCATCAGTCACAGCTAAATGGGGTTTTAAGGAATACAGCAGTTGAAAAGACACGCAACATTTTTACAATCATGATGTTTAAGATGTTTTATAGCAGTCACTTTTAAAGGAATGTACCATATAATTCCAGAGTATTAAAAATCTTAACAGAAAAAAATAGTGCGCAAAAAACCTAAATATGAATTTGGGTGTGTATCATTATAGAGATTATAGAGATCAGGTAGTATTTAATTCCTCCGTGATATTAATTTTGGGGCCACTTTTTTCTTGAAGTAAATTTCCATCATGTAAAAGTTGGTATTTGGTTTCATATTCCTTTCAGGCAATAAATACAGGTCTGACACCCTTTAAGCTTGCCAAGCTTTGTGTAATCCTTTAAGATGCTGTGCCAAGTCTTACTGCAGACACTTTGAATTCTTGCCTTTTCTTGGGGTTTTCTGATGTATTCTTTCTTCAATATGCTCAATGTTGGATTCAAATCTGGAGATGGTCTTGGGCACTCTTCCCGTTTCTCTCTCCTGATCCACTCCATGGTTGTTTTTGTCTGTATAATTTGGGTCGTTGTAGGGCTGCGTGGTACAACTCGAGCTACAAGCAGGGTAAAATGTTTTTAAAACTTAAAACTGCTGCTAAGTTGTATCATCAATGAAGACAAGTGAGCCAGTTCCAGAAGGACCTAGGCCATGACATTATCTCTCACATGTTTCCCAGATTGTTGCTGTTCTTTGCAGATTCCTCTGCAGTTCCTTTCTTTTTCCACAATTTAATCTTTCCTCCACTTTGTTCTCATCTGACCATAAATCGTTCCTTTTGGCGTATCCTTATAGTGTTGAGAAAGTTCCAATCTGCCTTTTCTGTTCTTGTGGCCGGGGACACGTTTCATCTTGCCTTTGTAATTCTGCTGTCCTCTGTAAATTGTGGAAGTATTCCCTCTTGCACTGTGCAGTTTTTTGGTGATTTCTTGACATCTCTGATACTTGTTCTGTCATCAGCCGTAGATGTTTATATAATTTATCAAATCAGTGTTATTCACTTGGTAAATATACCTGTGGTTAACAATTCCAAATTGTTAATTTTGGTATGTCCACTTTCTGTGCCATGGTTTGATTGTGCATTTTCAGCTTCAAAATCATCTGCTTTTCTTTAACAAAGTTATTTGCTTTTCAGTTTGGCATTTAAATAGGGACTCCAAAACACATTCAGACAGTTTGATTAAAGAATTAACACATCATTTATGAGTGCCTAATTACCTGACAAACAAGGGACACCTGTTGATCCTAATGTCCCAATACTTTGTTAAAATCCCTGTTTAGACATCATTGCTCCAATGATGGCACTGTAGATGCCCAGCGTGTACGGGGATATGGATATAGGAACTACTTAAGCTCGATTCACAAAACTGTGAGTCTGGTTTTATTGCCTTTATTTTCATATTTTTTTCCAATTGTAAGTGCAACAGTCATGCATAGTTATTTATAAAAGTAGTGTGATGTGTTATTAAATCACTGGCTTTAGAGAAATAATTGGTTACATGCTGGCAACATGGTGACAGAGATGCTGCGGCATGTTTACATCTCGCTGATTTCTGCTGCACACACTTTCTTCACATTTATCCTCAGTTTCTTCCGATCTGAAAGAATCCTGAGCTCAGTAAAGGCTTTGGGAACACTGTTCTCATTCTAGCAAAGTTAGCTGTTCTGTGTCAGTCATTCTCTGCAGTGTATATCAAGCTGGATTTCTTCGTACAAATACTGTTCCTGCAGACGTTTGAGATAATTTGCCATCGATGTTGTCTGCTTAGGATAAAAGGAATCATTGGAGGTTACAGGCTTAGTAGGTGGAGTGCTAACAAAGCGTTGGGACCTTTTCTTTTGCTGCAACGGGAGATATCTCAGAATTCCTTGTCATTTATAAATGCTTGTTCAATATGCAGACACTTTATAATTTTTAGTCTGTGACTAAGAAAAAAAAATGTTTAGCTTGCCGGCAGTGTGTTTTTCTGTCCAGCCCACTGCTTTTTTTCTTTTGCGTTCCCCATTTCATATGTGCCTCCAGTTAGTTTTTAAATGACTGAACTTACATAAAAGTATGAATTTAAAAAGCGTAGATCAGAAGATAAGTCATCCGTAAAGTAGCGCTTATTATGGAGAGTGTGGAGGAGGCAGGAATGAATGTAAAGACTTCAGTCTCCATTTTTTTTCTTGTAACTGGAAAAGACATTTTTTGAAAGCAATTTACAGCATGGTGGGAGGAAAGCTGTGACAGATGCGTTGGTAATCAGGCTGGAAAGCGAGGCTTGAGAATCCCTGCTGTAGTGCCATATGAAGCTGCAGCCTTTAATTCAGAACTCTGCTGCTTGAGATCTAGTCTTGGGGATTCAGCATCAGCCACTGTCCCCACATGTAAAAGACAGCACAAGTTCGGCAAAAGTCATTTCCAATCGGATCCGTTCCTTCTGACTTCGGACTCTTTTACTTTTGGGGGCGAGTTGCAAACAAAATTAGGCATCATGTTCTTGTGTTCTGTACGTTTTCCGACCAGTTGCAGCTTAAAAAATGTAGGATTTTATCCCTGTGGTACACCCGTGTGGATGCTGACCCCGAAACTTGCAGGAACTGGAACAGTATTATTTATGGCTAAGCCTGGGTTCGTGTAAAATGTGGAAAGAGAAGAGCAGGAATCTGGAGGTTTAAAGAGGCGTTAAGATTACTTTTATATGCGTTGATCTTGTGCAGTTCAATATGGTGGTAAAGTCTTCCCACCAGAACTTCAGAATTCAAGTCTCAGGCAGACAGAACTGAAACATGACCAGCATTGTTCAGTAGCACGTTACGTTTAAATTGGAATTGCATTGAGTTGAAACAAGCCATGAGAGTCTTCGGGGCTCGATCATGCAGCGGGGTTGTTTTCTTCATTACCCCTTCATCATTCTGTGCGTCTTTAGGTTCATGGTGGCTTGTTTCCCCACCCGTTTTGGTTAACGTCGGCATCCTTTCTCCCACACGATAAGGCTGTGCTTATGCTGTACTTTGCAATACAAGATAAGCACTCCACGTGGCAACCGAGATGGCGATGTGTTGGAGCGTGAGGTTTAGAAGCTGGCGAGTGGTTATTTTACGTGTGGTCCTAGAAGCTGTTTTTGAGCTCCTTGCACTGGTGTTTCTGTTGCCGTTAGTGACGGAATGGTCAGCGTCTGGTTAGGTGAGGCATTTTGAAGCCGAAAATCCCTTTCTTGGCTGAAAGGCCATCATGCATAACATGAATCCCTTTTCAAAACTCATTAGGGTTTCCGATCATGACTTGCGTCTGGTTATTTTTAATCTAGTTGCGTATGAAAGGTGTTATTTCTGTAGTATAACGCCAAATTCCATGCAGCTAGTTGTTATGGCAATGAAGTATTGAACTAGCATGGTAAAAAAATTACAGTAGAGCAGAGGTCTCACACTTAATTCCTGGAGGCCCCTGTGTCTTTGGATTTTTGTTCCAAACTGTGTAGTCAATTAGACAACATTATTTTCCAAATTATATATAGGATTATTCTTAAGGTCCTTTACAGTTAATTAAAGAAGGTGTTTGCTTCATTGACATTACAGTAATGCAGCTAAGTAAATAATTAGACCAGCTGTGTAGCTGAGACCATGACTGGAGCAAAACCCAGAAGGCACTGGGCCCTCCAGGAATTACGTCTGAGACACCAGCTATGAAAAGTAGTGTTTAAATCCTGATAAAAAATTCAGTGTTTCTTTACAACATGTCCATTCCACATGTAGATTGAAACTGAAATTCCAAAGTAATGAGTTGTTTAAATCTGACTTCCATTATAGCTGCCTGTGCTGTTTTTATGATGACATAGTCTACTTATCCTTTCAATAGACTTTCTCTCAAATTAAAGTAAGAAGCTGCTATTAACAAAATGCCAGCGCTATTAAGATCAAGCTTACCGATTATTAGAAGGACCCCGGTAGATGTTAGGATCACTGACATTGCTGGGGGCTATAAGTACATGTTTAATGGCGACTTCCTTGAGTTCAAGCAGGATTTATTTTATTGAAGTGAAGCATTATTAGGAGAACCTGTTGATTTTGACTGGACATCTCAATTTACACAAATTCTAATAAAAGGTTCATCTGGTCTACTGTGTTAATTGAATGTGAATTGTAATTTTGAAAATGTCAACTCCTGAATCGTGATAGAGATTACAAAAAGTCTGCAGAGGTGGGAATATAATGTGACTTGTTGGAAATTTAAAGAAAAAACTAGCCTTGTTATATCTGAATTAATTTTTGTTCATACCTTTGTGTGTGTGTTTTTTTTTTCAGCCAGTTACCAAGGAAACAAGGCTCTATCTTATATTGTACAACAGGCATCATTTTGCAGTGGCTGCGGTCAGATTCGTAAGTGCAAAACGTTTTTTTCTTGTTGTTCATTGAAGAAAGAAAAAAAATGATAAGGTCCTGTACCGTAGAAACTGAGTGCCTGCTTTTGAACTAGGCACAAGAATACTCTTGGCACAAAACCCAATGCACAAGTTTTGTTCAGAGGTTTGGTAGAAAAATACAATTCTGTTCAATTAATTTCTCATGTCCTGCAAGCCTGCTGTTCCACAAAATGTTACACAACAGAAATATCTGTTCTTCTTTACTGAAGGAGTATCTCCAGACATTTTAGGAGTCATAAGCCCTCCCTACATTTTGATTAAAATGTCCAACTCCTGCAGTCGTGCTGTTCCTAACCGAGACCAGAGAAGTAACAGCCTTCACAAGTGCATAACTCTGTGTTCCTCCCTCCTCCTGTCTCAGACACCTGTCGAGCATCAGTCACGTCGTTCTGGACGAAATTCACGAGAGAAACCTTCAGTCCGATGTGCTGATAACCATAGTAAAAGACCTGCTCGAACTCCGTGATGATTTGAAGATCATCCTGATGAGTGCCACATTGAATGCTGACAAATTTTCCAAATATTTCGGTATGCATTTTTACATCCTTTTCGTTTGCTCAGGGATAATTAAAACACTTAAGTCACATACATTCCATTAAAATTCTCATTTCTAATTTTTTTTGCATGTTTATGGGGCACACAATAAGAATTCTTCTATAGAAAACAAAACGATTTTTATTGAATTTTTGTTACCACTTCACAGGTGTTTTGTTGAGTTGGCGGCGTGCACACTGGTTCATTGTTTATTACTCACAGGACCATGATGTGCGACTACTAAGCAAAAAAATGTGGCAGCTCCTATTGATTTTATGCACCTTGAGAAATATCACAGTTCAGCTTCAGTTCATCAATACCCTAATTCTGCCTTGTTTTTTTATGTGCTTACTCTTATCACATGCCATTCTAGTGTGGTCCAGGAAGAATGGGAGAGCTCAGTGTTGTTTTGCAATCTAGTGATTTATTGAAAACAAGTTGATAAAATATCTAATTTCTCTCATGTAATGCCGGTTGTTCCTTGTTTTTTTTATCCACTGCTAAAGACTTAAGACTTTTTATGTCTTTTGTTTTCCCAGATAAATGTCCCATGATTCACATCCCTGGCTTCACTTTTCCAGTGAAGGAGTACCTGTTGGAAGATGTAGTGGAAATGCTGAGGTCAGTTGTCCGAAAACTTGTCCGAATGTCTAAAATAGTTAAAAGACCAAATGTTTAAGTTCTTTGTTTTTCAGAGTCCCCATGCTGCTTTTTTCTGATTGAGCTCTAATGCATCTGTGATTTGGCCTGAGAGAATGGGAATGAACGATTTGTTTCCCCTCCACGCCTCTCCTCTTTGTGGGTCCTGTGCCCGAGGTCGATGATAAAGCACGTTTTTGCTTTACGTGTAGGGACGGAGAGACTTGCGTTGTTCACGTGCGTTGTACGTGCAAGGCGCGGTGTCACAGAATGAACAACGTTCCGTTTTCCTTGCACGTCGGTTCCTTAGGTACCGTCCGCAGGCTCAGGACCGCCGTCCGCAGTGGAAGAAGAGGTTCATGCAGGGCCAGCAGTTCCGGCCGGAGAAGGAGGAGAAGGAGGAGGAGTACAGGGAGACCTGGCCCAGTTACGCCAGAAGCCTGCGAGACCGGTATTCCCCGCAGCTCCTTCGTTCCTTGCCACCTCACACTCGCTAGGATGTAGCTTTCTGGCTCTAGGTGAGCCAAATTCATTTTGTTTTTGTTTTTTTATTCTAGGTATTCAGACAGCACAATCGAGGTCCTAGAAATGCTGGACGATGACGATAAAATTGACCTGCCCCTCATCGTAGAATTGATCCGGTACATTGTCAGGAACGATGAGGTGAGGTTTTTTTTTTTTAAAGACGCCAGGTTTGGGACTTTTAGCATATTCACAATTTCACTGGGTAGTTCCTGTCGTTTTAAAACTGTTGTGGAGCTCAGCACCTTTTCAGTTTCGTTATGAGGAAAATAAGCATTCAGTATCGGTTTGTATTAAAAACTCATTATTAACTCTATTGCCTCTTTCTTGGCGGCAGTATATTCTATTTGTGTTTTATTGAGTATAATGAAAACACATTATAATGAAAACTTAGGAAACAAAAAAATCAATTCACATTGAATTTAAATTATGCTGTGAAATTTACAGATTTATTCCATCTACCTCCTTGATGCAGGAGTTGTTTTTAACATGCAAGTTGCACCTAAAAATTTAGCAGTTCTTCAGGACAGCATAAAAGGCACAGCGATAGTGTTATCTGAAACTGCTTTATTGGTGTAATTTGTTACTTGAAAGACTCTGAAGCAGAAAGTAGTGAGCCCCTAGCAGTTCAGGGAGGCTGTTCCTCTCCAGGGTGAAGTTCGCTGACAGTAAGCGATCTAATTAATCACTCCCAGACAGCACAGGCCTTGATCTGAAGGGGCCTTGGCATCTGAGGATTTCCCTCTTGTTTTTAAAAGCTCAGAATGACATCATTTTGTACCCTTTATAATAAGGGACGATTCTCTTGTTGTCGTAAAGACATGTATACAGGCAATAGCTAACTGCCTATTTGCATGTTGATATTTCTTTAATTACCACCTTCTCCTTTTTCTTAGTGTTATTGGCTGTCCGTCAAATGAATAAATGAGAGCCTTGTTTTGCTGATGTGTTTTAATTAAGGGGTTTCTTTATATCATGTTTTATTATATATATGAAATGGAGTACCCCAGGTTCATTTAAAATAAAAAACATTACTTTTCATCCATCTTCATTTCTCTGGTCAAATTTCCAGATTGTGCTTGGAATAAAGCGTTGGTCTGCGCACACAGAGAATGTGAATAATGAAATTATGAGCGATCTTGTGTTCTGTTTGATAAGCTATGGGAAGTGGAGGATAACATTTAAATGGCTAAGGCTGTAATTAAACCTTTATACCTCAAGTCAGAGTGATACATATTTCTCTTAGGCTGTCTGTCTGTTCATGTAGATTTCTTAATTAAATGCTCACTTTTTGATGTCAGGCATAACTGCAGAAATTAGATTTTAATTTATTTTGTTGGCAATTTGTTTTTCAGTTACACAGTGACTTTGGTCTTTAAGTGGCACTTTATTTAGATTATAGCACTAATGCATAAGGATGCATAATGTCCTCAGAATCTGTAACAATATTCTCCTGGAGTTTAATTGGTCCCTTATTCGTCCTCCAGGGAAACCTCAGGCTCATCAGCAATAGCAGTGAAGGTATTTTTGCCATCACTTGTGCGATCACATAGATTGGAGCTACACAGGATAGAGATTAATTATCATCAATTAAGGGGAAGGTTTAGGAATTCAGAGATTTTATCTGTCATGTTAGTTTTTGAGTAAAAGAAACTAGGTCAGAAACCAGCCAGAAATAAGCACACAAAATAGGACCTCTTTTTTTTTTTTGCTTTATAATTATAAGGCATGTCATCAGATCTCAGAAAACGGCAGGAATTTAAAACACAGGGGTAATGCAAAAGAAAAATATGTACTCTATATATCAGCAGATGGTTAATTATTCTGTAAAAGGAGAATCTAAAAATATAATTTCGTAATTATTAGGGCAAAAGCAAGACTTTCAAATGTATTTAACACTGACTTTGAGTTCCTTGTTTCTTCTTCCCACATGGTGTCTTTTATTTAAAAGCTTTTAGCTCTTTCCTTAAAGGGCTGCATCTTAAAGCTTTTTGAACAGTGGAAGAAAACTGCAACATCAGCACATTTTAGTAATCTCTCTAAATCCGTTTCTAGCATCTAGAGCCATTTAGTACAATTAATATTATACTTATATTACACTATCATTCTATGTGACTTAACTTCAGCGTGTTTATAAAAATTAAATCCAGATATATTTCCAAGGAAAGTGTTTTATAAAAATGTGTATTTCTGAACAGTGCTTACAGATACACGAGTCGGAAGAGAGAATTTAGACGGGAACCTGCATTGTGTAATACAAAGTTTTATTTTTCAAAAATGGCGATCTGTTGTTGCTTTTAATTTGGCTTCAGATGGAAAAGAAGAAAAAAAATCAATGAATTTTGTAGCTGGGTAGCTGGGTAGGCTAGATGATCTGCAAGGGTGAGAGGAATGTGAACGGCGTGCTTCTTCGATCAGTGGGGAGTGGACTGGTCGACATCGCCCAGTCCTGTGGAGCAACAGCTCTTTATTAATACCCAGCTGCTTCCGCTGAAATTCTGCTTTCAGGCGCTCAGGAGAAGGAAAATGATGAAACCAGCGTGGCTTTGAAATTGAAAGCACTCTTTTTTTTCTGAATTGGGATAAATTTTGTTTTTGGCTGCAGGGACACAGTTTTTGGCCCAGTTGTCTTTTCTGTGAAATTGAACACCTTCCTTGAGTTGGGGGACAAGCAGTGGGTATTGATAGTGTGTCTGCCCTGCACACACCCGCTGTCAAGGTTTTATTCTGGACAGATAAACACTAGTGTCCTTGTCTTCAGGTGCCGGGTACAGGCCGGTCTGTTCTCAAGCTCCCAGGAGAGCTGTGGGGATACCGCATTGCTGTTAGGAATGGAAAGAGATTGCTTCCCCACAAGCCGTCTTTTTATCTGTTCTTCTCTTCCACAAATCCCACAGAATGAAACTGACTTTCACGATGAGCAGTGTGTAGTTTCCTCTCCTTTTATAAGGAAAAAACTTACCTCTATCTTACCCATTTAAGTAACTAGAAGTATTTTTATCCAAAACCCTACTGCCATTTACATCTGATTTTGCCTTTTAAGAATGACTGATGAATCTTTTAATGTGCGGTACTTAAGACTAATAAGTGTTTCATTAATAATGGGAAACAATCTGTTAAAGTTTCATGGCTTTTATTTTGCTGCAGGACGGAGCAATACTGGTGTTCTTGCCTGGCTGGGACAACATTAGCACACTAAACGATCTCTTGATGGCTCAGCAGATGTTTAAGTCAGGTACTGCAGAGAATTCTAAAACCTGTCCTGAAAAGCATTTGAAGAAGTGGTGAACAAAACTGGCTTTAGTTTAATTTATACTGATTTTAGATGTGCATAATAAATATATTATTTTTGTCCTATTTTTCTTTAGTCCCAGCTAAGCCATGTTGTATGTAACACATTCATAGTGACTCAGCAGGTCTCCTGTGTTTTTTTGGGGGGGTTCTGCTTTATCACAATGGGTCTGACTGCTTACAAGGTTCTGGGTTGTTTTATCAGCATCATTTGTGTAGAACCAACCTGAAAGGCTATGTGTCTCTTTCCACTGTTTTTAAGAGCAACTGTAAGCCAAACATTCCTAAAAATGAATACCAGAAAGCAGTAATTGCCTTCATGTGCTTATCAGTCTTGATTCGCTTTTCAGACAACTTTATCATCATTCCACTGCACTCCCTGATGCCCACCGTCAACCAGACCCAGGTAAATCTTCAAAACCCACTATGAGGGAGATTCCTCCCTTAACAAACACTGTGCACTTTAATTAGAATCACGGGCTTCAAGTGTTGTCACACTTGGATGTCTGGTTTTAACCTTAAGTGCTGATGTACAAATCGATTAGAAAGTGAAAATAAAAGATTAGGCGGTTCAGGTGGTTGTTAATCCCAGAACCTCATTAACTTCCACGGCATGACTGCTAAGTGCTTGGAACAAACAACTTCTTAAAGTTCTGCCTCCTTTTTTCAAGTTCTGACTTAAGCCAAGAGCAGAGGAACTTCTTTTGTTGAGCATTCGATATTGGTTCAGGTTAACGTTTTTCAGTTGCATGTATTAGGTGTGGAGGCATAATCTGAAGGCAGTGTGGTGCATGTTACAAGAAGGTGAAGGTTTCCCTTTGTAATTCCATTGTATGCGTTTGTCTTCTTTTCAGGTTTTTAAGAGACCTCCTCTGGGCGTTCGTAAAATTGTGATTGCCACTAACATTGCTGAAACAAGGTATAATTGTTTTTTAACAAATATAATTAATTCACAGGCTGCATAATAAGCAACTTTCAATCCTATAGTGCAAATATCCATTCTATAGTTGAATGTGTTAAGTTATATGCTTATGCTAGTAGGCAGGGTTTTATTAACTTTGCTGCTTTGCATGAGTTGTTAAGATGCCAATACTCCTAAGTTACAGGAGGCCTTGGGACCTGTGTCATACTAGATGCCCTGCGATACATTCAAGTCATATTTTAGTTAAAGAACCTGCATTTCATTATTTATAGATGGACACGGCAAATTTTGTGTAGAGTTTGTGCGTTTTACCCATTTTTTCCCTATCACCTGTTGTTGAAGGACACACGAATGCTGGTTGTCTGCCCATGATCAATCATCAAATTCCTTTAATACCTTTTGAGCAGAGCCTTTTGAAATCGGCACCATCAGCTCAGCTGTAACCTTCACCCTGAGTCAAAGTTACAGAGCTCTGCTCTGTATTAAACAAACCATTGTTGTACTGCTGGTATAGCCAGGTTAATAAGGAGGCAGAAAATAATTTGTGATCTCTGCTATTAGGATGTGCTGTAATTTCTAGCAGATATATAGAGAACTATAATGCTCATAATAAATTGTTAATGGAAACAACACAAATTAGTTATTAACATATGTAAATATTTATAATTAAACTATAGATTTTTAACTTTCAAAAATCTATTAAGCTACTTCTAACCATCAGATAAATTTGTATTATTGTCTAGAAGAATGCTGTGTGGCTACTGAAATTTGTCAGCCATCTACTGAAGTGTAAAATTGAAGCTTTAATTACTTGTGTGGAATTAGGTTGCTTATCATTTTGTTACACAGGACAGATATGACTACAGCTGATAAAATTGGAGAACAGACAAGACATTAGTAACACTGCAGGCACTCCGGGAACCTCTCTAGCTCTTGCAACAGATGTAAAACAATGCTACTTTTCAGACTTGATAGCTTAGGGCTTGCAAAGTGCTGTCCAAGAGCACCTTTTCAATTGGAAGTGAATCAGATCAGGTTTGTTTTGCACTTGTTAATCTATATATGTAATATGTTACATAAAGTAATATAGCAAGCGGTTAGACTTCAGCAGTAGTGTTATATGGCACAGAGACATTGCTGGACCTAACATACTGCATTTAATATGTAATTTTCTGAATACAGTGTGTCCCAGTTAAGTATTTTATGTTAAATTATAGAAGTAATATCCTGGCTCAGAGTAGCAGAGGTGAAGGAGGACTTTGTTTCCATCATTCCTTCTGAAATATCATTAATACCTCTATCTCATTCCTTTGCTCAAGCAAAGACAATCTTAATATCACCGATGTGGTTTTGGAAAAATCTCTGTCTAAACGGCTATGAAGTTTTCTCTACTGAAGTATGCACAGGCACAAAAAATACTCTACTCTGCTAAAAGAGATGCTTAAATTGTGAAAATCTGCCAGGGAGAGATTTTGAATGGAGGGGGTAGCCGTGCCTTTTGACAAGCCTTTGTACCAGGCAGTCTGTGGAATTCTGATCAAGCAGTTATGATAACATACTTGCACAAAGCAACAGATCTTGCTAAAGATAGACTGTGTAAAACCTGCTGCCTCAAAACAAATTTGCATTTAATGTTACCAGTTGAACAGTGAGGGCCACTGAAGAAGCAGACGCCCGCGGTAAGAATTTGAAAATGGCAGGATCACACAGACACAGGGTTTTGGCTGAACCTCTGAAAGAGGGCAGTTCTTGCATAGAAAATAAAAACATGCTTCTACAAGACATTGTTACATAATGAAAGCTTTTAGATTTTTTTTTTTGGGGGGGGGAATTTAAGATCTCTGAAGGAAAAAATTATAATAATTGTTAGGAAAATAGGAAAAACACCCTAAAACCTTCAAGATGTCGGTCACCAGTATGATAGGTGCCTCTCACCACTGAGCCAAGTGAAGTGGTTTGAACCCAACCAGTATTGCACCAGTTCAAAATCAGCCAGGAGATTCGCAAAATCTTTTGTCCTTTTGAGAATATTGGGGGTCTGAACTGGGCATAGCACCAGAAAACCAATCAGACCCTCATATGAACAAAACCAGGCAAACACTAAAGAAATGAAGAAATGCTAAGTGCTACAATGTTGAGCCCTGGAAGGCTTTTACATTCTCATTTCTTAGTTTCATTGATTCATGTTAAATAAAATGTCTTAGTCATGTTCATACTAGGTCTTATGTGATCCCCAAAACTCGAAAGTGATGTAACCCGCTCGGTTTGCCACATTTGGAGAGTAATGGAGTGCAGCACTTTTTCCATAGCAACAATTTCTTTTCTGTTTTTCCCACAGGACAGCAGAGTGAGGTGAAAGGTAAACAAATACTAGTCAAGTGAACCTCTTTCCCTTTTTCTTTCAGCATCACCATCGATGACATTGTTCACGTCATAGACGGGGGCAAAATAAAGGAGACCAACTTTGACACTCAGAACAACATCAGCACCCTGACCGCTGAGTGGGTCAGCCTGGCCAATGCTAAACAGCGAAAAGGCCGTGCTGGGAGGTGAGTGTTCGTCTGTTGTCTGTCTTTCCTGTGCTCTTCATGTTGAAGCATTTTGTTGTGATGGCCTGGGTGAAGGTGTGCTGCTCGGGTGTTTCTTTTAGGGACAGGGTTCCATCTTCCACGTAGGCAGATGAAATGTGTATGAACTGTAGTGGGAGCTCGGTCAGCACCAGAACATTCTGGTTCTGCGTAGTTTTTCTGCGGGCTGTTTGTTAAGCCAAGCTGGACCTAGCCCGTTAAAACCAGGCCCTGTAACTCTTCTGGAGCGAGCTCAGTATTAAGCAGCTGGACCTAGCCCGCTGGACATATATGAGGCTGGGTGAAGGACACTCTGGAATCGTGTGTCTTCAGTCTGTGCCCAAGAGAGAGATGGAAGGTGGCATCTGGTAGCGTAAAAGATCTCAGTCCTGCCCAAGAATCACAGGGTTATGTTGCCGTTTACTGGGCAAATTCCAGTATTCACGAAAAGTTGAAAAAGTCAATCTGAAGGACTTAGGAGTCAACGACAATTAATCTTGGCTCAAACAGCTCGAAAGCAGCTCGAAAAACATGTCCGATGGGGTCAGGCGCTCTCCCTGGCAGCTCTCTGGATGTTCAGCACATGGCCCAGGTAGAGAAACGTCCGCGCCGTACCGAGAAGACTCCAGACGGACCGAGTTTTTGGCCTGGCTCGGGTGCACAAGAGTCCCGTGTGAAGCATGAAGGTGACCTGAGGGAAGCTGATGGACAGCTGTGTAAGCTCTGAAAAGGCACACCGAAGATGGCCTCTCTTCCTCCTGAACGTGGCACACGCGGTGCGGGACGTTGCTCGCCCACTCCGAGCGCGTGGTGCCGTCTTCGCGCAGGGCCGGAGTGGAATACTTCACTCTGCTCCCAGGGCGTGGAGCCCTTTCGCACGGGAGAGGCTGATCAGCCTCTCTGCTGCTCGCTAGCCCGTGCCAAGCGGCGTGTCGGGGAGCGCAGCTCGCACATTAGCACCCCGAGTGACTCAGGAGAAGACGCCATGGAATTGAACAGATGGACCTTCGGTGTCAGCGTGGCCACCCGGACCGGCTCTGTCGGGGCCATTATCACAATTTGAGCCTTTTGGTTTTACGTCGTAATTAATTATATGACTGTGGGTTGATTTGTTTTTTTCTTTTATGTTCCATTTGTGTAGGGTACAGCCTGGTAAGTGTTACCATCTGTATAATGGGTTGCGGGCCAGCCTTCTCGATGACTATCAGCTGCCTGAAATTATGAGGACTCCCCTGGAGGAACTGTGCTTGCAGATAAAGGTACTGTGTCACTCAGTAGGCTGCAGTCAAGGTGATAAGTCTCCTACTTATTTTATTGTTAAACTTCTGCTGTTCCATTCAAGCATGGTGGCAAGAATGTCTCTGAATTTCTGTGTTTAGAGTCAGGTTTTGGAGAAGTGCGTGTTTGAGTTGGCGGTGGTAAGTCTAAAGATGTAGTGTTTAATGTAAGGTAATCACCGTGACATTTTACCAGCAATATTAATAACATTAAATGGCTTTCATGCTTTTATTACACATGTACGGCGGCACAAATCAAAGATTTGAGTTAAAGACTACTATGGACCTATATTTCACAATGCAGTGTGACAAAATATAGAAGCAAACATGGGAATTTTGACCTGTGTTGTGCATTGAAAACAAGCTTGTTGTGTTTGAAAAGAAGATTGAATCACTCCGTTTTCAGCGTATTGGTTTTGGATGCTGTGTCATGCAATATTCCCATTCCTGTCTGGACAAGGTGAGCCCCTAGTCTGCATACTAGATTCCACAAGTCCTCCCAGCTCTCCCGTTTGATATTAAATGGGGCTCGAGTCAAGTTCATAGCAGAACGCATTCTGCCAAGAAAGCTGCCCTACTACAGCGTGCGGATGTTTGTTGTCCAGCAGGAATGTTGTCATTCAGGAGGACTCATGTCCACAGGAAGGATAGCGAGGGAGGTCTCAAGGCTTGATCACGCTACTGCTGTATAGTCCTCTTGCCATCATTTACTCCTTGTGGAGTTTGAAGTCTAGAGCCAGTAGAACACGTTTGCCCAGACCAGCATGTTTTAACCTCCCCATCCATTGGTGTGCTGATGTGACGACCATCAGGGTGATCAACGCCAAACCTTGGTTCATAGCTAAAAAGAACTTGGGTCGACTCCAAGCAGTGTGCAATGAGTTTTTCTAACTCATAACATACCAGTAGTTTGAGGGCATTGTTCTCTTGGTAAGCGGAGCGTTTGTATTTTTTTCTTATTTGAACGTCAAACTGATTGAAAATCAAGTCACTTCTTTGTTCACCTGTGCCTAATCAGTGGTCAACTCTTGTTGAGGAGCTACTTTTGTATTTATGCAACAGTCACATAGGTGTATCACAGACAGTAATGAATGTTTTTTTAATCAAAGTGATTACTTAAAACATTTAATCAAAAGACAAAGTTAATATACTTTATCTGATGAAACATACATATATAAAGGTTTTTTAGTTTCTTTTGATGTTCAGTATGCAGTCTTTTCTCCATCTCAATTCACAACCTCCTGTGATGCCTTTTTACAATAAGCTTCCCTGTTGAGCTTTGAAAATTGCTTTGTAAGAAATCAATTTTTGTAATGGTTTACTGGTAGACAAATGCAATATTGGAAAAAATCAGGTTTGAGTTAAACAAAATTGAGTTACGTGCTTTATTTTCTCGAAATATGTTGTTTTCTTCAGATACTAAAGCTTGGGAGAATTGCATCATTCCTTCGGAAAACACTGGATCCTCCTTCGGAACAGACAGTGCAGTTAGCAATTACTCATTTAATGGATCTGGTAAGAAAAATCTTCAAGCTACACTTCAGCACTTTGCTTAATTTAGTAAAAAACAATTTGGTGTGTCCTGGTCATTCAGCGTGTTAAAGTGCCTCACCCTGAGCCCAGTCCGTCCTCTGACTAATTGAGTGATTTAGTACGTGTCATTAGTATTTGGTATTATGTCATTAGAGATAATAAATTAATTTCACTTCAACAATACCCATGCACACCATCAGCTTGATAAAAGTTTCTGTTTTCATGTGTTCTTTTGAGTTGAGTTTGCATGTTTGGAATAGTAAACGGCAGTCCCTCAGTGCACCCCGTTGTTTCCCTTCCCTATCCTTATATGATCTTTTTTCCCCCCCTCCCTTTCCAGAATGCCTTGGATAAGGATGAGGAGTTGACTCCTCTCGGTGTTCACTTGGCGCGGATGCCAGTGGAACCTCACATCGGGAAGATGATCCTGTTCGGAGCGCTGTTGAGTTGCCTCGACCCTGTCCTAACTATTGCCGCCAGTCTGAGCTTCAGAGATCCCTTCGTCATTCCTTTGGTAAAGCAGTTCAGTGATATGCCATCCCTACGCACTTTTACGTGGGGGTTTATGGTTTAAAGCTCTTCTACGTTAAACGTGATATCTTCAAAACGGTTCTGTCAGGATCTCACATTGCCTTGGGTTGGGACGATCTTCGGGTATTTGTAAACATGTGACTCGGGCCGTCCTTCACCGACACTCCGTGGCTGCTTCGGTTCTGCAGCTCGTTGTGTGCTTTGTCACTTGACTTCTTTTTCCATATTTACCGTTTTGTTCTGGATTAGGGCAAGGAGAAGATTGCGGATACGAAGAGAAAGCAGCTGGCGAAGAATTCCAAAAGTGACCACCTGACAATTGTGAATGCATTCTGGGTAAGATGGCTGTGTGTGCAAATTGTAGACTTTTCCATAAATCTGAGTAGCTTTGTTGAGGCGTTTCCTTCATTCACTAAAGGAACAAGGAGGACAGGCTGTGATATTATTTTTCTGTAATATAATTTACTGGACATATTATTCCCCTTCTAGCTGAATTGCATCTATGCTCAGAGTAGTTTTTAACCTTTCCTTCGTTAGGCCGTGAAGATTTTTTATTGTACTTTAGCAGGCTGCAGTGAAACTCATCGAACTACGTTGCCTTCTGAAATAAATTCCTGACCCGTTGAAAAGACAAGCTGTTCGTGGCTGTTTTTTGAAAGCAGGAAGAAAGAAATCAGTACATCCAAGTTTTTCACCACTTTCTGTTTGATTTCCTGAAGCAGAATCTTACGGCTAAGTGGGCTTATTTTAATAGCCGCCGTTCACCCACGTCTCAAGAAAAAAGTGGTTCTTCGTACGGTTCGATTCTTCGGAATGTTTGCTGTGCAGTAGTTTGGTTCTCCGTTACTGTTGTTTAATCTTTTGATTATCCTTGTAATTCATTCTTTTTGAATAGATGGAGGGGGTTGCCTTCTGATTATATGGACAGCTGGAGTTCTGCTGCGCCCCCCTTTTTAATCTTACCTCGTGTGTTTGTGTTTTGAAGGGCTGGGAAGAAGCAAAGCGAAGGAGTTACAAAGCTGAGAGAGACTACTGCTGGGAGTACTTTCTCTCTTCAAACACGCTCCAGGTAGTCATGCTGACGGTATTAAACCACAGCCCTCAGACGTTTTGCTTTTATTTTGTGAGAGGGTTTATTCTGTGGGGAAACTCAAAACAAAAGAGAAATGCAGTTTTTGGAACATTGTTTGCCATAGAGATAATTAGGATAAGATGCATAATACAAATCAGGTCACTTTAACATTTGTCTTCTAATTAGGAAGGAGTCCGGTGTTGTCTCTGAGTTTTCGCTGTGGTTTTCCAGATGCTGCAAAACATGAAGGGCCAATTTGCAGAGCACTTACTGGCAGCTGGTTTTGTCCGCAGCAAAAACCCTAAGGACCCCAATTCCAATATCAACTCGGGTAAAACAATTTAGTTTTATATATACATTAATATGATATCAAGTTTCAAAAGAGCCAACACTTACGACTGCAGCAAATTCACAAAACCATCGGGAATATGGTTAAATATTTTGTAGGAGGTGTTCTGAAACATTATTGAGCAGACACGACGCAGGTTCACTCCACTCAAAGCACTATACAGGTAATTGGGATCCCCTCCACCACCAGTGTGCAGCCCCACCTGGATGGTGAAGCCATATTGCACCAGTATGCTCCCCACACACCAGCTCTCAGTGGGGAGGAGAGCAGAGTAATGAATCCAGTTCAGAGATGGGGATTATTAGGAGGCCATGATTGGTAAAGGCCAGGGGGAGTTTGTCCAGGATGCCAGGGTAACACCCCTTCTCTTTTTGAGAAACTCCCTGGGATTTTTAATGACCACAGAGAGTCAGGATCTCGGTTTTACGTCTCATTTGAAGGACGGCGCCTTTTTACAGTAGCGTCTCCCCATCACTACACTGGGGCATTAGGACCCACACAGATTGCAGGGTGAGCTCCCCCCTGCTGGCCCCACTAACACCTTTTCCAGCAGCAACCTTAGCTTTCCCAGGAGTCTCCCCCCCATGTACTGACCAGGCTCACACCTGCTGAGCTCCAGTGGGTCACCAGATGTGAGTTGCAGGGTGAGAGGGAATCTGCTGTATAAGTGCGTGGCCATTTTTGGAAGCAATTCAAGCTGTGACATGTGCTGTCCTCTAGGCTGCCTCTCTCCATTCCGCTCATAGAGCCTGGACAAGCACGTGCCTGTTTGCTGGCCTGTGAGATCTAGATGACAGGTGTCATGCTGGTTCCTACCACACGTGTCCAGTGGAGGTCAAGTTTGGAGAGCAGGGCATCCAGAGCACAGCTGTCCCATTCTTAACTGGAATTTTGTGGTGCCATGTGGTCAGGTTGACATTAACATGTGCTGACTTGTCACTCCTACCCAGATCATTAATCTCAGACCTCCCTATTGATTGGTCTTTTGCAAACAACACTTAGCATGTCATTTGCATGTATGCCCCACAGAGAGACGCATGCAAGGCCTCCACTCATTTATCGAAGAGGACATAGCTCTGCTACTGAAGAGTCCCCCTGTAGTGACTTACTTCACCTTTAACACAAAGTTAACATAAAGTGTTCTCATGAAAGAGAGGGGCATATCAGTTCCTTATTGCGTTCTTCTTTTTCGATGGCTTGAAATCATTTTGCTGGTTCTCGGTCAGCTCTCACTAATGAGGTGATTTAGAGTTTAGAGCGGGCTGCTGCGTCAGCGTGCGTCGTCTGCCAAGGAACAAGTAAAGGTTAAGCTCATGCAGAAAAGCACAGGGAAATAAAAGGTTTCGGCTGTTAAAGCTTCTTCAGGTTCAGATTTAGAGTGTGTGCAGTAGTCAGAGTCCATATTTAATGGTATTAAAAAAAAAAGATTAAGCAAAATGACACCATATACATTTAATCAATATCCAAAATCTATATGCTTTATTTTTGTAAAAAACATATGTATAGAGTGATTTCTTTTGGTAAACTTAACTCGTACAGATACGTTTTTACGAGGGACTAACTTCAGATCTTCACATTGTTCCTGCAGACAATGAAAAGCTGATAAAAGCTGTCATTTGCGCTGGATTGTACCCCAAGGTTGCCAAGATACGACCTAGTTTCAGCAAGAAACGAAAAATGTAAGTGTGTTTCACACCATTAACGTCTTCAATGTCATTACAAATCTGTCGCTCATCTCAGCTGAAGCTTCCCTTAAAAGTGTCTCGGCAGCATCACAAGGCCATGGATTACAAGGGTCCCATTTTCATCACCAGATGTGCAGGGAAAAGAGTCTCGATATGTAGTAAGGTTTATTCTCCATATGGTCCCTGTTTTGCAGACATAACACAGACTGGCATACACTGCATGCACACACTCGCACCAGGGACAGTTTTCCCAGAAGCCATTTAACCTACCAGTATGCTTTTGGACAGTAGGGGGCACCAGAAGCACTTGGAGGGAACCCACACAAACGTGGAGAACATGCAAACTCCATTCTAAAAGCACCCTGGGTCTGGAATTGAACAAAGGGCTCTAACACTGTGAGCCATCAATGCAAACCACTGTGCCACAATGCTGCCCTTATCAAACAGGTCCTACAAAGAAGAAATTAATTTATTTATCTTTCAGATGTTGCTTATTAAAATAGGCTTTACTAAACAGGCAGTTAAATGTTCTCTCAAGTTTCCAGTCTGCAATGTAACAACAGCCGCAGCTTTTCAGACAAAACGTGGGGCAAAACATGCCTCTTTAGCACAAAATGTCAAATTATTACGCTTTTTTTAGTGATGTCTCACTACATTCCACATTATATTTGGTTTATTAGTGATTGTTTTCCTTGCTTTAAATGCTGTCTGCTTTCTAGTTCATACTACTACTACTTCATATGGGCCTCATTACTCAAGCAAAGCTGCAGCCTTGCAAATATTGGCAACTGAGTTAAAAATTGCACATGCTGTGATTTGGGATTTAGAATGCAACCAGAGATCCACAATTATGAGGCCTTAAGACCAGAATTCACTCAATGGGGTTTTACTAAACTGTGTACAGCTCTTTATCTGTCAGTGTGTGCTGGAATATCTAAACCTGTGTTCTGTGACTGATGAGTAGTGATTCATTCGGACTCTTCAGGAATAATATACTGTATATGTGTAGCATGAATAAAAGCACTTGCCTGAAGCTTTTTAAATTTTGACGAACTGGTATTTTTATGCGTTTGTACAAATGCAGTTTGTGACAAAATGGTAACATAATGGAAATGAATCAGCCGTTAATTTTCCCAACACTTAACCAGATGGTCAGTTAGCAATACAGTTAGCGTACTGTAGAACCATTCCACAGTACACATTTTGTCATGCTGATGCAAGCCAGCGTGTGTTTCTGTGCTAATGTTTTTAGTACTCTTCATAGTGACTTTTGCTTGCTTTTTGAATTGACGTTTTCTAATTTGACAGTACTTTAAGGATTAATAGCTGATGCTTCCGTATTTTTTAAATTGCTCTATAAACCCTGAATTTCATTATGAAGATGGGAAAACTTAGTCCTTTTCTGTTGGTGAGCGTGGTCCATTTTTCCCTTGGATTTTTTTTTTTCAGTGCACAGTCTGCTTGCAGTTGCATCAATTCATTACGTTTGACCCAGCAAGACAGAATCGATAGGTGTTCACCAGTCCCGCTGGCAGGCTGGTTGTCTTTGTACTCTGGGCACATTGCCATGCGCGGCCCAGAAACCTCTGCACTGCATGTCCTCTCTGTCCAGCGTCACAAGGTTGCTATTGTGGTGCAGCGCAAGCTTATCCATTTCCTTAGGCCTTCGGTAGGGATAGAATTAGCACCCCCACTGGCTTTTTATCCATTTGAAGTTTTAAGAGCTGCAGGTTACTGTACAGGCTGATATATGGATATTTTGTGCTTATTTGTTTAGAAATTTGCACATAGACAAGCATCTGGATTTGCAGTAAATACATTTAAAGGTATTTTTCTGTTTTTGCTTCACTATTACACTTTGAGCAATTGCCTGTAGACCTTACAAAAGTTGAAATGCATCAAGCTGCTGTAGAGCCATCCTGTGTCGCAGGGCTCTCTGCTCAAGCCATCACTCCCATCTCTTTCTAATAAGCTTTTCCTGGTCGAAGCCTTGAATTCCATCATTGACCATTTCTTTAAAGAAGACTTAGGGAAAAGAGACTGAGCTGTAGAAACTGGTTAAAGCTTTTATCACCAGAACAAAAATGTTCTAAAGGACAGTTTGTCCTAGAGACTTTAGGAGTCTCACTGATAAGATGTATCGTCTTCAGTGCTCATAGTTAGGTTATACATCTCTCTGTTTAATCAGAGGCAATTTCTTGAAAGGGGTAAAGAGATCCACAGCTAACAAGACCTTCCAGACGCGTGTGTGTATCTGAACTTGAAAAAGATTTGAATGTGTCCTTGTGTCTCTATGATCTGCTGTTCCAATACACTGTCTTGAGAGAACCTCTGAGATTTCTTCAGCTCCACGGTGAAGTAATGCACACTGCCTGTACCATTTCCAGGGTAAAGGTTTATACGAAATCCGATGGCAAAGTCAACATCCATCCGAAGTCTGTAAACGCTGAAGAAACTGAGTTCCACTACAGCTGGCTTATCTATCACCTCAAGATGAAGACGAGCAGTGTAAGTTGGAAAGCATTTTCATTAAAGGCTGCTTCATGCTGGTTGTATGAATCTACAACCAGCTGCAATATGTTCAGTTCTGAAAAGGACACGATGTATTTTCCTCCTTCCCAGCACCACAGCTATTCTGTTTTTACATCACAAAGCAATTTGTTTTTCCTGTGACTGCAATGCAGGGAAAGGTTTTTCACCTTTTTCTGGAACAGCGTGAAAACTCCTTGTTGTAATCAGATTTTGAGAGGCCACAAGAGGAGAAATGTCCTTGCATTTAAGAGGTGTCGTGAAATTGCCATTCTCTTTTTATTTTTCCTGTGCTTCTGGTGATGTGTGATTGTTACCATAGTGTTAAATCTGAAAACCTGCATGGGACTGATAAGTGTGTGAGACAAGGAGTTGTGGATGAGTTTGAGAGCAAGGCTCCAGTTACTGTTTTAAAGTGCTTTATCACTTCAGGTTTTGTAACCTGAATGCACAGATTTTTCACAAAACATGCCTGTAATTTATACTTGAAGGAAGATTAAAGTATCTTGGCAAGTTCATTACGGTCTAATCTGTCCTACACTTTAAGATATCAAAAAGGTGACATCCAGAATAATACCATAAACAAACTGTATTTTTAAAATTTCTTTAAATTAAATTTGTATTTGCAAATTAAAAATTGTTCACATTTTAGTGTGTAAGCTTGATCTTCCATTGCTTTTTTTAATGAACATTTGTGCCACAATTTTTTAACAAAATGATTCAGGCGAAAAACTGATGCAAAATGTATTTTTCTGCAGCATTAGCGTTCATTACAAAAAATGATGAAAGTCCAGCTCTTTTTTGAAGATGTTATCTTCTTTCAAATACCTTTATTTAACTTCAGAGGCTTAACCTATACAGCATCAACTGATGTGCATTCACATGAGCTAATGTCCATCTCCAGATTTTCCTGTACGACTGCACGGAAGTCTCCCCGTTTTCCTTGCTGTTCTTCGGAGGGGACATCTCTATCCAGAAAGACCAGGACCAGGACACCATTGCTGTGGACGAATGGATAGTCTTCCAGTCCCCCGCTAAGACAGCACATTTAGTAAAGGTGAGAACAGGAAGTACAAAACCAAATAGGTCTCAAAATGCTGTGAAAGCGCCTCACATCCACCTGCAGATTCAGGGATGCTGATATGTCACTGCCTCGAACCGAAGACCAGTTCACCCCATTGTACAAGGCTAATGTGACTGGCAAAGCTGCCTTCAGCACATTGCCATTGGTATTCGAACAGTCCGGCACCTGGAGGTGGCTTGAAAGATGTTATTTTCATGGTCAGTAAGGGCTCTATTCCAGTATAGAGCTGGTGGAATTTGAAGCAAGCTGAAGATCTATATGCAGAAAACCAGACATTAGAAACTGAAGGGATCTAATTGATTTGAGCGAATACAAGCCACACCTGAAGTAGCTGGCGATACGGTCAAACGTGTTACTGTATGAGTGGGTTCTGCAAGGCTGGTAAATTTGAAACAACCACTTTTATAAAGGGCCAAATGTTTTTACAAGAATACGTTGGCAACGACCTAGACTCGGGTCAAATTCTGATGCCTGTCAACTTCAGGTCTTCTTACAAACTGTTGTCAAGACCCATTTTATTTTGTCTGTTCTGCTAAACTACTGATATCTTTGTGTGGGTGAACGCAGAAAAGACGCCTCAAAATCTGCATTGAATTTCTATCCTCGAGTCAGATGAGTTAGCCGATGAAGTGGATGTAAAGCACATCACTTGTTTTGAGTTTAGTTTTTTCTTTTTTCTGACATACTGATGAATCTGTTTTCTGCACAGGATTTAAAGAAGGAACTTGATGCTCTCCTGCAAGAGAAGATTAAAAATCCTCAGCCAGTAGACTGGAATGACACAAAATCCAAGGACTGTGCAGTCATATCAGCGATCATAGATCTCATCACGACACAGGAGAGTGGGGCGTCTAGGAACTTTGCTCCTAGATTTGGTGAAGGCTACTACAATTAATGATCTCTGTGAACATGTAGCTGGAGGAGCATGTGACCAGTAATATTTTTTTTTGTGATTCAGCAATAGAGTGGCTAAAGACATTTAACAGAAATTTTCATTTCTTTTCAGAATGAACTCATGAGAAAATAGCTTTTGAGAGAAAAGAGTCACTTGGATCTTGTTACAAGCATTTGTGAATTGTCTCCTTACAGTATCGGAATCCTAATATAAGGAGTTTGTTAAACCTTATGGATTATTTTGTTTTATATTCATTTGTATTTAACCTTGTTTTGCATAACTGTGCAAGTTAGTGTATTATAGTGTTGCTTATAAAATGTATAAAGATGCATGAATTAGTTTTCTTCACTAGTTTAAGCTTAAGACATGAACACTTTAAGAGGTTAAATTCAACCTGAAGTTAACATTTTGTGCAGATCACAATTTGCTTACATTAATGTCTTGGATCATTTTGTCAACCTGAGTTATCTTATGCTACTGCATGAGCATTATCTATCGATTCAATGCAAGAAAACAAGCAGCTTCTAAACAGGTAGGTATAATAACTTAGTCTCAAAATCTCCTAAACCTATCTGTATGCAGTCTGTATACTCATACACAGTGATTATGTGACTGTTTCAAGTACAGATGTTCTCTTTGTGATTTATAAATTCCTTCTTAAAATAGATCACCTGTGTGCAGAGACTTTATTTGCAAAAGAAATACTTCGCACTAAGAGGAGCTGATGACGTTTCCATATAAATTGCTGTGCATGGTAATCTAATGGTCATAAAGCACTATGTGATGTAAGAATAACTAGAGATAGAGTGATAGCTGAATACATTTTTTTTAACATGGAAGTTTCTCAGTTCTAGTCAGACATACCTTCTTTAAGTTAAACAATAGAGTTTGTTTGCATTTTGTTACAAAGTATAGAAATTCAAAATATAAATGGCTGCCTTTTCCACATTTATCTACATTGAATCAAACAAGCGTTTTTAGAATAGAATCAAATGTTACACTTCCAAACATTTAACTGACTGAAATCATTGAAGTTATAATGTTCCTCATGAACAGTTTATCGGTGCACAATTACAGCTGATCAAGTGCAATATTATTGCATCATGAAAGTAATAGAACTTAAAAGTAATACAAATATTGCATGGTTAAATAATGAACTAAACATTGGACTTGTGCAAATCATTCTTATATTTGACACCCTATGTATTTTTTAAGTTATACATTTCATTTGGTACTTAAATACAAAGCAAAGAAAATAATATGGAAATCATTCTTCACAAGTTGTAAGCTACAAAGCCTACTAAAACTTAATTATTTAGCTGATGTTTTTATTCAAAGCTGTGTTGAACTATTCCAACAGAAAATGCACTTTTTCACTGCTCCATTGAAATGATTAAATTAATTGGGCTGGTCCTAATATTTTCTTCCTAAGTAAAAGAAAATGCACTCGATTTATGAGTGTGCGTTTTTAGAAAATGTGTTTGGATTTTGGCCATGGATGGAATGTTTTTGGTGTCATTTTGATCAGCAATAACTAATTGTGATACACTCAAAGGATGTTGTTGCAGAGGAACTAAATCCCTTCATTAGTGACAGCTGATTGGGCACATGTGATGAGGTGGTCACTGGTATTGAAATTCAAGCCTGGTTTAACCAATGTGCCCCATTTATTAAGAGAACTACCTTTGCTCCTTCAGTATGTTGAAAGGTGGATAAAGTAAATGCACTGTCCTGTACTGCCTGGGGACTTTCACATCCAGCGAAGTCTTTCCCAGATTAGGAAATGCAGCTAATTTTTTAAACTCAAAAGGAAACTGGAGTACTTCATGAACCCAAATGTTAACATGTTACACATGCCAAAATAAGAATCCGAAAACATTACAGGAAAATTTTATACCCTTGCAGCCTACTTCTTTCATGTGTTGTGGCATAGCACGTTCTTCTGCATCATATAATATTGCTTGGAACTAGCTTTAATACCGCAATTAACGACCAATTAATACAGCAATGTATAATTGAACCCTACATTTGTCTTGTACTGGACTCGTAAAACAACAAATTACACTACATGTTCATGTACTTGACATTCAGCAGATAACTGACTTTGGGAAGAATACTGGTTGAACACCTGAAGCTGTGGGCACTGGCACTAGCAAAGTCCTCAGTGGGGTCACTCTCTGCTGAACACAAAGTTCTTGCAGGACAGTTGCTCTCTCTCCCAGCGTGGAGTTAATGGAATACCTTTAGCAGCAATAAACAGAGCATAGTTCATGTAAGCTTAATGGGTATCATAGGAGGCAACAGGTCAGGCCATTGCAAGAGACTCCCTGGTGGTCTCGTGTGGAGTGCAAATTTCTGACCAATGAATAGGAAGACAAGATCTAAAACATTTGTAGCCAAGCCATTAATGTTCAGAAATTCACTGACTTTATAAAGTCCAAAGACCAATCCAAATTATTTGTGGTGAATATATTAAATACAAGATTTATACAGAGTTATGTAAAAATTTAATTCTAGTTGATGCGCTACGTGATTTACATTGCCGAAACAGCACTGATCATTTGTCTTGTAAACATTTCGCAGGTCTTTGCAAAAAAAAAAGTATTAATCCCTCTGTCATTAGTCCCCATGAATTAATCTCTTTTAAGGTTTTAAAAACACAATCCAATACTCTTTCATAAAGTATTTCAGTAAAGCTGCCTCTCAGAGTTGTGTAGTTTTGAAACAGTTGGCTGTTAAAACAATTTTTCACGCAGGAAGGTAACACAATGTTGACATTTTCCTGTAAAAAAACATTAAGTCGGCTTACATTTGCGCTGCCCAACCTGCCTTTCAGAAAGGCAATATGTGAGCAGTGATAAGTCTGAAGGGCCGGCCTCACGATGCAGAAGCTGGTTTGAGTCCACAGCTGATCACTTGAGAGCAAGGAGCTGGCTGCCACTCTAGTTTTCAGGCTGAGCATCCCCCGGGCTCTTTCAGTGTTGTGGGAGGACTAAATATTTAAAAAAAACAACATGCCAAAACAGCAGAATCCTCATTAGCAGAGGAGTGATTTCATTACGGGCTTGTACATAAATTCAGCTTCTGTTTCGCATACGTTACCTGGATAAATACATTTATACATTAGACTCACAGAATTGAAGATTCAATTTTGCGGCGTAGTATTATAACCAATGCCCATTTATTTAGCCTATTTATTTTTCCGTTTGTCCTCATCATCTTCCATTTCAGAAGCGGTATTAACTACTTCTCCTGAGCATTCATGCTTCAAAAACTTCCTTCAGCCACCAAGCTCTAGAAAGCACAGGGGGGTGGGGGCTGCTTTTTCTCTTTCTCCCCCCTGCATCCTTCACTAAATTCCTTGTGCAATTGTATACGTGGAAGAAAATTATTGAATTGTTATATGTAACAAACAGTAAACAGATCAAAATACTGGTTTTCTTCAATGGGCAGGACGATGGTGTGAAAGTTAGCGCTGGCGCCCCACAGCTCCTTGGTCCCGAGTTTGTTCCTGGGCTACTGCAGCTTCGTTGTGGAGTTTGCTTGTATTCCCGGGCTCCAACTCCCACGGGTTTTCTCCAAATGCCCCGGTGTTACTGTATATCCCCTCTGAAAAGGGGCTCCATGAGAGACATGCCAGGACTAAGCATTCTGTTGGACAGATTTTTTCTGTCAAAGACAGAATGCAATAAAATCTCTTTATCGAGGCTTTTAAAATGGCAATCAGGATAGAGTACATATGTTTCTGAATAGGTTATTTAAGACGTAAGTATTTACATATATTTACGATTTGCAGCAACTGCCATTTTTTCCCTGAGTACAAATACGTTTCGTGTTCAGAAGGCGCATCAATCAACGGACCGGTTTTAATCTCCCGCACTGTGTCCTGCTAAGTGGTTCCTGCACCACCATGGAAATAAGCCACTCGGTCACCTTGGCTACCTTCCAAACGAAGAGGAGTCTTGACAAGCTACCCGGCTGACGTTAAAGACGTTTTGCTAGATTTTCCTAGTACCTCTTGATTGAAATCTGTTTTTGCAAAAATCAAGACGAAATAAAAGTGAAAGGTGAAATTCACCAGAAGTACACAATTTACAAAAGTTACAAAATACACATAGAAAACCGATGGGTCATAAAACTGAATGCTCATTGCATTCCCTTCCCTTTTTTATGAAACCAAAGCAGTTCAAAGTCCAGACTGCTCAGTTGTGCTCCAGGCGTTTCTCCTGTGTTTCCCAGGATGTGGACAGCCGTGTCCTTCCAGCGCAGACCTGGGAGGGAAAGGCAGTGGGGGATCCTCAGAGCGGTTTAAACGTTGGTCTCCAGCCCCAGCAAGCGGTCCATTCTTTGCATGTTCTTCTCGATGGTGGCCTGGCACGTGATCTCCTGCACGCACTCTGAGAGGAACCAGCCCCTCTCCCCGTCTCTCAGACGCTCGCCTTCGTACCAGCCTGGGGAGGCAAGAGTAACAAGAGGAAGCTCATGTGTGAGAGAACTCTGGAATATTCCGAAAGGCTGGCTTCCAGATTAGACACAAATACATGGACAGGTGTGAAATAGGAAAAGAGGACGGGATTGTTAACGTCTCTCAGCGTGTTTAAATACATACTGAGAGGACATCCTGTGTTGTCTAGAGGCTTCACCCAAAGGAGCTACTGTAAATGGGCCGAATAGCCCCCTGTCATTAAGAGACTTACAGTATTCCTACATCACCATAGCGTAGAAAACAAAACTGTGCAGGACAGAGAAGATTAATAAAATATGAAAAGAGGACATGGACATGGAGTTGCAACATCTGCAATTGTCTCAATTTCGGTCCAGACTTAACTTGGGAAGTTCAGTCTGAAAAAAGTACTGCATCTAAATTGCAGGAAGCTACAGAGAACTGCAACAAGTTTCTCAATTATAATTCTTTAAAGTAAAGTAATTTCCACCAGTGAAGCATGTGTCCTGTATGCAGAATAATAAAAGTAAGCAAACTAAAAAACTTGTAATCGTTAAGGGAACAGTCTGAATCATTTCTACTGTATTTAGTCGTATCAGAGTTTGACCAGAGATAGACATGACATTTTCTTACAGCTCTACAACTGTACTACACTTTTATTTGCTGCACAAAACAGAACAAAGGCCCAACCTTCCCACACCTTTGAGTTCAAAGTACATTTTTGCCTTTGAACTACTTTTTTTAAAAAGAATTCACAGGGTGAGGATTCCTTTTGATTCTATTTATTCTGAGCTGGCTGACCTTTCAACATTAAAGGTGTGCTTCCTCTGTGCACGAAAAGCCATGGCCCTGATTGGAAGACATTTCGATATGAGCCATTTAACATACCTAAAGATCTGACTATCAAAAGTAATATATGAAGCAGCTTAATATAAATTTATATAAACACATGTATTATTTATTTCTGACAACTGAATGATCTTCTTTAGCAGCATATGGTGCCCTTCAAAGCTAAAATTCCATTTATTCGTATTAAGGAATTGGTAAGACTTTTATGCTATAAAATAGTGTTACTATGAAGTAAACAACAACTGTGCAATGCAGATCAGAGATGACTGTCCAAAATATGCATTATCAATATCCTTCCACCGGGAAGATGCTGATTCTCGGTGAGGCTTGAGGAAGTCTGAAACCCAATCTTAGGAGCACAGATCCCAGGACTTCCCACACACACACACAGCAGAGCCAGTGTGGGCACGGTGACATCATCACCCTCCCTGCACGTAGCAGGGACCTCAGCTACAAAATGGGCAGGGTGGAGCAGGCAGAGGGCACGAGCCTGCGCAGAACCGTGATAGTCACACACACACACAGGGACCATTGAGAGACGCCAATTAACCCAGCCAGCTAGCCTTCTTTAGAAAGCAGGAGGAAACCAGAGCATTAAAATAAATAAAATAAATGTATTAAAATAATTGAAAAAGCTGTCTCTTCTAATCAACATCTTCAGAGTTTCTTTCCTATTCCAATTTGGAAGAAGTGAACAGGACACATGAGCAATTATCTTTCAATGTCTGAGATTCACCCATGTCATGGAGCTGTTAGCCAGGCTAGTCATTGCCCAGAGAAAGAAGGTGCACAGTTCTTCCTCATCCCTCTGCCCCCTCAGGACAGGAATTCCCCCACTATTGTAGGGCTGGAGAGGGTCACTGCCTGACAAAAAGTGTGGAAATCTTTTATCTCACCGTCATTAACTTTCTGGTAAACCAGCACCACGTCGGCCACTTGCAGAGACAGTTCATCAGGCTGCCTGGCAGTGTAGGTCCGTGTAATTTCCACCTGCATCAGTTCTGTAGGGAGAAGGAGACGAATCTTTTCAGAAGCATAAGAGAACTCATAGACGGATAAAACCCCTTCTTGAACTTGGCACAAAGCTGATCGGCTCTCCCCGGGTTTGAGAAACCAGGCCACAGCTTTGGCTTTATTTATTTTTTGCTTTAACCACAAGGTGGCAGCAGCGGACTCTTAGAAACAAGGGCGCGGGAAAGACGTACTTGTTCTGTCGGCGATGTTCCTGTCAGTGCCGCTTTGTCCTAACGCACTTATCCAGCGAGCTCTTTCATTCCTGCAACCGAAACAAAACATTAATTTTGGTGTCGAGAAAGAGAATTGATTCTCCTGAAAAAGTGAGAAAAAGATTCTCATGACATAAGCAGCCCTGCTGGATTTTCTTTTTTCTCCAGTGGTGGGAATTGACCCACAATTCACAAGTTGTAGTTCAAAATGTGAAAAAAGTGAAACATGACCCTGGTTTTGAAACAAGATAACTTTTGTTATCTGGCAGGTGGAGCTGTCAGCACTGCTTTGAAAGGCCCTGTTGCTCAAGTTGCTCCCACAGAACAAGACCGAAGTATCATAAGGTAACTTAACCTCAGTGCTACGGCCTGAGCCAAAAAGTACACAGAAGGGAACAGGCTGGGCTCTTTCTGCCTTTGACGATCTCTTCGGCAGCATGACTTGCACCTTGCATACTGTCTTTGTACACAGAGAACGCCAGATGGTGTAGGCATCACATGGGAACATTCCAGGGTTTTGATAATGAACATTTGAATCAAAAGAACTTCTGTAGTAGCTTTTAGGAATAGGACATGGAAAGAATCCATTACCTCTTTTTACATGAATAATTTTCATTTAATCTAAAAATTATATTGATATTAAGAGTAAAGTAAGCCAGAAAATGGTAATCCTCCAGTCATTCAGCAATTTTCCATACTCATTGTGTTCTACAACATTGCTGCCTCGCTGGGATCATCCCCTGGGATACTATCTGTGTCGATTATTATATGTTTTCCTCATGTTCGTTTGCGTTTCCTCCGGGTGCTCCGGTTTCCTGTCACAGTCCAAAAACATACTGGTAGGTTAATGGGCTTCTGATAAGACTGGAGTCACGACCGGGGTGTACAGTATCTCTCCCTGTGCCAGTAGCTTGCTGGCCTGTATTGCATGAAGCTTTTAGAAAATGGATGCATGGATAACAAATGACTTCATAGTTTTATGATATTTATATATTAAAATTCTGTTTTAATTGAAGGGACCTCCAAGACCAATGGGTGGTCTACATAAATAATCCCTTACACTTATATAGCGCTTCTCTGGACACTCCACTCAAAGCACTTTACAGGTAATGGGGATCCCCTCCACCACCAGTGTGCAGCCCCATTGGATGATGCAACAGCACCCATGATGCGCCAGTACTCTCACAACACATCAGCTCTCAGTAGAGAGGAGAGCAGTGTGATGATGCCAGAGATGGGGATTATTAGGAGGCCATGATTGGTAAAGGCCAGAGGGAAATTTGTCCAAGACATGGGGGTAAGACCAATATCATTTTTGAGAAACGCCCTGGGATTTTTAATGCTCACAGAGAGACAGGACCTCGGTTTTACATCCAAAGACAACGCTTTTTTACAGAATAGTGTCCCCGTTACCATATTGGGGCATTAGGACCCACACAGATCGCAGGGTGAGTGCCCCCTACTGGCCTCTTCCAGCACCTCTTCCAGCAGCAACCTTAGTTGAAGCTGAACTTCAGTGGGTTAAATTCTATTTATATTATTAAAATACAGTTTGTGTTCCAAGTGCCATTGTCTTAACTTATTCGTTACTTGCAGGCTGTGCTAAGGAACAGACTTCCATCTAAACATGACACTGTAACAGCATGCACAGCAATGATGCGAAGTGTATTAACCCAGGTCCCGATCTGTAATGACAGAACGGCCGATGGCTTGTTTTTACTATTTATTTTCTTTTCATTCACATCCTAAAGAAGCATGCATATTTACAGCTTATTTAAAGAGCTAGTAAAATCTGGCTATAAGAGTGTGAGGTTTTCCTCTATCTTCTGTTTTTATGCTTTAGAATACAGGAGATACTGATTTTTGATGACGCAGTGTGTGACAATTGCCCCCCCCCCAGTTTACACACTATTAAAACATACATATTTATGACTCATCTCAAAAGCTTTAAACGGCATCTGTAACACTGTTGCACTTTTAGCAGAAAATAGACTGCCAGGTGTTTTTACTATTTCAAACTGACAGTCAACAATTTCACCTTAGTGGCCATCTCTGTAATGCGGGCAATCTCTGGCATGTGCAGCTGAACAGCTAGAATCCCAGCGAATACTTCTGTAATAGTAATAGTCTGCTGTGGAATGTGTAAAAGTATACCCTTAAGATCCTGCTGCAGAGTGTACTTGTGTATTTTCATCAATAAAACCATGGTACACCATACTTAAAACGTATTGCTTTGGATTTTGAGAAGCTCAAAAAAAAAATCACAACATGCTTTTCCCTGGATTATCATAGGGGTGGGTGGTATAACCGGTATAGACGGTACACCGGGAGAAGTATGTGCCACGATATGGATGTGGCTATACCGTTTATACTGGTGGGAAGGGATTTTGATGTTTACATAGATGGCGCCGGCAGCATCGTCGCAAAACGGGGTTTGAAAATGTTTTACTGTTGACCCGTCCTAGTTTAAAATGGCAATAAAAACTTACTATCTAAGTCGTGTTCTCCTTTTAAAGCACGTTCTATTGAAATTATGAGGAAAAAATTCAATATCGTGATGTACTGTATATCGTTACGCTCCAAAATTAGAATTATACCGTGATATCAATTTTAGGCCATATCGCCCAGCCCCTAGATTGTCATACACTATTCTTTTCAGACTTTTCTCTCTTCTTTTTGTTATAGGAGTGCCTAAGTGGTGGCTAAAAATGCGATCCCACAGAAAAGGCGGGAGAAAAAAGGAATGAACGCTTTGAGCTGTGCTTGAATACACTGAGAGCGGTAACTTTCATTGAGCATCACTGAGTCTTGCTTTCTTGTACAGTAACAGACCACCAGAGAAACCACAGCCTGACAGAACATTCATTCCATGAGTCACGTCTCATTTGCCCAATACAATTTCACAGATGAAAGGAATAGCAAGTGCTTTCTTCCAATTAGGACTGAAAGGGTAATGACCAAAAACAAACAATTATTTTCCTAGGTCTTTGTCAAGACACCAGTGGCCCTTTCTCATTGCCGCCTATTTTTAGTCCTCCCCAGTGTGAACAGAGCATGAACTGCAGAAGTTCATCAGCGAGAATTCCCATCATCTGAAAGTATTGTGTAATACTTTAAGGGTGGATGGAAACGCCTGATTCCAATTTCCTCCTAGTGCATTTGGGAAGGGGGTTACTCTGAAGTCCATCTGTGAATCACAACCCATAAAACAATTCCCAAGGCTGGCAGCAAGCACGAAACATTTTCCAACATAATGCAGGCCCCCGTTTTGAACCCCGCCTCCAATCTCTCTGTTCATAACAGCAGAATTCTTTCGTTTGAGCAGGGAGATTCCTAGGCGCTGAGAACGCCCTGCCTAGACGAGCTACGACCTTATCAGTTTCTGGTAACAGGTGAGAGAGGAACTGGCTTGTTGCTGTGGAAAAAGACAACAACTCGAGCAAAACACCGCAAACATAAACCAAAATTCAAACTGAAACCACGTAAAGAAACTAAAAAAAACATGAAACAGAAAGGGTACAGCCACACAGACTCAAGCATTACTGGGAACAGCTTCGAGGTGCTGAAAAGCAGCAATGGCACTCAAGCAAATCATTTTTAGTCCGTTTTCATTTCAAGACATCATGTTGTCTCTCAGCTGATTTTTGTTCTGTCAGGAGCTACTCAAAACTAAATTGGATGGAGGTACTGTACATCCACAGAAAGAGTATTTATGATGATATGAAGAACAGCTTAGTGGTTGTGTTGTGTAGTATTAGAGAACTGCTGTATGTGACTGAGAAGTACACAACTGCAAAAAAAACCCTGGCATGACAACACTGTTAACATAACAGTAATGAAGAGGTGCTGATCATTATCCAGAAAATAGAATATCTAACATGATCCCCGTATTTTGAATTCATTTACTCCTCAAAGTAAACAGCACCCACCTGGATGACCCAGGACACCACACTGCCCCACTGCACAGCAGATCAGACACAGATGTTAATTCACTGATCAAGGACACTCTTTAGAAACACCATATTGTTCAAACTGAGTGTGGAATTTAGTCAGGACCAGGATCAGGGTGAACATCCTTACTCTTACAATCAGAGCCAAAGACTCAGGACCTCAGTTTAAAAACTCATCTTTAAAAATGCCTCAACCTACAGTACATGACCGCATCCCTGATCACCACACTTGTGTGGGGGGTTTGGAAAATCTGGACCGTTGGGAACAGCACAAAAAGCTCATCCAACAGCACCACTGTCAGCAGTAGCCTCTTCCATTTCAGTGCTGACCCGGTCCAGCCTGGCTCTGCTTCTGAGGTGTCCCCAGGTTAGAAGGAGGTTGTGCAGTGACATCACCATGTCAAACATTGTAGAGCAGGTGTGTTCAGTCCTGGTCCTGAGCGCTGGTGTGTCTGCACGTTTTCATTCTACCTCATCTGTTCATGAGCTAAACCAACTGGTTACTGGCTTCATTGAACCAATTCAACAGCTTCTTCCAGCTCTTCCGAAGCTGCGGCAGATTTTAAAGAGACCTTGCAAACCTGCCAACAGACTGGACCTCCAGAACCAGGATTGCTCATTCCAGGCTTAGACCAAGTAGCCTGCACATTTGCTCAACGGTTTGTTACATCTGCTCATCATTCATACGCAACCTGTTAGACGGCTTGCGAAACTTCAAGCTTAAAAATGTGCCGTCATTTTGGAATTATTGGAATTTTCATTAAAGCAAATGTCTGGGTAGAGTAGGAGAACAAGTTCAATGGCACAAAAAAATGCAAAAGGATGTTGCAATACTAACATTAAAAAGAAAACACTTAAAAATGTCGTAACTTGGCAGGCCCTGGGAAAATCAAGAGCAGACAGGAAAAAAAGCTAAACGTTGACATACCATCCACATCTGTTGTACGCTGCACCCAAAACAAACCCAAAGCACAAGAGTAGCCAATTTTGTTTCTACCAAATAATCACTGATTATTTCGGTTTCAGACTTAAGCACCAGAGAGCCCTAGATACAGTTTAACTGCCATTTAGTAAACAGATGAGGCTCATGAGGATTTATGTACAGCTTGCTGGTTGATATTTGAGCAGATCTGCAATGCCTCCGGCTAATCTTGCGACTGAACTGACGAAAACTCGAGAACAGAACTGTACTGAACTACATGCCTTCATCTCTGAAAGTTTAGTTTTGAACGTGCCTCTGCCCTGATATCACAGTGCCAAGCAATGCAAACAGATGAAGATGACCAGCAATGCAGATGTCACTCTGATGTGTAGGGCAACCTGCGCTTCTGCTATCATTCATCAATTCATCCCAACTCTAAACGGATGGATAAGAAGGATTAACTCACATAAATGTGAAATCCTGACAACACTTTTATAATGTGGTGCCATTTTAAGAGCTTGAACAAGCTCGATTCTGCATTCTGCATTAACTGCATAAATAAGGCTCCATTAAACTCAAATTAACATTTGAATGTGAAACAAGTGAAAATTGTTTAATCCCCTGGAGAACAATAACATTCGGGTCACACTGCTAGACAGGTGGAGAGAGAGAGGGAGTTGTGGGAATGATCAGCCCCAACAATGATGGCTGCCTAGCAACAACAGCGCACAATTACCATGCAATAAAAGCCAGAAACCCAGCTCTCCAGTTCAGCAGCAGTGCTAAAATAAGATCCACAATACACTCCATAATCCTTATCTGTATTTCAAGGAAGGAATGAAGGGAGGTTTGTCTAAAAAAACTGACATCACTTTATAGCAGCTTAATAATTTCCCAAAGACTGGAGGTCCAGAGGCCAGAGACACTGGAAAACACTTCACAAGTTCTGAAAACTGAATTCCCATTTTAAGCACAATGAGGATCCTCACAAACTCTTTTCGTGATGATTTTATACTCATCTTGCTCCTCACACTGAAGAACCACATACTTTACTGCTAAAGCACTAAAATATATACAGAGAAAGAAGAACCAATTCATTTATAACCTGGGATGTGCAAATCTATAAACAATAATGCAAATAGATTGAAAAAAAAATAGATGTGCAGAAAATCTTCAGTAGATGTTTAGACCTTAACCACACAAACCAGCTAAACTGGATTAGAAACATGCCGGCCACTTAAAAAGCTATGCCTGTATTATGGCATTGATGACCTCAGTCCTTGTACAATATATCAGCTATCAACACCTCTGGTCCCACTGCAAAGTGTAAACATGGCTTGTGTTACACTTTCTATTCCTTACACACCGGCACATGAACAAGTGATGCCTATATGAATCTGCAGAAAGCAGCAGGCTTGCTGTTCATTGAAACCTATTACAAAACCTCTGAGCCACTACTCAGCTACATATACTGTATGTACTGCATGTACAGTATCTTAGGAAACCAAAGAAAACTCTATAATGCCTCCATTTAGGAGGGTGCCCCATTAATGGAAATCATGAAACAAAATATCCTTGTCATTGAGACAAATCACAGCTGTTCTGTCTTCATTTTCAGCCCCAACAGTTGTATGTGAGCACATTAACTATAATGTTGATTAACGTGAACATCCAGCAGTCCACATTGTTCCAAAACAGCTTAAGTAAATCAAGCTCTTAAATACAGCTCACACAGCTTTTCCTTCTTGTTTTTCCATTGGATTTGAAAAAATTCTACAGAGGTTTGTGTCAGCACTGAAATTAATTTGAGCTAAACAGAAAGCAACACAAGTTGTAAGAGCAATAAACAAAGACAAGGCCACTGTAAAACCAAACAAGAAAACCACACTCACGTGCCAAACCCCTCCATGTGCTGAAAACATTAAGAATACACCAGCAGGAGGTAGAAAAGCCAATGTAACGTTTTTTTAGCACAGATTTATTTTTATTAGTATATTTGAAAGTTTTATGGTTGTTTTCCTGCTTCAGCCTCCAGTCCTGGAGAGGGAGGTTAATTAAATCTGGCCAAGACTGGGAAAACACAGTGTAGAACTGCACAACTCTCACAGAAATCTCCTGACACTTGACTTAAGCATGATTTTCAAAAGACAAAAAGCGAGTCACACGATGATCTGAAAGTCCAATGAATGCATTCAAATGTCCTCATTTATTGTACATTAAAATATCTACTTTTGTCCCTTCTGTATTTGCATTTGGTAAAAAAATGCTTTACTCAGATACTGTAATCTCTGCTATATCCCCCCTTACTAGGGAACAATAATGGTCTACTAAGTCATATTTTTTGGACTAACAGTAAAATAATGAGAAAATGTAAATTCCATTATTGTTTCTGCTTATTAACATCCTAAGTAATTCCATACATCCATTTTCTAACTGCTTTCTCCAGTACAGCATTGCAGTGGATGCCAGAGCCTCTACTGTCAAGCAACAGGCAGAAGGCAGGGTACATCCTGGACAGGATGCCAGACCACTGCAGGGCACACACGCAGACAGACACCCAGACATGCACACCAGTGCCGGTTTTTCCCAGAAGCCATCAGAAATAAGTTGTGAGCTCAAGCTGTGCAACTTCTTATCAGCATGTTTCCCAGAAAAATGATAGAAAAGAGCACAACTACATGGAAGAAACTTACAGATAAAAACAGACAAATGTTTTTTCACTGGTCTCTTGGCCCAGTACGCAAGACACATTCTTCCATTACATTGACCCTGTACCCAAAAAACTCACTTCTCCGGGACAATCACAGGACGACTGACAGCATAAATGAGGCCACTAATGTTTGTGAGAAACTCCAGTCGTGGAAGGAATGAAGGGAGGTCTGTCAAAAAATTTAACTTTACAGCAGCCTACTACAGTAGCGTTAAATGTGATTCCAGCTGCAGGTGAGAGATCTGTAATTAAGCATTAACATTACAGGCAATTACCAACAGCTGCACACAGAACACAGCAACAGACCAACCTTGCATTCCCACCTTTGTACTGTGGCTTTCAGTCCAAGGTTTGCTTGGTCACTCAGTGTTTATCATACCTTTTCTTAGAATGTGATCATCCAGCTACTAACTTGTCCAAGGCAAAACCTATAGACTTTTTTCAGTACGAAGATCTAAGTACTTTGTTTCAACAACAAATACAACTAAGAGAGAATGCACAGTACAGAAAACAAATTACTCAGATAAATCCATATATAGCGATTTTTTTTATCTTACAAGAACAGCAGACAGTTTCTGGGATAGCTCCCATGGGCACTCCATCAAAAAAAAATATGAAATGACATCTAATATCTTTAGGGATTATGGCCTGTTCTGAAAAGTCAGACGAAAGTAGGGCATGGGCTGAGCACTTACAGTAATTCTGCACCCAGGATCATTTCCACTGTTTCTCCAGAATGGTTGCTGCAGAACGAAAGCCTGAAGATGTGATTGGTCGATCCTTGCCGGGAGTACAGCATCCCTGACGTGGTCTTCACAGGGGACAGGTTTAACTCGTCAGATTCACACTGCCCCACAGAGATCTCGTGTCTCAATGCATAGTCTATCACGTTATAGCTCTCTTCGCTGCAAAAGAAAAGAAATCGTGTTTACAGATTCGACAAACCATAAGAACTAGTCAATACAAATTCCATCTTCTATGCCCCCTCCCCAGCATAGTTACCCAGGTATTTTTAATCCTATACAGTAGGTGGTCATGTGACGAAAAAATGCAGTTTTATGGCACAATCATTTTTGTAAGGAAAAGTGCCAGTCAGCTAAGAGTGCCCCATGATGAAACTGGGTGCACACAGAGCCTCTACATTTTAAAATAAAGTGTCTTTGCACAGAGATAACACCCGCAACAAAATGCCAAGCAGCACACACAAACACATGGTGGCTTGGATTAACGCACTGTAAAGGGCCCTGACACACACCCTTTGGACAAAGCTGGTACTTATAGGAGTGAGGTCTGTTGGATAACTGGACGATTCCCCTGTGGCGGGGGCTGCTCGTTTTGTTTTAGCGGCAAGGCTCTGTTGATTCTCCTTCAGGACTGCACAGAAAGAGAAGCTATACATCTTCTGTCTCTGATGCTTGTCATGGGAGAAACACAATTCCATCCACCCGTTTTTTCTCACCACATTATCCAGTACAGCGTCGCGGGGGAGCAAGCAGCAATCGTGAAGCAGGGTCAAGTTTCATTTTATTGTCACATGTGAAGAGCTCAATGAGATGCTTACATGCCTGTCTTCCTCACGTGGCAAATGACATAAAAGATAACATAACACTGACATAGAAAATGACATTACAATTCTTTGAGACAGGATTGTGGTAGCAGCTATAATTTTAACAGGATTCACATTGCACCGGTGTGCAATGTTCAAGCAGTGGCAGTATTTTGAGTTCAGTACAAAAACAGAGGGGTGTAATTAGGAGGTAGTCTGATGTGGGGTACAAGCTTCCCAGGGTGGGTTTGACCCTTGATTAATATTATTCACCATTCTGAGGCAGCATGTGCTGAAGATGGTTCCACCTCCCAGGATACACCCTGGACGAGACACACCCAGGTCAATTAACCTAAAAACACCCAGAGGAAACCCAGGGGAACACGGGGAGAACATACAATCTCCACAGGGGTACCCCCCGGAATTGAACACAGCCGCCCAGCATTGCAAAAAACTGAGACACCTGAGATGACTGAGAAAAAAACTGAGATGCTGCCATACAAACATTATTAACCTTTTTTATCTCTCACTGTTTCAATGGATCTCTTTGTTTATTCTTTAGCACTAGACTGCAGAAGTGCCATTAGAAAATCATTCACATACAGTATGTTCCATATGCAAAAGCTATAATTACTTCTATATTCTGCTAATCTCTTAGCAGTTGGGTTCTCTTTGTTAATTAATTAACAAATCTCCGTCAGACAGCATCCACATCAGATAATCTACAGAGGAACAGGAGGTTCCTTCATAAAGGTCTGTCAGATCCTTCTAAGCCTGTGCTGGGGAATTGAAAAGGGGGGGGGGAAACTCAAGAGTTCATTAGCATAATTGACCACCTTCTTGTTTGCAAACTTTTATTCTTGAAATGAGAAGCTTGAAAGACGAATCTCCTGACAAACGCCAAATTCATCTCCCGCACATCAGGTGGTCCCGACTGCTAAGCTGTTTCTCACTACTTCCCCTCGGCCGTTTTTTTCTCAGCTATAAAGTTACTCCTAATTAGCCGGGAGGAATGATGGAACACAGCCTCAGCGCTCTGCAGTGACTTGTGTTCAGAGTTCACAGAGCACATGGGCTCATGTTGTGTGAACTCTGTCCCTCGGAACAATGTAGTTGTTCTTTATACGAAGCAGACATCTTTCATGAATAGTCAAAGGAATTAATTAATCTAAATCCAGTTCAAATTCTGGGACAATTAAAGAAAACTTAAGTATTTTGAAGAATCTGAAGTATTTTGAAGTATCAGAAGTATTTTGTTGTTTGTCCACAGCTCACAGCAATATGCTTTAAAATGTATTTCTCCCACAAGTGTGAGTACATGATGGACCAGTCTGGTTTATTTTGATCTAAAACCATAAAATTTTGTGAACTTAAAAACCTCATGGGTATTGGAAAAGTAAAGTTCTGGATTATTTTCATTATTTCAACAGTGGAAAATTGTAAACAATGTAGCTATGAAAGAAGGTCAATTTAGACTAACAAAGGGACACGTTCATGCACACGAATTCTAAAACCACAACAATCTGTGGCTGTTTACAGTCTCCATTTTTAACAGACACACCTTGTACCAGGAATAGAAAAACCGCCAGGCTGTTGCACAATAAAAAAAAAAATATCACTACAAACACAGGTTATACACATCAGTCTCCCATTCCAGAGTCACAAGCAGAAATACAACTGAAAGTAACTTCAGTTGCACTCCTCTTTAGAATACTTCCACTCTATTATCAAGCCACACAAGCTCATAGTGAACTGGACTGGCATCAGTCCAGGCTTGCGCAAGAGCAGACAAAGTAGCCGGACCATTGTAGTTACAGTCCTTGGAACTAGAGGAGAGACTCAATCACTGTCAAGACGCAGAGCTGACTGACCTTCAGTGAGGACTGGCAATGGGACTTCTTACAAGGTATGCGAGAGCATGCAGCATTTCTGAAATACTAGGGCATATCACAGTTTACTAAAGCAACAGGACACGAGAAGACATCTAAGGGGCTGATGTCTTCTTGGGCCTAAGGACAGCACTGTGTTTTGTTGTGGCAGGAATAACCTGTGATAATTTACAGGCCATCATTAACATCACAGCTGGTGACAGAATCACAGTCAAAGGCATATCTAGAACCTACAGACCTGATTCCACATACTGAAACATGAAGAATGAAACGTACATCTGTTGTCCTCTTTAGCTCTTTCAGAACAATGTACTGTATAAGCTTCCATTTCCTCCTTCCACTACAAATTCCACATCCCAGCTAAAAAAAACCCAGAATATAGTAAAATGAAGGCACGTCAAGTTCAAAACTGTATGAGAACGAGGTGCAATCAGAGTTCAAAGTACCATCACACTCCGTAAAATAAACACGCTCCCCGTGAGAGAGGCACAACGCACTGCGCAGTAAAAATAAGCACTGCAGATCCAGGGCATCTGTGTCCAGTTTAATGAAGAGAGCTTGTTAAAGCAAAACACGCGAGGGACCAAGAACAACAAAAGCAAAGGCAGCTGTTTGTTTTCTAAAAAACCTTCTTATATAACCATTCCATATTGAAGTACCTGCAAGAAAAACAGTGAGTAGTACATCTTAAAATGTTCAAAGTATAGCAAGAGAGGTCCATTTGGATGAAAACAAAAAGAAAAATCACTGGTTTCTTGCCAGACAGTACAAATCAATATTATAATTTTGTATCAAATTCAAAAGCACAGCTCAGCAGGTTGGATCGGTAGATGGAAATTGGATTCTGGAAGGAGCAGTTTTTACATTCCTTGAAACCCGAGTGATCCAGTAGCAATGGAATCTGTGAAAAAAAACTACTAGGCCACATAATTTGTAACAAATCAGCCTTTTTAATTGTCTGTCAGACGGGCTCCACGCTGCGAGGTGTGCCCTGACCTCCCTTCACACAGTTGGAGCTTTTTCCGACAAAAAGGAAAGATAAGACACACATTTCTGCTCCAGGAAACAGAAATCTACATGTCTTTTTCAGCAACGTATCAATGAAGCCAGACCATTATCTTGAGTATAGACAGTGACATTGAAACAGCAGTATCTTAAATCCCACCCCTAAAAGGGTTCATCACCATTTAAGCCCCAAAAGTAGTCAGCTTCCTTTCTGTAGGCAAAGCCCTCTGACTGAGAGAGATGCCCAGTGCCTGCGAGTACTGAGAGGCACGTGAACCCATAACTCACCTCGCCACTTAAACTGTTCTCTGAAGCTATGCGACTGGTATGTCAAAAATCTGAATTCGTAAGCTGCTGTAAACTGACCTATGATTCGTTTTATAGAAAAGCCACATGGGAATCCTCTCATAAATACAGCTTTTCTCATCTGTGCATTTGATGATTCAAAGTGAACTTCCATCAGCTCTCGTGCAGATGAAAGGCAAGGAATGAAGAGTGCTCTGCATAACTGCACAGCTGCAAGAAACCGATCTTTCCACTGGAGGGGGACATCAGAGAAAGTAACAAATCAGGGATAAAAAGAAGAAAAAAATATTTTTTAAATCTAAGAATAACATACCCATGTTGACTTAATATTCTGGCAAGGAGGCACATCGAAAACTTCAACCAGATCATTGTTATGGCATTCAACTAGAACAGCATAGCGCATAGCACAGCTCTCACACGCTGAACAGCGTTCCAGAGCATTCGCCTTCTGCATCTTTACTTTATAAAGTTGTACTCTGTGCAAAACAACACAAGCATCACAACCATTTCATAAAACAGGGGCCAGCCACATTAAAATGATCTTCCTGGAAAAAAAACATCTGTTTTTCCGCAATGCTGCCTTGCTGTTCTGGGACATGAACATGGACTTTCTCCGAGGGGTGCGAGACCCAGCTGCCAGGCATGGACATGTCCGAGCAGCCCCCCCCACGGTGAGTCCGGGAACACGGCTACATCCACCCACCTTTTCTTCCTCGTCACGATGAGGACGTCGTTGAAGAGGAAGAAGTACACCTGCTGCCGCGAGGTGCGCTTGGAGAAGATCCCGTTCTCCTCCACAAAGGCAGTGAGCTCCCCTCTCTTCACCATCCACCGGGAGGAGGACACCAGGGGGAAGGGCTGAGGGGCGAAGCGGGATTTAGTCACGGAAGACAAACCTTGAAACAAGAGCAGCACAGGAAGTGTCCTCCTTTCTCAACCAACAGCCCTCGCCTGCTTCTGAATGGGGCTTCCAGGTCTCAGTACAGCCTGTGGCACAGTATAAATGAAGCATCAGCCCTTGCTCCCACATTAAATATCCTCAATGGAAGGAAACCGCCTTGACACCTAGTGCTTGTCAGCCTGTATATGATCCACTACTTTTTGCAGTATTTGCGACCTGCAATGCCTTTCCCCCCTCTCAGTTTTGTGTGCAATGTCTACATTTATTTGTTACCAGGACGAACATGTTCCTTTTCCTAGAGTTTATCTGGACGTCCACTTACTGGACAGTTGCTTGAAAATGTCCAATCTCTCCGTGTGGGTAAAGGCTGAAACAAAATACTGTCTCCTAGATTTGCCTCAGCGGTACAATAACACCTGTACAGATCTGTTCATACAGTATATTCACTTGTGAGAGTACAACATGCAACATATCCATATCACTGTAGCATTCGTTTTAGACCAGCTGCTTGTTTGCCAGCGACTGAGCTGCAGCTGTAAAAGGTTCTGAGAAGCCAAGTGTTGCAGAGCCCCTGACAAAGTGTGAGCAGCTGCATTAATGGCAATTTTTTTAAGAGCAGCTCACAACACCAGCTTACTCCGAGTTTCAGACATCTGCCTGGCACAACTGTGCAGAGAGCATTTTTCCCACACTCGCTCAGACACTTGTTGCTGTTTGACAACAGAAAATGTACGATTATGAAGAGGCAGCACCATGCCAGAGGCAAGGTGAAGTGCTTGTTCATCTTTGTTTCGCTAAACGTACACCTTCAGAATGTTTTTGAGTCGTGAACAACAAAATGACAAAGCTGTGCCTACACCATTCCATCTACAGTGATCTGAGCAGTCAGAATACTAAAGTTTCTCCTACAGTTTCATGAACTGCAGTATTGTATATCCTGCATCGTGAAACACCTGTAAATGACCTTTGTTTCATTTCCAAAAAAATACATTTAACCTAAAACTACTCCAAGAGGAAATACCTAGGAGCTTATAAAAATAATTTCTGAGCACCATATTCAGGATCGACCTAAGCACATCCACCTCTGATTTGATTTTCTAAGCATCTGAAGTAAGCAAAAGAGTTCAAATATACTTAGTCCACCTTAATGTCATATATTCTCATTGCACCCATTTTGTTGTACCACATTAAAGGATTAGATTCTCTCTGTAAATTGCAAACACTAAAGAACTGCATTAGCTCCTTTAACTTCTGAGACACTCATACCACAATATTTGCACAGCGCCATTTCATCAAATCTGAATTCCCAACAAAGGGCAAAGATCAGTTATTTGGCACAAATGATGTTGTGAATATTATTTGCTTACAAATTACAGTCATTTAACTTGACACATGCCAAGTGATCTAACACTAAACTCACACAGGTGCAACATGCAGAGCTTTCTGGCAGTGGAGGGGAAACAGAAACCGTTCAGCGCAGTGTTACGTGATATTATCCTGAATCGAGTGTAACTTATTGTTCAGCAGCCTCATCCTCTCAGAAAATACAGCCCCAGTTTTTCACATCCCTCCACAGTTCTGTGTGCTCATAAAAAGCAATGAAAATAAAGCAAAAGACTAATCTTGGACTTGAAGAAAACAATTAATAACTCCACATTCCTGCTCCCTACACCGTTGCAAAACAAGATGGCAGGGAGATGCCCACCACAAGCCAAGGAACAGAATACAGAGGGACTGATCAGTGTGCGCTGACTGAGTTTCAAGTGGTTCTGTCTGATGAAGTCTCTGAACAGCACTGAGCCCTTGAAACCTGTGCTATATGTACTGCCGCTCAGTGGTAGTCCGATTTGCCTTCCCAGTACCTCCTGAAGCCTCAGTTTGCCCTGCACAGTCAAATCCCGCTCTGTGGGATTAGCCAGGACGGGACAAAGACATTCCTGTTTCCCTAGTGTGAGAGGGGAACAGTCAATCCTCTTTCCTCCTGTGTGAATCGGCCGCCAGTCTCCAGTGTATCTGAACCACACGCACAGCTGTATTCCCGTATCTGCAGGGACTTCCCAGCGACTCCCATACTGTTGCTATTTGCTATTCCAAACTCCGCACTAGACAAACACCACAGCTGGGGACAAATACTGTTGGCACTTCCGCATCTAAAAGAAGATGCTATCTGATTTCTGAAAAAAAAAAACAGTTTTTGCCAATGAAGTGCCCCTGTTGAGGTCAATCCTGTACATGCCCACACTTGGAGCGCGTGTGAGACCAGTGTTGAGTGCCCACGAGGCAGCCAGGGATCGTACAGATTTCTGTTTGTTTCTCCATGCGTGGGCTTGAGCGTGTAAAAGTGCCTCTCTTGTTCCGGCTGCTTTAATCCGAGTAATAAACCATTTACAGGTGCTCCATGCCCCCTCAAACACTCCTCTACCCGAACACTCCTGGCACCTGAGAAGGATTTTCTTCCATGCCTGCAGGCGATGTGGGGACAAAAGCCAATTTTACGAAGGGGTCTGAAACTGACCTCGTTGGACAATATCTACTGTGTTGAAATTAGCATATACAATGTACTGTATGCAATGGGGTCCTTGTACCCAGTTAAATTTGATATAAAGAATACTATATGTATTGGTTTTGCAATGTCCATAATTGTAGCATCCAAATGTTCCAAAATCCATAATTCAGGCAATAGCCAGAAAATAACCCCAAAAGTTTATTTTTTTGTTAGCTATGGGAAGTCTACTGTACAGAACCTCTTTATAGCTGTAATGGAAGGATAGGGGTGGCAAAAATAAGGTTAATGGATCCATTATTGACAAAAAGCTTTTAATTCCCAGTCTGGGTATTAAACGTAAAAACATGTTAAAGCTAAGCATGGTGAGGTTAATGCAGAGGATTGTGCAATGAACTCCCACATGCATCAAAATTACAGCTCATTACCATTAAGAGGATCAACTTTAAAAACACGCTAATTTCTGAAGCTTTTCCCTCTGGAGCAAAAACTGAAACTGAACTGAGGGTGAAAGGCCTCTTACCGAAATGCAGCACTTGTGGAAAAGATGCTAATTTTTTCTTCTCACTTTAAACAGTGTACGATAATTATCTGGAGGTAGAAAATGAGGCACACAACTTGGCATAACCGGACAAGAACAGTTTGACACAATAAAAACTCATCAGCAGCAACCAGGCCCTGCTGAATGACATTTTTTCCTTCAGGGGACAAAAATGCAACAAACAAGCCTACCTTGATCTTAAATTCCAGCTGGGAGTTTATTGTGTACATCATTTCTGTCCTCTCCATTCTCCTGGCTCCTTCATTGCATAATCGGACCAGCTAAAACCAGACAGGAAGCAGGATGTTTGTCACCATCTTGTTTTTGTTTAGGATTTATCTGAAAATCCCTCTTTCCTACTTAAACAGCAGCTCAAATTCGGCTCACTATCCACAGCAAAACAGTAACAAATGAAGAGGAACCCCAAGAAGGATAACAAAAGCAGACTGATCATGAACATAACTAATATTACCACTATTATTGGACACTTTGCATCTAAAATGATGTGAATAGGGCCCAACAAATCCCCAAAGGAAAAAAGAGATCCCATTTTCCCTCACCTTGCTCACTGCCAGAAATGCCTTTTTGCAGGATTCGTGTTTTGCGGAGTCTTTTGCTGTTTTCTGACAGATAGTCTGCAAGACAAAGCAGTCTAATTTAAAGACAGGAACAAAGACAGCAATTCCAGAGTCTCAATTCCACTGCATTACTGTAATTGCACCGAGCCATGGAATAAACAGCATTAATTCAGGTACTGCACACAAAAACCAACCCAATTATTCAAGAACTCCACATTGCAGAAGAAGTGGATCTACAGTAATTTCAGATTATTTGACAGTACACTGCATTAAGAACTGAATACATATCACTGGTCCTACAGCACAGTGAAAAACACCAGCCTACCCTTAAGTTTACACAGTTAATAATTAAAACTTTGGAGAATGAAGAGACACTGGCAAAAGACATGTTAATTGTTTAGAAACCTGGAATATTTTCAAATTGGTTTCAATTTGTTGTGGCATTTATGGGAACACAAGACGTTAAATTAGTTCAAAATACCCACGTTAAGCATGAAGTGTTTTCAGTTTGGAAAGAAGCATTTGTAACCAATATCTGTAGATCTTATCCTAGCTGTTTCTCTCTTAACTGTTTAACATATTTTTTGTCAAATAAGATGTCTGAGCTTCCAAAAATATACAACACTGTAGGATATAAAACAACTGTTGAAAATCTCAGCTGTAACAAGGCCAGAAGAAGACCACAAAAATAGTTCTCAACTCAACACTACAACATGTTATTAATTTATTTGACTGATGTCTTTATCCAAAGCAACTTACATTAATATCTGTTTACACAACTGGGAATTTTACTGGAGCAATCTGAGTGAAGCACTCTGCTCAAGGGTACATCAGCAGTGCTCCACCTGGGACAGTCTTGCAGTTCCACAGTTACACAGTGCACAGTCCTAGCCATTATTCTGTCTACATGCAACTCTTGGGCTTTGGCAAGCTTCTCTTGGGAAGAGGGAAGTTAATGGTGGAGGAGACACAGAGTGACTCACAGGACTTGCAAAGGTGGTCTCTGCACCAGAGGATTGTGAAGGAAACGCGAGACTGCAACGAAAGCTGGAACGCAAGTACACGTCAGACGTCCACGGAAATCTCGCTCTACTTTGGACCATGCTTAATAACTTTATAAGGCTTTATAAGGCCAAGCCAACTTCGGCCACAAGATCGACCCTCCCCTCTCCAGTCAGTCCTGCAAGAAGGTACAAACAGCCCTCACTTGTTTGTATGCTTTCTTATGGTTCCTATGAATTTTCCTTTGGATTTCCCGCACATACAGTATATGGGAGCCTCTACTCTCTGTTTTAGAGCCACAGGGGGAACACTGCTGGGTTTTCCTGACCACCAAAACAGACTCCAAAGCCCCGTCTTCAGTGAGGCTGCCTCTTCATTTCTGCAGGTGAAGCCGGACTAGCTGTAGGGAAGCTCGGCCCCAAGACACCATCGAGAGCCGCGGAACTTACATCCATCAGGAGAGGCAGGCGGGTGACTCGCTGCATGGGCAGGATGAGGAAGGAGATCATCGGGAGGTTCCTACAGTCGGGATGACTCTCGATTCGGGAAAGCACTTCCTTAAAGGAGGGGTTTTTAGTCCTGTGTCATGAAGAAAAAGTTCCAAAACAAGTGAGCTCACAAGACATATGAATCTTTGATAATGTACAGGTATTAACATTCTAAACAAAATGACACTGGAAAAAATGTATCAACCTACCAACCTATTAACTATACCTTTGATGTTTGATACAATCTTTACTACAGAGCCAATGTAAAAGTGCTTTCCTCTAAATGCACTTATAAGGCTAACACATCTAAGGTTCTACTGTAATCTGCTTGTCCCAGACTATTGACAAAAGAGCATCTGACTGTCAGACCTGTTATCTTGTTCTCTGCTGCCATTTGTTTATTTCAGAATCACATGGACAAATGCTGCTTTCATGCAGTGGCTTAGCAGCCTGCAGAGACAAGGGTGTAGAGCTTACAGAAGCTTCTGCAGAGTCCGTTGCTGGTAAACTTCATTGGAACAGTATGTCACATAGGGGTCAAAGGTCGACATGGCATGTTTTTCAACAATGTCGCTGATGTCATCAATGACAATATTCTGTTGATGCCTGTCCTCCAGCTCTTTAAAGAACCTTCAAAAAGAGCAGGAAATGTCAAACAAATAATTATAGGAAACTCCAGAGACAATACATTAAGTAAAGCAGTCCAGACTCGGCATGGGATCGTTTTTTTTTTTTTATTCCAAGACTGAATCTGAAGATAAGGAGAAAATATTGGCTTCTACATGCAAAACTAGATCCCATCAGCACAAACAAAAATGACACTCGCCTGGATAATCACAACCATGTAAGTTAGAGAGAAGGACTTTTGTTTTCTGGTGACAATTTGTGAAAATGGAAAGGAAGACAAGCAGATTTTTATAACTTTATGATACAAGGCCAAAGCTTTACTTTTCCACCACTTGCAGGCTGAAAAGTGGGAAATTGGTAAGTCACATAAAACGGGAATTTTAAGCTTTTCCTGTTGTCTGTGCAGAGAGTCTTTCACAGTGTATCACTTTTCAACTGTTTTCAATGAAACCATAAACTGTTTCCATTATTAACAACACTGCAGTTCCAGGGTGGTGTCTACCATGACCTCTCACAAGGTGACTGCGACCCTCTTATTCCTGTTTTTAATCTTCAATTTGTGTGTGCGATGTTGAAGGGAATCCTAATGCATTTTGTCAATTTATAATACACTCAGATAGCTGCCACCCCAGCCACAGAATTCCAGCTCAAGTGAGTGGAGGTCAAAGAGTTTAAAGGACAAATCATGCAGGCACTAGGCTTCAGAACCTACTGTATTTTAGAGATGATGAAGTAAAAAGTCATCTTGTGGGGTTTAGGTCTTGTCTTGGAATATCAGAGCTTTAACACATGCATTTGAAAAACATTTTAGATGTTATGAGAGGTTTCAGTGTTTTGAAGAACAAGCACTGACACTGGGAGAAGCAGATTTTGAAGCATGTTAGATTTAACCTAAATTAACACTTCAAGTCCTACTTACAGGCTAACATAACTGAGCCTTTAACATCTTGAACAGAAAATCTGAAGGAGACCTGATTCAGGTAATCAAAATCCTTGAACGCTCAATCCAATGGCCTTCTTCCGAATCAGCAGTGAAACACAAACCAGAGGACAGTAATGGAGGTTGCACCCAAGTGTAAACACTGAGAGGAGGAGGCACTTTCTTACATAACGGGTTAAGGGAGTCTGGAACAAACAACCCAGCCCTGTTACTGCAACCGATACCCCGGCTTCGTTGTAGAAACAGATGGATGAGATTCTTGGATCAATTAATTACCAGCAGCCAAGCAATACCAGACAGGCTCACTGGCCTCTTCTCATCTGGAACTTTTCTTATGTTTTTAAATGAGAAACACAAAGACGGTCACAAACGAGAAGAGGGTATTTGGTCCATGGAGCTTCATCTGGATGCCGATTAAAAAAGACCAAGAGATAAGCCTAGGTCTGGTTTATCCCCAACATGAAATGCACACTTTATTAGGTTATGAGGAATGAGATTGTTCAATAGTCAGATATAGAAAACAGTAATCTGAGCAAACACATGAATTAGTCTGAATATCACAGATAGTCCATTATTGGTATTATATTGCACAGTATCTTTGGTACCTGATGAGATGCTGACCCTTAGTTTCTATGGCTGTCTTTGCCTGGGCACGATCCAAATGGAAGCAAGAAGGAAAGAAAAAAAAAACAGTGTTTCTGCAGCACATTAAAAGTGTGATGGGAGGACGATCTTCATTGTATTTACACAAGTGAAAAGAGGTTCTCATCACATCCAAACAAAGCAATTCACATTGCTCAAACATGGAGCCAACTGGAAATCACCCTGTGAATAAATGGCCATTTACAAAACAAAGAAAAGAGCCTGCTGAAGACAGCAATGGTATGCTGACATTAAATACATGTTCAGTGCGTTCCAGGAACAGATTCCATCATTTAAAAAAGGGTCTAATCAATGAGTGCCTCCCTTACGATTGTATTGTTAAGAAGGCAGCCCTGCACTATGTAACCTTGGATTAATATCTACTGTAAGTGGAATTACACAGGAGCCACTGCGCTGTCGCCTGTTTGGGGAGTACTGTTAATTAGCGATACCCTGGAGCACACAGTGTATGTGTTCTTTATCATTATACTACTTAGCAGTGTCATTAGCCTGAAACAAAAAGATATTACTTCCCTTGGGTCTAGGAAATAACAGCAGCAATCCATCTGTGGACGTAGATCTGGCTAATGGCCATGAGCAGGAAGGGATACAGTAAAAGCAGTTTTTAAAAGGCCACTGGAAGCCAGCTGAGAGCACGTGCCATGCAGATCCTTGAAATGCTGTGCTCACATTCTTTCCCAAAAAAAAGAAAAAAAAAAGAAGCTCAGCTATGAACCTAAACAATAACCTTGTTTCGACAGCATAGGAACACTGGCAAGGACGGGGGACTGTGAATCTCTGAACTGCTGAACAGCACAGTGCCACAGCACTCTGAGCAGATGAAGACATCACCTAACCAGAATAAAACGTAGTAAAGATACAAGACATCAACCATCCTGACCCACGCTCAAACTTTTGTTTTTATCTCAACACAACTAAAAAAATGTCATACATGCAGGGATGATTGAGCAAATACAAAATAAAGAAGACTGTACACAGCGGCTATGAAAATGTAAGAATCCATGTACAGTAGTTCAATAGCCCTAAGCTTTTTATGTGATGAAGAATGTTTCTGTTTCATCTCACCCTGCAACATTCTGCCTTTGTAGGCTAGGCCACACCCTCTGGTGTGTTAGTCTTAAGCAATGAAGTACGGATGAGAGTAGTAATGATTTCTGGAGCAGTTTTAAGTAGTTTGGATACTAATACGTGCATTTCAACTATGGAACAGTGATCCTTGCCAACAACACATACTGCACATTGCAAATTAATGACATTAACACAATCATCCTGTGGTCTCGTCTTTCTGTCTACTATCACAATGGTTGGCTCGGATGTGCAAAACCAGCAACATGGCAAACCACCCAAAAAAAGGCATTAAGTAAATTATTATTTTCTTTAAGAATTTACACAGATCACATATATATAAGGAACAAAATATTTATATTTTTATCAATTCCCGATTTGTAGAGAATAACGTTCATCTTCCTTTGGTAACTACAATGAAGTGAAAGGACAGTGAAAGTGTCTGCTACAAAACTGTTACAGCTGCAGATCCAGCTGGGAAACAGCGCAGTGTAATTCCTAAGGTAATGATTAATCAAAAGCTCTGGAGCAGGAGGCTTTCATTCTGAAAACGAAATGAAGCCTCAGCAAAATATAATCAGAGAGACACTGCAACGTAATGCATTTCCCTTACTGTCATTGTTTTTTTACTGCATCACTACAGAGCTGACAGAATATGGGGCTATGGGGAGAGCTGCTCATATTTGCAATGCTAATTTGTATTTAAAACAGTCAAATAAAATGTGTGCATTTATGCTTCGTAATTTTTTAATGAGCATTATAAACCCCTAAAAAAGGTTTCTTGTGAAATAATCAGTCTATCTCAATCTTCTTTCGCAAAGATCACTTATTAATCTGCTCTTTCCAATTCATGATCTTTAAAAATGTGCTGTAGCTGGGCTCTCTCCTGGGCTGCCCTTTCCTTCTCACCATCTGTTTAGTACAAGGGTGGGGTCCAGCGCTCTGTTGACAGAATATTCACCTTGCCAAGACCTTTGAGAACAAAGTGTTGCTGGAGGAATTAGATCTCTCTCAATTGCTTCATTTCTTTATATGACTTGTAAACCACATTGCACAACTACATTACCTTACCAGAATGCTTTCTTACAGGACTATGACTCAACAATTATCTTTAATTTTGAATAAAACTATTTCAGAAATGTGATACTCTAACTACGCAAGTAGCTGGACCAGTATGACAGGTTCTTTGTTTCCAAAGAATTCAGAAAAGGTTCTTAAGTGGATAATGTATTTTTGTTCTGTGTTACTGTAAGTCAGTGCTTTTCAAAAGGCTTTCAATTCATCCTCACCTCCTTAGAATGCATCCAAAGACCCATAAGATGACAATTGTTGTTATATCTTCTTAATGCAAGTCTCATCACCTTTTTCATCTACCGAAACATTTCCTTATTTTGTAAACAAGTATAAGTGGTGACTCCAACAACAGCAAGTCTGTAGTTGACTCTAGCAGTGGAATCTCATTATCCTGTTTGTCTTTTCTGTATTCACTGGTACAATTAAATTACCTGGGACAGAATAATTGTTTTGTGTCTCAATGGTCTTTTCCAGGTCAGTGCAAAACTCCTTCAATATACATATATTTAAAAAAATGGTATTCTGTTGAAAAAACACTTAAAAGTTATGGGTTCATGTATAGAACCTCTGCTTAGATGGGCAAATACTTCACTTTAACAAGCATGACTTTCAGTATTACTGATTATATCCCTTACAGAAGTTTGCCTTGGGGAAATGTTTAATTATTTACAGAAAATTGACTGCAAGAAGAAATAGTAATTCTTTCCTTAACGCCTCATCCAAGCTACACCAGGTTAATTCCCGAAGGCACAGTTTTTAGATCCATGATACTCTAGTAGAAAGGTAATCAGAATGGATTATGATTAATTCTTTTTTGTTTAGTGAAAAAAATTCTTCAAGTCTTGACAAAAGAAAAGCTGATATTTTCTTTCAGACAGAAACTGCCACTTCACCTATGTTAAAAACGACAGTCAGCTCCAAAAGAACAGATTCCTACAAGTCTACACAGGGAAAGAACATTACTTTGGATTTGAGGAGAATCAGTCCTTGAGCTACGGTTGACAGGTATGACATCATTCTGGTATGAGTAGAGCGGACCTTTCAGCAAAAAAAAAAGAAATGTTCTGGCAAAGCTTCACTATCTCTCAACCATGAAGAGAATCACCTGTGACAAGACCTCCCCAAATGTAGTAACAGTTGAGCAAGGATGCAAAACCTCCTGCCCTCATTGTGCCCCCCATCCCAAAGACAACAGTCCAAAAAACACAATCATGTGCACTGTTGCATTGTGCATTGACAGATATTTAAAGCTTAAAACAAATCTAACATTTTAAATGCATGTAAACGTTCAGTCCATTTGTGTTTGGAATTAGTTGCATTCACCAAAACGAAAATGCACAGAAATACTATATTCTAAACAAAGAACTGCCTGCCAGGGCGTTATGTTGATCTGGCGCTACATCTACTAATAGTCAACAAAGTACTCCAACACAACTCTAGCGCTTCAACAGATTTCTTGTTCAAGGATCCCATACATCACTGCATGACACAAATATACCATCATTTCAAAAACCCTTTTGCACTGTGAGAAAAGAAAAACAAACATGCCATTCCTGCACAGACGTTGCTTTAATCAATCGCTGTAACCAACTGGCAGTCTTCATTTCTCATACATCATTACTGCCTCAGACATAAAACACATTCGGAAAACAAGGTGAGACAAGGTTCTCAGACCTTTCCCAATGGGTTCTAATTGCTATCAGCACCAGTACTCATCTGCAGCATTTTTAATGCCTTTCAGGATAAATCCACAATCCTACATCAATTACCACAACACTGTGGCTAATATTATTTTGCAAATCTGGGGCAGATCAGAGGACAGGATCACTCTCTTCGTTTCCACGTTACCCCCAAACAAAACAATCAGAAAAAACATCCTTTAACAATCCCCAACACAACGACTACCACCCCGGCGTCTCCAATCGAACTTCTGACACGTCAGACTCACTGGAGATAACCAAGCAAGTTCATTCTCAAAAGGACAATCTGTTCTGGTAAGACAAGGCCCGTGATATTAAACTCTGACAATAAATGGGTCTGAACACACGAGAAACAATGAAACCTTCTCTTTTGGGGAGGAAGTACAGTGGTGTGGTTGTTCTTGCTGGCCGTCTTTTGATTCTGTATAGAGCAGCAGTGAGTTCTTCATAATAACTAACAAAGACTCCATACAGTAGGAGGAACACAGTGCATTCGAAAAGGCGGGGGATTCAGTGGACGTCTTCCCTTTCCATTGACAGCAGCTAAGCCAAGACGAGCTGTGAATGCCTGGCTGGAATGTTGCTGGCTGTTACCACAGTGGAACAATGAGGGGTTTGTAAGGACCCCTGTATGTGACCTGCGCTGCTTTTGGGCTGGCCTGTGGTTTTAACAGGAGGTTCCTTCCTCGACCCCAAAATACAGCATGAGCGCCCACATTCTAACCAAGAGCACGGAGGGACAATAATTTGGTTTCATTCTCCCGGCATGTCCACTGCGCCAAGTAGCTCCAGAAAACAAATTATTATTATTGAGCAACTTCGTTTTCTGTCAAATGGAAATAGACAAAAGTACAGCGAATAACTGGAAAGATCTGCCTAGGACAAGACTTGTTTCATAATAAAAAAATTAAACTTGTTATTTTTTCCATGTTTGATACTGGTAGCGTTTCATTCACACGCCTAATTTCTGTACTGATGAAAGCACTGGGCGCAATTTAGTCTACAGAACTAAGCCCTGGAGAGGAATGTGGGATGTGTTTTTATGCTTTAAGAGAATCATGCATAAATAATGTATATGGGGTTGAATTGCAAAGTATACAAGGAAAATGTGTAGTATGAGTATCCATTTATTTAGATAGAAATGCAAGCATCTTTTAGCTTTAAATGCACAGTACACTACAGCAAACTGAATTCTTAAGTTATTTAATCAGTTCATTATTAACCAGCACAATTAGAGCAGAGGCCCATACTGCTGTTACTTTGAACTGCTGTGCTGGGTAAAACTCACAGTGCCATAGCCATGGAGATGGGTGACAGCCCTGTATACACAGCCATTGTGTCTCCCGTGTTCGCTTCATTGCCGGTTCTAATATGGGCTGCATCTGACATTCGAAACACATGGGAATTAAAAAAAAAAAAACATGACAGACTCAAAGATTATGCTCCCATTTGCCACAGCAGTCGATTTCAAAAGGCTTCCAGCGAAGATACAGTGTGTACCCACCAAAACAAAACGAACAGTCTGACTCAGGCCACGGCCACGCACGGACACCGTGTGCCAATCTTTATAAATCCAAAGATGAAACACTGCTCACGTTATGAACAGAAAAGATTTAGCACAGAGCTGTAAACTAGTCACCCTCTATCTAATTATAATGGACTGACGATTGCTTAATTTCAGTAAACTTCCTTATGGATTTCAGACAGATTTAACTTGCTCAGTTTAAGTAAAAAAGGGCAGTGACCCTTCAATGAACTATAAAATGTAAATTAATCAAAATGTGAAACATTCACTTTGGAACAGAAATAAAATCAAGAGAGGATCTGAGGTTGATGTGCATGTTTCTCTGTAAAGCTTTTCTCCACTTACTGTACCTCTTTCTATGCTGAAATAATATTCTTCCCAAGAACTCGGAGAACTCCGGGTTATAGCCCTTTAGCCAAAGTAATTAGGTTTTCTGCAGGAATTCATGGGATTTTCGTTCAGATTTACCAGATGTGAAAACTAAAACTGAAACTCCCTCCCCCCCCAATCTTCATTACTGCTAAAACTTTTGCGGCTGAGAAGCCTTTCTTTCCTGAGGAACATTCTCTCTTGTGCAGCTGATACAAACCCTACACCTCAGTCTGCGTTACATCTGTCATCACTGTTCTAGTGCTGCTGTGATTCTGCCTCACCCAGATAAGACCCAGCACTGCCAGACTGCACAACGAATCACTTGCAACCAGGACAAGAAACAGTGAACGAGGAGTAATATACTGTACTGTCAGGCTAGCACCGTGTATAATACTGAAAAGACCCTGTTAGCTACATGTTTCCCTTATCTTAACAATTTTTTATTTCCTGTTTTTTGGGAATGATTTGTCCCGCTTTAGTGTGTTGTTAGTATCGTTTCAGTTGTTTTTCAGATAAGAAAAATCTCAGAAAAGACTGTGGAAAATGAGAGCTTAATATCTTTCATACCAGGAGGAGGAATTAAATAACAGCACACAGCTTCATCACCGTTTTACACTTCTTCAATTATCAAACCCTACAAAAAACAGGCGTTGGCTTTGTTTTTTTGTTTTATTACTGATGCTCTCTATAAAATAAATTCTGTATTTACTGAAAGTGTAAATTGAGTGAGTTCCAGTGAATATTCTGTGTTCAGAGACACCTATTTTTTCATGCAAATCCTCCACAAGGGGCAAGCCACAACTACGTCGCTTAATCAACCTGAGGGCAAAAACACAACGCTAAAAAACAACCCATGTAATCGTTATTAATAACTGTGTAGTGGGTAGCATGTCTTTCAAGAAATTTTATGGATGTCAACATTAAAGCTGGCAGAGTGAAGTTTGAATCTATATTCAAAGATCAATTGTTTTTTATATACTTTTTTCAGATATTCCCAAAGGAAAAGAAAAAAGAAAAAAAACTTACTTTTTGCTAGCCTCACAGACATCACTGATGTTGGAAAAGAGGTGATGATTTTCAGTCTTAGTCATTGTCTCGCTTAGTTCGCTGGAGTTCTTAAACATCCGAATCAAAATTTCCAGACTGTGCAGATAAGAGTGCTCAGACGAAATTACTTCAAAAATAGCCTGAAATGGACACACACCAATGTTTAAGGAGCAAGTAAGCGTTACTTCTACTAAATACATATAAATAATGAAAAACGTCAACATTTCAGCTGTAGATTCTTCCCCACTGTTTATCTCTTATTAAATTACTGGACAGCATATTTTTAAGGCCTTTTTTCTTGATGATAGAGCTGAAATAGGTACAATAAATCTAAAATATTACTTAATAAATATATAATAGATATGTAACAGAAAAGGTTTTACTATTTTTCATTTTGCTTGTTGAATTCTACACTCATTTAGCTGCCATTTATCAGCAAAGAATGGATTCTTATTAAACGCACATATAGCCCTATGACAAACTTCATGCACAGGCCTCAGTGCACTAAGTCTTATGCACAGATTAGCCCTCAACATTTAGAAGATTTGTTTGTGTGTGTGTGTGGCACTGCGCTCCCTTCCACTGGCTCTGTGTCAGTTCAGAAAGCTAGAAATCTGAATTGACCAGATAAGCCAAGCATGCGTGGGCCCGGCTCGGGCCAGGACGTGTCAAGCCTGTGTAATCGGTACAACGTGCATCAGAGAGAAAAAAAGCTATTAAGGCCAGTTTCCTCACACGTAAACAAACCAGCATGTCTCCAATGAGAGAAGGCCAGTGACAGGAGGAGTTGAGATTGGGCTGGAATTCATCTTTCTCTGTGCTTTCCTCGCCTCTCTTAAAGTGTCCAGCTAGGATGTTGTGAGAGATGGATCATTCATTATAGGAAGGAAGAAAACTTATCCTGGATCCAGCTGACTTTTGAATGGAGAAATACATGAGAACTAAAGATCTCCTACCTCTTGTCTCTTCTTTTCTTCCTGGCTTGTTCTGTCTAATATTCCGCTCTTCTTCACCTGGAGAAAGCAACATCCCATTTACATTCTGGCTAACCACTGGGATTCAACAGACAACAGATAGAAATATTCCATTTCCCACTGCAATTTCTTTAAATTATTTGTCAAAAGGCTTAGTTCCTAAGCAATTAAAGCCTGATGACACATGGTAACAATTCAGGAATTCTGTCCTTCACAGCACTTCATTTTTCTCCGTGACCTTTAACCTTTCTCCCAATTCATGTTGCGACTCATCGGTGATCACAACACTTCGAACCGAGTTATGTCTTTTAACAAAAAATATCCATCCAAAAAATGCCAGGACATTATGTATGGATATCTGAGATACACAGAAACCCAGACAAAATCCACCAAGCACCTGTGGAGTAGTGGTTAGGCCTTAGGATTTAAAACTAAAACAGGAGGCTAAGAATGCAGGTGTTGTATCCTTCACCGAGACACTTCACTCAAAGTGCCTGAGTAAAATGCCCAGATTTCTAAAAGCTGTTTCAGATAAAAGTATCACCTAACTAAATGAAGGTGCCCTACAGAATAGATCAGATGCAGAGTTACAGTCCCTAATCCTATGAAGGTGTAGAACCAATATTTTCACTATCATGTTTCAAGTATTTAATTTTTTAGTTTCATCGTGCGTTCTGCAAGACCAGAAACGTGAAATCCTTTTGCTGGTATATTTTCAGTTATCCTTGAATTATTTTTATTAGATTTAGGAAATAAAAAACAGGACAGCGCAAAAAATGAAAAGACCAAGCTTCAAAACGAGTGCAGTCAATCAGCTTTCAAAAGTCACCATTGTAGCAGGTTATCATAAAACCTTAATTTTGCCGACTAGAACTCTGCAAACATTCTACTGAAATCAGAACTAGCAAAAACAAACAGGTTCGTACTATAAATGGTAATATCTGTGTTTCAGTCTACTGTGCATACTTCAGCTGTCTGTCCAAAAACACACAATAGGCCCCAGGCACAGATTAATTAACCAGTACATTTTTTTTTGCAGCCTGAATCTGATAAATGTCAGAGAGTGTTTGAACAACTGCATATAATAGTGCTTGGTGTTTTTTTTTTGTTCAGGTTTGTGGAATTGCAGAACACACCCTGTGTGCTGTTTGGCCTTTAGAGCGCTTAAGTGCCCTCATCAAACACTGGCTGTGCCTCCTGAGTCAGCGTGCCGTGAACACAAAGGTGACCGATCAGGCCAATGTGAGATCAGTGAACTCTCCTGAGGCTGAGCAGGCTGAGCAGGAGTGGTCTCGGGAGAGATCTAGTCACGCACTGTGTATTCTGGTCAGGGTGTGCGCTCTTCGATACTTTGACCTTGCTTCCTCATTTAGACGTCGCTGGGTTTCAAAGTACTAGCTTCCTGCCCAGGTATTCTTCTTCCACCTGGTTCAGCCCAGAGCTGTAGTCTCCCACAAGGTGATTTTGATATTACTTTTCTTCATGTCTGCGTTGACCATGTCACCGAAAAGCTTCTCCTGTTCTCCTCTGGTGCTTTCTTTAGGATTCCCGGGTGACCAACCCAGCGATATTGGGGGATTAATAATAGTTTCAATAGCTGTGGGTACGTCTGTCCTCATGCTTGACCCAGACTCTTTTACATTGTTTGTTGCTTGTAAAGTAGGAAGCCCAGAACCATCAGTGTGGCTTCCAGATTTGCTCTTCAAACACCTGGTTCCTCAGGCAGACAAATTCCAAATCAATGGAGCTGGGAGGTGTGCATTCAGAGCACCAGACATTCATTAGAGCAACACAAGAAGGGCGAGAGAGTTTATTCCATGCTCCGCCTTTCACACTTAAAGCTTTGCAAGAAGTGAGTAGGAGACACGCAGTTCTGTAAGTAGTGAGGTTTCTTGGAATGACAATCGCACAGCTCCAGGCACAGTACACAGTACTAGTAACATACCAGAGATTCTCTGTGACCCAGTACACCACCGCACTACATACAGAACAGGAACTCCAAATGAGGTTTCTTGTAATCACACTTTGTTCTTGGAAGGACACCAGAATTCAGGATCCTACGACTGCTGGTAAAGATTCCAGGAATTTTCAAGATCCAAGTTATCCTCTTATTTACGATTACATCATTAAAACACAAATGAAACAAGAAGTAATTAAAACCATACACTCGAGACAACTAGATATACAAAACATGCAACGTTTCCATGATACAAGTGTGTGTTTTTAAATTTCCTCTTATCTCTCTCCCTGAACTTCAACCACTCTGAAATTTGAAGTTGATGGATGGATTGATGGAGTTTCATTTATAGGATATTGGTATGGATACTACAACAAATTTAGACGTTTACTGCAAATGGTCTTAGCCCTGCAACTAAATTATATATATATAATTCTTTGTATAGAATATTTAAAATCTAGCTGATATTTTTAGATATCCTAGGTTTGGCAAGTTAAATGATTTATCAGATAAAATAACATTCACCCTTTTAAGGTAGTATGTTATGTTAAACTTACATTGCAAAATCTATTCCACTATTTCTTTATACAAGAAAAGCAAGATCATTACCAGGTAATGCGGGCATGTAACAATCGAAAAATAATTTCCATAAAGCTCTATCAAATGTCTGGAGCCCATATGATCAGTTGAGATCTGTGCTGAACTGAAAAGCGTTTTTCTAAACCCCTGGCATGCACAGTACTTCAAAAATCCAACGTGTTGTTTTTCAATGGCTCTCGTATCCCTGGAAACAGAAACGGGGTCCATCTTTCCAAGCTGTGACGCTTAAACAAACAGAACAAAAAAGACTTCCGAGAATGTGTTTTTTAAAACACACCACAACTGTCGTTAGTGCCATACAATCAATCAAGCTGTACCTTCAAAGACGTTATTACAGTTCCTTTATTTTAAAATAACAAACAACAAACCCATAAATCTCAAAAGAGCCAAATTTAAGCACAGACAACACCATTATTTTAAGATTGTAATATTAAGGTTTCATTTATCTAACATAACACAGTTGTTGCATAATGTAAATCTAGTATTTTATCCTAATGCTTTGACTGCCTCTGCAGTTAATGATATATTCAGTGATTACAAAATGCACTGTAGCAGTAGCAGCTACTGTAGGAGCTGTCTAAGTGAGTAGCCTTGAAATACCATTGACTGCTTTACTTCCCCAAACGGGCTGTTTGTAAGCCAGCAAATGCACAGAAGAGGACCATCTAACATCATTAATTTGTCCGTCTTGAGAACAATCCACAACTATTCATACATTCATGCGCCTGCTTAAACTTGGCAAAAACAGGAACTGGAAGGACGACACAACAAGCTCAACTAAAACTGGAAATCCTATGAAATTTCATTCTGTCAGCATTCACTACCCCTGAATGTTGAATTGTTCCAACAATAAAGTAATTGTTTCATTCATGGAAGTGCCCCTTGCTGAATGCTTTGTTTGTATTTGTGCTGTTGTTTGTTTTTCACTGGAAAGGAAACCAAGTTTTGGCAGGAGAGTTACAAATCTAAGAGCATCACGTCTTTGGAAAATCACTGCAGTCTGTGTATCTGTTTATAGTGAGCCAATGGAATGGAATTTCTAATTACAGCATAATCCAGAATCAATCTGATCCTTAAATAAATACCATTACTGTCCATTCCTATATTTAAAATGAAATGTCAATATCTAATATTGTAATTATAATAATATATGTGTCAACCAGTGAAAAATAAAATGGGAAACAACGTCTGTCTGTCCAGCCCTGCAGTGCGTGTTGTGCAAGCCTGGATGCAGGTACTAACACTGATACAGTATTTATCATTTACCATTTGGGAAACAAGACAATTCATGCATGTTTGGCGATACTGCTCATCTAAATACTCAGAGTCACTCCTAATCCCGACATCCTACTGTATGTGCTTTTTTAGTAGCAGTAGTATTCATAGCAGCGGCGACAGAAACACAGTACAAATAGGGAATCTATTGTGCCAGACTGCACCTGTTTTATTCAGAAGCTATCAAAAGAGATGGTTCAAGAAATGGCACCACAGCAGCACTGGAAAACATGAATGGCTTTTTGCATTCTTCATCATTGCTGCATGTGCACTCTGTTGATGACCACAAGACACAAGCATTTGAACAGGGATGTCTGCTTACCACTGTGAGCTGGCTCCACATGGATCGTAATGGTTTGTACTGCACAACAATCCTGTCATCTGACTTCTGCTCCTTAGGCTCTGCATCCTCATCAGAATCATTGTGCAAAGCCTTCTCCTTGTAGTTCTGATACAGAACCTCTTCCTCTGAAACACACAGTAGTATGCAGATATTACCAATTTAGTAACGTTTAGACTTCCAAAATCTATTTATGACCAATACAAATCAAGACTAACATGAGCTTTGATTTATTTGAATTAGAAAAGTAAAAAAACTTGGATGTGTGAGAAGGGAATTATGCCCTTTTTACCAGGTCTCGTCTATTTTTTTCATTATTTGTTAAACCTATCTTGAAATATTGCTTGAGGGAATTAAGATCTTAAAAGACTGCATATTCTACAAACTACTGATGTTACATATCATATATAATATCAGCTCATAACTCTTTGCCTGAAGGATTTAGTAATTTGCAACAAATACTATGGGAGGAATTTCAGTAAATATGAAAGCACAGTTTTGATAGGAAAAGTAAGTAAAACACTCCCATACAGCACAAGTTCTAAATTCCACCAGTTTTGCACAAGCCCATATCCATTCGGAAATAAACACAGAACATTTCTAGTTAAACATGGATCTGACATTAGCTACACTTTACCACTATGAACTAGAAACATACACACCTGTCGGTACTCATCTCCAAGAGCTAAGGTCACATTTGCAGGGCTGTGTAGCCACATTCAGGTGAAAACAGTATCAGATAACCCCTTCCTGATACTGTTTTCACCCGATACTGTTTTTACCATAGGATGTTTGTGAAAGGCTTAAAACATTTGTCAGGCACTTCACACAGAAACTCCAATTTGCATACAGAGGTCACTAACAAAAAAACACCCTCTGGGATACATTACAAAAGGTCTCTAAAAATGACCTTAACTTTGTGGTTTATTTCCTAGAATGCTCTACTGCTTTTTTTTAACAAAATGATTAACCCAGTTGCAGCACAATAGGAGGTATTGTAAGGAGGAGATAAATGAGATGTTCTCAAGATTGTGCTTCAGGTCATGGCAGGGATGAAGACAGCGTGAAACTGGAAACTAGCAGAAAGCCCCAGATCTCCCTGCTTAGGAGTGAGCACCTGAGCTCAGGAACTTCCAATCCCACATGCCAGTGAAAAGATCAGACGGCTCTGCTTACCTTCACTGTCGAAAGTTCCCTGTGTTGGCAGCCCCTTCTTCTTTTGGGAACATGGAAAAAGATCAATAGGATGGGTTTATTGTAAGGCATGTCGTGGATTTCAGTATAACTTTTCATTTTATCCTTAGGTTTTCACTGGTTCATTGGGCTTACTGCATAAATGCTATTTTGTCAGTTAGCCGAACAGACCAATTTTCCTACTATCATTTGGTCACAGAAGTGTACTCGAACTTTAAATCAACTACCAGTGCCAGTTTGCACCCAGTTCCAAAGGAAATTTAAACCTCATATGTAAATTCATATGTACAACGAATGCTAATAAGGATAAATATGCTTCTCTTTATTTTCTTAAAGAAGACGTGGTCTAAAACAGCCCTCTGACACCACTCGGGATTCCATGAACAACACGGTGGACCTACTTTTCCCTTTCCCAGCGTGGAGAATCTCTCCTTGTCTTCCTCCACGGCTCTCAGGTTGGGCTGCGACAGGTGGTTGGCCCTCAGCGGACTGGCGGGGGCCCCGGCGTCCGCGTCGATGCCGCTGACCACTGCCCGCCTGTAGGAGGTGGACCTCAGCCCCCGCCTGAGGGTGCCGGGGCTCTCGAGGTCCGGGTCGCCCCCCCCGTCCGCGTCTCCCACGCCGAAGAGGGCCCCCGAGCCCATCTCCACCAGGCTGAGGGCCCGCAGCGCCCGCTTGGTGGGCTCCAGCAGGCTGTGGCTGTGGCCCTTGGCCAGCTTGACCTCCGACGCCAGCCCCTTGGGGATAAGCTGCTGCGTCCCCATCTTGAGAGCCGCGGGGCTGTGGGTGCTCAGGACTACGGCAGGAGACGTGGGAGAGTCCTGGGCAGCTCCGGAGGACGCCCTGTGGAGCACCTGCCTCTCCCCGGGAGGAGACACAGGGGAGCGGTCCCCCTCTTTCTCAGGAGACCCGGGCGGGCAGCAAGACGGGGCTGCGAGGCTGGCGCTGGGGCTGGGGCTGGCGCTGGGCGCGGCGGTGTCCTTCCTGACCGGCGGGGGGCCCGGGCTCGAACTGAAGACGATCTGGTCCCTCTGTGACGTCAGCGTCACGGGGCTGGACAGCCGCTTCTGGGGTGCCTTTGTTTTCTGGCAGGAGGGGCTCTTCTCCTGACAGCCGGGCCGGGCCCCCCCGCTCTCGGCGGCGCCCGCAGCTCCAGGGGCCCAGCTCCCCGCCCGCCTGTCCACCTCCGCCTTGCGTTTGGGCAGCGCAAGCTTGCCATTGGACAGGTGGCCGATGCTGATGCTCCTGACCACTCGCGCCTTGCGGGTGGGTCTGTTCAGCACGTGTTTCAAGACCACCGCGCCTCCTGGAGACGGGATGTTTTCTGCCGGCTGCGTCAGGGTAAAGGAACACGGGTCCTCCACTGGGAAATCCGTCATCAGGACCCCGTCGATCTGGTAGCTCAGAGGCCTGGGCTTGGCTTTGCCGTGGTCCCTTGAACCATTCTGGCTTGCAGATCTCCTCTTCCACAGAGGGGCGATATTATTGTTGGATAAGTCCACCTCGTTCCCCGCTTCCATGGCGCGTTATTCCCGGGAGAGGACAGTGAGTCTCAGGGAATCGCATAAGGAAAGGCGCTCACATTACAACTCCTCCGATACGTGCTGCAGCGCCTGGCAGAAATGATTTTGGAAAAAAAATGATTAAACACTACTTGCGCCGCCCTTTCTGTTTCATCACGGATCTTTGCAGAACTTCACATCGGATCGTGCACTAAGGCGACTAGAAAAAAAAATACATACATAAGGCTAGAAAAACCAAAGTGTTGATCAAACAGACGTTTAACGCGCGATGGGTAGCAAAAGGAAACGAGATAACTTAAGTTCCAATTATTTTCTAGAACTGCGAAAGCAGTTCCTTAGCGGAGTAGAGGTTAATCATTAAAAAGACAAGAAATCCAGCTGCATGTACAGTACTTACCTTGCTGTTTGTTTTGCTGCGCAATCGCGTCATTTTGTTCACTGCTCTGTCCCGAACTACTGTACGCGTCCAATCCCACTTTCCGATCTTTGCGTGATCCGGACCTTGTCTGATTTAGCTTTGCAAATCCTGGATGCAGTGCGCGATTTCACAAATACCGGGTGACGAGCAGCCCCTTTCTGCTAGATTCACCGGCTTTGCTCCTCGCTCCCTCTTGAACCCTACGCACTACTGGGAGAGCAATGAGAAAATGAGACCGCAAGAAAACGAGGAGGAGGAGGAGACGCGGTATCCAACCAAGTTCAAGCACCGCAGTGTACAGTACACGGAGACCAGCGAACTCAACGACATGAAGTGCAATTAAACAGCCCACACCAGAACTAATCACAACAGATAACGTCTACGTCCAGAGTTACAGCCCAGCGTCACGCCAGCGAAGTCTAAAGCACAGTGGAACAAAAGTTGAAGTTTTCCAAGTGTCCGTGTTTCAGAACAAGTTCTAGGCGTCAAGCGTCACCTAACGGCCGTACTAGACATCACACAGAAAGTACTGTAAACCTGCAGACTCTTTTAGTCTCCAGACTCTTAAATTCACAAATCGTCACAACAAAAGCGGTTTTCTTCGGGGGGTTTTCTTATAAGAAAAAAAAAGCAATCATTTCTGGGAACTTATACGCCATGGTATAAAGAGGTTTAATTGTTCCATTTTAGGTATTTCTACACAAAAAGCTTATCAGACACGAGAACTTGATCGCCTGTGCGACCATGCGAGGCAACATTTGTGTCACAACTACAGGAGGTAATGTAGCGTAATTCTGCGGCCGTCTTAAATTCGGACAACATGCTTTTAAAAGGGGGGGCAGTTCTCGAGAAAGGTAATTAAAGCAATTTAACATAAGTTTAAATAATAATCAAAGCAAAAACAACGAATCATAGCTCTCGCGGTTGTCAAAACAAATAGACCTAATAATAAAAATGCTAATAATGGCATTTCAGAAGTGATTGACGAACGAACCACACAAAAACTTTTTTTTGTCTACCGCAGACACTGATTCCCACACAGACCCCTTTATTTACCCCCGAGTCAGTCTGACTTCTTTAATTCAATTGTTTTCCCCAGGTTTTATGTTATATAAGGGCATTACCTATTGCGTTCCTCGCCTAAAACGACGTATTAAGGCCAACTCCTGAGTGTATTATGGGCTTTAGAAAAAATGGCAGCCTTTAACAGGCCGGGTTAAATGAGACCCAACAGCGCCAATTGCAGCGTTACAAACCTGCCGGAGTTCAGCTCAGGAACGCACAGCTGGTTCAACAGATGTTCACGTTTTAAAACTTGCAACCTGACGCTTTGGTAGAATACACCAATAGGCGCTGATGAGATTTTAAGGATTGTATGTTATAAGTTATAAGCTGTTTCAATTTGAGTGTACTGATGATTAATACTATATGATATCTGACAAGCCCTGTCATCGATTTCTTGGTTTTGTTCCTGTTGGACTGTAAATGAACACTCCGCATATTTTGAATTGGCACAATGCTCCGCTATCTTCAAATAGTGCAAACAGCATTCAGTTCAGTTTTGTACTACTGTACTAGTAGTAACATGTACTACTAACAATGATACATCTATTTAACAGAAGCAAAAACAATACAAATACAAAAGGCATCTCCCTTATAATGCAAAAATTGAGTTTTTGTACTTGATTTTTAAAAGGCGAATGTGCTGTTTGGGATTTCTGTCTGTTGGACGAACATGAATATAAGTAATAGGTTTATTCCATGCTGAAAAAAGAAGAGAACACAACGTTTCGGCCGTGGAGCCTTCTTCAGCTGTGAGAGAGACAGGGCAGTAGGCAAAGGTAAAGTAGCGGGAGAACAAAGGCTGGGAGGGAGGAGGAGTGAGAGGCGGGAGCAGGGGACAGAAAGAGAGGCCAATCAAGAGGTGTGAAATGAAACTTCCAATGAATGGAGAAATTTTAAAAGAACAGTAGTCTGTCGTTATGGGAAGGGAGAATTTGTGATCCTAGCTACAGAATAATTTTGGTTTCGGTGGTCTTTCTGATGTATGAGTTCGGAAAACCGTCTTGGAGAACACAGACGGAGAGATTAGAGTGGTCGTGGCCGTCAGAGGTGAAATGAGAAACAACATGAACATGAGTACAGTTGTCCTTTCTTTAAAAGGTACTCAAACACTTCAGCATACAGTACCAGAGAAACAGAATTCATATAATAACTGTAAGATATAAATACAGTACTATCTCTAGCACATCAACTAACATATCAATTAATGCGCTTTGATCCACTGGTACCCGTTTATCCCAGCGGTTCTTCGTCTTGACTACAGCCTGTACCCGTTTGGTTCTGTATATCTGTTCTCACCCCCCTGATCAAAAACAGCCGAAGTGGGTCAGTTCAATATTATAATTAGAGAGCGAAAAACATAAAATCATATATTATTTCAATTTCACAGTAAAATCAAGAATACGCGAAAAACGTCTTCTTTTTTTACAATGTCGTACATTTTTCCAGTCCAAGTGAAAATAAGAAAGAACACCTTTTTATACCTTTAAAATACCTAGGCTTGATTAATCAAAGTAATTATACTTGCATGCCGATGTTTAATTTGTGTTTATTCAATGATTTATCTTGTAAAACAAACTGGCACCTGTTGCACCACAGGTCAGGGAAAGACAGGGTATTTTATTAGGAGAATTCAGGCGATATACCCTGCTTAATAAGCGCTTTGAGAGGACACCTTTAAAGGCGCTATATAAGATGAAGTTTTTATTTTATTATTATTATTATTATTATTAATAATAATAATAATAATAATAATAATAATAATAATAATAATAATAATTAGACCTGTCAAACTATCAATTTCCACCTTGAATAATGTCCTCTCAAACACTTTGTAATATCTCTGGAAGTTTATGCAGCAGAAGTTGGTTTATGGCTTACATTCAAGCTACTTAAAGGTAAAACAGCGATTCATCTTAGACTTGACTTGACTAGTCTCTTTTACAGCAACACACATCGACCCCTAAATCGAACTAAAACCCTCGTGAGAATACTCCAAAACTGTCCACAGGTGTGACGATTTCTAAACGTAGTCCTTGAGGCCGTCATTGCGACCACTATTCACCATACCTTCCTGAGCAAGCCTTTCAAAGCTGAAGCTCATTTGTAGTACTCCACATTTACCACAAGGTGACACTAAACTCCTTTTTTTGGCCGGTAAGGAAAAAAGTCCAAGTAGGTTCTTATCCGTCCGTGATCAGATTTTATGATTTCAGACCTTTTGGGAATCTTTTTTTTTCCCCCCAATTTCAAAGAGCTTTATTGACATGACAAATGTACTAGAGTGTTGAAGAAGCAGTAGCAATTGCCAAATATTAAAAAACAGTAAAATACTACAAAATGTATCTGTGGGGTTCACTCTGTCCCCCAGGCTGTGACAGGAGATCACATTCACAGCTGCCAACTCTGTTGAGTTTAATAATGAAACGTTTTGTCATTTATTATATATGTTTATAATAAAGTCACACTGCTACTCAGTGGGGTCGATATATTATATCGTACATTATATATTGTACCTTCACAGATGTGGTGGTGAAATCAATGGGTTTGTGTTAACATGATTACATTTTGGTGGCAGCTGACACAGTGTATTTTTGTCCAAGCTAGAGTAGGTACCTTTAGGCCGTTATGTAGTTTCAATCAGGATCAGATATCTATGGGTGTGCAAATGTTAAAGTGTGTGAACTTGGACAGTTCTTCAGGAATAAGTACTACATCTTTCTAGGATGCATTAGTGATCGGTACACTTCAACAGATATTACTGACTTGCCAATAAACACTATTATTATTGCTAAAAAGTGTCCTTTGTTAATTAACAGGTACTAAACAAAAAAAAAACCCTGAAAAACTGAAAAATGCCATTTCAAATAAAGGGTGCCAATAACCTTAAGGTATCTATTTGAAAAGAAATGGCCTTCTCTTGTAGGCTGCTTTAGGTAATAAATCATGGATCTAGGTTGTCACGTCAAATGAAGCAGAGTTCTAGCACCTAGCTTTAAAAGCAGAAACATTTTTTAAAAATATGCTGTGGTATTCCTGTCAGCAGTGTCAGCAATGCAGCTGAGTGTGGCAGGCAGTAGTTCCAGCTGTACCGTGGGATAATTTGGATCGCTTCCACCTACTGTGTGTGTGGGGGAGTGCCATTGTAGAGTTAACGTATAGAAACAAGAGACTGTTGGCAGCATCCAGCCTCTTCCATTGTTAATACAAGTGGATGGGTCTGCCGGCGTGCTCATCTGATGGCATATTTATTCATTAGGCTTCCAAACATGGAAGTGAACAGTGCTCATAAGGATTTGTGTTTCATTTTTACTTCCCAAAATTCAAATTGGCTCCTGCCGACTGCCAGCTCCATATTTGGCAGTTATGGTAGCGCAGACACAGAAACTGAAATGCTGTTTGGTGTCAACCAAGACGACAGTGTGACCCATATATTCAAAGAACCTTTAAAAATCTTCCTGGGAGCAGGCGCACCAGCTGAAGTGAAACTTGGCAGATTTCTGCTATACCCAAACCAGCTTCAAGCGTGCACCTCACAAGTTGCGACAATTTTTGTCTTCACCGGGTCATTAAATTTGTGTCCACAATTGACGTCTGTTAATAATCATTTGGACAATTAAGTGTAAATCTGATAGGTGTCATTCTTATAGCAATGTATTCAGAATACTGTAGGCAGTGTTCTAGAACCAAGTTTGAGTGAAGAGAATTGTCAGCATGCATTGGCTGCAAAGGAACAAGTGAAGGTTAATTCCACTCTGAACAGAAAGAGGAAACACTTCTTCCACTTACCAATGCAATTGCAGTATATATCTCTCCAGAACCAATTCAGTTTCAGTATGGATGATTCTAGTACCAATGCAATTGCAGTAGGCATCACGCTAGTATCGGTGCAATTAAAATACTGAAACAGGGTTCCTGAGTAAAACAAGATAACCACACCACTGCTATTTCAATCTGAAGTTCACACCACTGTTCAAGAATGGTTGAAGTATTTTACTGCAAATTTAGCATGTATCATTCCTGGCACAGTAGGTTTCAAAACTATTGTCCTACGCAGCAAAATGATCAAATCATTGTGCAAACGTTATACTGTTACTGTTTGAATCCTGCTTAGCCAATAAAAGGGAAGTCCCATTTTCTCTGAACAGTTATTAAATCTCAGTAACATAATAAATTCATTCCATTTATAGAAAAAAATCACAAATTCTGAATTAAGCACAAAATCATTGCTTTGTGAAAGTACTGTATTGTCACCATGCTTTCCCAAACCCCTGCTCTCGTCAACAGCGAGAGCGAGACTTTTACGAGAATTGTGATGTGAAGTGGCCCTTCCTTCTCACTAGTTCCTGTATTGACTACTATAATACAATGT